CAACCCTAAGTCCAGGGCAGAAGCGAGTGTGTTCTTCCCCGCCACTGGCTTACAGCGGTTTCAGGGCGCGCTGCAAAATGTTTATCGCATTTAGTTCGTTATTCCCCGCATTTATGTACAGGCAGCACATAAAGTCAAACTCTGTGGCTTCTTATGTACTTGTAATAGAGACGATTTTGCAATAAAAATGTAGTCCGATGCTCTCTGTACAAACGCCGCCATTACAGCTTAGGATGGTATGCTGTTATTGTTACCTTTTCTGAAACTACTGCTAAAGTGTTACAGGTCCATTTTCTCTCTGTTAAAGAACTACTTTTGCTATAAAGGATTTTAACACGTGTTTTAGTTTAGATATACCTAGCGGGTTAGAATAACGGACATAATTAAAAGCCAGGTTTTTATCGAATTTTCTTATTGGAATTCGAGTGTGAATAGGGTTTTTGACATTTTGGGAGGTTTTCTTGCAGTTCCAAATTACTGTTATCTTAAATTAACTTAAGCTTTTTAATATCATAACTATAATTTATGCTCTTTCATGACTCTCTCTGGAAGCTATTTCATGTTTTCAAGCAGATATTTTAAGCACAAAATATGAAGCAAACAAGCATCCAATATGTTGCCGAAACATATTATTATACATAATTCAACAACATGAATATTAAAAGCTGAATAAATAAATTTCGAAGCGTAATATCGTAGAGCTACGAAAATACGCCTCGTAGCGCCTCGTAGCGCGTAGCTGCTACGAACTTACAGACAGAGTGAGTCAAACGAGTTAAATATGTTTGAATGATCAAACGAACTTACCAAGTGAAGTTCGATCTAAATTATCCTGTTTTCGCCGAAGAGATTTATTTTACCATGTAGTACCCCTGTACGACAACCCAATCCGCACACAATATTCAGCGTAGTAGTATTAAAAAACAAAAGAGCGGGCAACCCCACCCCTACCACGCTGTGGGCTCGGTGNAAGATTTCTCATGCCACGTCCACTTTGATCTGCGAATATCATCACTCTCTGTTTGGGCTTGCTTTCCTGAGAGTGCGTTACTTTCTTCTGGCTAGAGCTTGACAAGTTTTCTGCCGCATGAGTGTTATTAATGTTTATAGGTTTATCAACCAGGGTTCCCATGTCTGTATTGTAGCGACCATTTGGAGTACTATGCAGTTTATTACATATTATGGCTTCAACGTCTACTGTGGGGTTTTCGTTTAGATTAAAGTGTGGTATGGTGTTGATTTTAGTTTCATAGCTTTTATTCATATTTGAGAGCTTCTCAGGGGTGTTCTCAACATTTATCTGGCTTCTTTCGATCGCACTGATTGTTAGCTCTCTAGAGGATGTTCTAGGCAGTCCTATTTTCATAGCAGAATACTTCAAGCGTCTTCGAAATTGTGGCGAGTAAAATTTAACTGGCGTTTGATTACAGAAAACATTCGCCGTTTCGCCGATGCCGACTGATTTATAAAGTTGTACTTTTTGTTTATATTTGGTTATTTCGTATTTTAGCTTGCTTACTTCAGTGTTTAGGTTGTCAATTTCTAAGTTAGCTATTTGAAGCTCCATCCTTAACTTATTAGTTTCATCAGATGTCATTGTATTTCCATCTATATGCCCATAGCTATTAGGTAGACTTTGGTATGATATTTCCATCTCGTATTCACTGTCAATGAGTTGTTCCCTATCATTGTTTACGTTTCGCCTTTTTTGAGTGTTTATATTCTCGANTATAAGAAAAAAATGTTTTTTCGTACGTATAAGGACCACCCTAGTGTTTATATTCTCGAAGCTGTCCATTATTTCTGAGTTAGTCGATGTGATGACGTGCGATTAGATGAAAAAATAAATAAACCACAAATTTTGTACGTGCTGAGATTTGAACTTGGAACCCTTGGAATGTCGACCGCTTCTCTTCTAGTGAAGCCACGAGACCGTTATTATGACGGCCGAAAACTTTAAACAGCCTCTGTTAGTATGCGTACATGCTGCTTTACAATATCGATACAAGTAAGTTTGNAAACTAAAATGAAGATGATTGGGCTTTTGTCTGATGAAAAATTGCTAGAATGGAAAAATGAATAAATAACACTATATCTCTTATTTTCTCGTCCGTATTCACAAACATTACTATGTCTCACAGTGCGCGTAGACGCACAGGGTCACACACGAACATCACAGAGCTCTATTCAACGCTGTGCGTTCGATTTGCTGCTTCACAAGCATCGTTTTTGAATACGAGCGTCTTTCTTTTAGCAAAAAGCCCACTCATAATTGGTTGAATTGAAATAAATATATTTTAATAGAAATTTTTACTTATTACGCAAAGCTTTAAGAAAAGAGAGCCCCAAATCAGATTGCCAGAGGTATTCTAATTTGAGCTTATGGACTTTTTATTGGATTCGTTCCGCCGCCTTTATTAGTGCCATTAATAACATTCACTTGGGAATCGACCTCTCCCGAGTCTTCCTTGAGTCGTTTAAGTTAACCAGATTGATTTTTGGGCAGTTGTTTTCAGAAATATATCTTAACTAAATTATAAGGAAGGAAGAAGGTCAGTGGATGAAAGGTGAGACGTTTTGTCTTATCAAGATATTGAGAAAATTGAGGCTTAGAATCCAGATGCAGCTCAAATACTAAAAAAGCCTACAGTCACTTATCGTTTTAGCCAAAGCAGTCGACTATTAGACTTTAGCCTTCCAAGGAACTAGCCAAGGAACAGCAATCTTCCCTTTTTCTCAGGGAAGCTATGCATCATTACAAAGTTTTCAATCAGAAGGAGCTATGCTTAAGACTGTTGGACTGTTAGCCTTCCAAGGAACTAGCCAAGGAACACCATGAGTACGATCTCCCCTTTTTTCTCAGGGAAGGAATGCATCATCAGCATCATTACAAAGTTCTCAATCAGAAGGAGCTATGCTTAACGACTGAACCAAGTGAATACAAGCCGGGAGCACCGGGAACGCCTTAAGATATTAAATCAAAGCTCCAACTATTATTTAGGCGGGTGCAATGTATATTCAGTTTTCTGTCCATAAAACAGTGAAGCGATGCCAGTAGCGGCCGTAAAGGTTCGCTTTTATTGCATCCGCCCGAATGATCCATATAACGACATGTCTGAGGAGCTCTTAAATTTTGATGGGTGTGCCTTCCGAATGCAAGATTACACACTTACACAGTAATTGATTATGTACTTAAAACATTAAACTAGTAACTGGTTACTTAGGGGGCTGACAATAGTGACTGAGTTTCTTGCTCTGCTTCTTCTCAGCACTGGCCCGTTTATTGTCCTGAAGCAGTGTTAGGGTGAATATTGGGATGTGTAAAAGTGCTTTTTTAAAGCCTATTTGCAGAAATAAATGAGTTTTATTAGTTTTTATATACACACTCTGCGCAATGCTCTTTTATCAGAATCTACGAGCCGTTATTACGGTTTATACCGTAACGAAGTGACGTGAACTGTAAACTAAGTGTATTTTGGCGCGAACGCATGAAAAATACGGTGATTAAGTTGTTTTTATGAAGCTTTTTCATTGTGCGATAAAGTTTATGTATTCGCTTATTACAAACTTTAGAGTCTAATTTCAGTCTAGGCGAACGGAATAAGCTCGTTTTGCGCCGATACTTTTGCTACATTTTTGATTTCATAATCTTTTAATATCTTAAATGAGACATTGTCGTCATCTGCAAGAGTTAGTTAGTCTAAGTAAACGATGTTTGATTAAACTATTTTCAACTTCACGAACATAATGTGGCGCGCGTCGGTTATTGATATTGATATAAAATACATTAGGATCTAATATTTACTTTACAAGTCTTATTGCATGTTCATCTATTTATTATCTATCAAGTCAGCCATAAAAACTTTTGCCGGAGAGTCCCGCGGGACTCGGAATCATAGCCCGTGTTACGCGACACACTAAACGCCTCCACGGCTGCGTGAAATGCCAACACGCAAATATCATAGGAAACGACCTTTAGCGGGGCTTTACGCATTTTAGCGCTACTAAAATAGACAAAATGACTTGTAACATTTTGTGGATTTTAGCTGAGTGGATACCGTTTTGGTACAATATTTGATTTTAGTTGATCTTGCTAAAAATAAATTTCCTATTGGGAACATTAGGTATTAAGAATGCATATTCTGTTCCCGTGACTATCGTTTTCAACCAAAGTCCTCCTCCGATTTGTCAGTTAATTCACTTTCATCAAATTATTCGTTAAGTTTTCTCAAATGTATCATTTTATCTGCGCGATTTTCCTTATTTTTCTTTCCGCAAGCCGTTCTCGAGATACGAGAAACCAAGGATTCATTAAAGAAGAAGAAAGGGAAGATTTGTAAATAATTTGCACTTATCCAAGTCACCATTATCGAAAAAACAAACTCATTACTCTGCCCAGAAACCTCAGAGCAGTGTGTCAACATGTGTCGACGTTAGAGAGACGTAAGGTCCCCGTGGGGCGTCGGATTGGCGATTTCATGAGCCGTATCGCAGTTCGGATCGCTGACCGACGTCGCCCCACGTAAACTACGTCACGAAACCCCGGGGACGGGAATATTTGCCAATTTCAGAGCAGAATTTCTACAAATCTATAAGGGAAAATCGAAGTTGGATTGGTTTTCTGGTATGGTGTTTGCAGTTACGTAAACTTTGATGTTGAATGTTACGTTAATGTTTTATTAATTAGGTTGCAATGATTGCTTCAATATCCCGCAAAGATAGATTTGGATTCCATAATTATGTCGAAAAAAACAAACAGTTTTGTGCATATCGTACAAAGTTAGATACACGAAAAAACCCTTTGTAACATCGAGACAAGAAAATAAGGATTATGACATTTGGAATTTCCAGCGTCATCTACTGAAATGGATTCAGATTCAATTTATCTGGCCATGAAATATGGCAGTAGTTTTGTTAAATCCCACGCGATGACAAGACAAAAGGAGATCAGGAAGGTTTCCACAATACAGAATTTAAGATTGACCAATAAAATGGCTTACTTCTTGATACAAGGGCACTGCTTGAGCAGGAGTGCGACGTACTGGCCGATGGAGGTGTCGGCGCCAAGCACCGATACCTGCACGCCAGGGCGAGGCGCCGGCATCGGAGGCACCTTCTTCTTGGGCGGTGGCAGCGCCTTCGGTTCCGGCACTTGCTCCTCTTTGCATACCTTCGACTTGCATTGCACGCGGCGAAAGGGCGCTGTAGGTGTAGGAGGAGGTGATGGTTCAGTGGCGGCGTAGCATATGTTGGCACCCGGGCGATCAAGTCATAAGTCCTAAGAAGGCACCCCCTGGTACCCCCCACGATTTTAGGGCTACCTACCGATTCGAAGATTGAAAGACAACCGCACGCACTCAGTATCATGACATAGACCGCAGACTTGCCATGCAGATGCGCCAGTGAGTACTAATCTGCGCGACTTGTGTCACCCCCTGATGCTTGGCACCCAGGGCGGACCCCATCATTGCGCGATAAAAATGGATAGGTAACTAAATCACAAAGAGATTTTTTTTATGTGACAGGAGTCAATCGAACAGAACAGATGAACAGCTTACTCCCAAAATTGGTGCCGCCTTCAATGACCCTCAGTTTGATCTTATGCAGTATCCCCTCCTTCTTCTTTTTCCTCCTTTCACAGGGCTGTGGACAGTCTGGGTCTACGTCTGGTGGAATATCTACAATGCCCCTTCTGCACTCATCGCCGGACTTCTTCGTATACCATCGGACGAACAAAGCTTGGCTCAAATTATTCAAAGTCTTCGATGAACCGACGAAACCGGACCAGATGTATTTTGACTTCAAAAGCATACTTGAGGGTTGCATCTCTTTTTGTATTTATTCTTGTGTATTTTTATTTCATTTATTGTTTTAAAATTAAAATTTGGTGAATCTTGTTGCTGTTGTGATTAAAAATTTTGACATTTTTGATTGTTTTCTTTTTGTGTCTTTCAGAAGTAAAAATTTATTATGTGCCAGGATCCAAGATTTTGAGGACAGGAGTAATATACTTTTTTGTCCAAAACAAGGGCAGACGGCATAAGCACAATGAAGCACAAAGATAGCTTCATACTGGATACGTCGATATCTCGAAGACACATTGGTCTTCAAGGTCCCAAATAAATATTTTGTATTGTAACCGACTGTTCCATAAAAAATCCAAAGTAGACTTTCAAATAAAACATAATCGATTGAATTCGGATAGATTCTTCAGCAAAGGTGGTATGTAATAAAGCTGTACCTAGGTATTTTTCGTGCATTCAACTATCCACGTTAGTAAATGAAATAAAAAGTCGTAAAAAGCCTACTTCCGCCCCAATAAGCCTCCTCGCGATAGCATGCAGCTGTTAATTAAGTTAGCCGTCCGAACAAAGCCTGCATATTTAAAGCAGGCCTAGTGCTGCCTGCAGCGCAGATTGCAATAGGGACGAATCTTTGAGTTTAAATGCTTTATTGGGACAAAAGTATAATACAATTCCAAGTAGATAAGAGGTACAGCTGTACGCTGTTTAGAGGGAAATATTAAGGCTTGTAATGACTTTCCACACTACCCTACACACCTTTTCTGATCATTTATCTATTGTCGAGCAGAGCAGAGATCAAGCTCAGAGCCATAAGTAAGAAGTACTAGTACTCTAGTGGCTAATGACTGTATTACAAAAACCTCTTAACACTAGGTCTAATCTTAAATGATAAATTCTGTCATGTGTTTAGTCTAGATATCTAAAGCTTCAATCTTTTTTTAAAGATTGTGTCTTATCAGAAGATTTCGCCTACTTCCGCTTAGGATGAAGTTACAAAAATACATTTTCTTTATTGACGCGATAATCGGACTTGGCGACCCTTTTGTTACGTCATTGGGATGGCATTTACGAGCGCTGTCCCGATCCCAACTATCATTGGCGTCACTAAACGTCTCTGTCACAACAGATCGAAGCGAGAGCGAGTCTAGATATTAAAATTTAACCAATTCAAAGCCTCAAGCTTTGTGTCAGATTGAATCGAGTTTTGAACTGCGTTCTGCAATAAAGACCTTAGTGTCTTATCAGAATGAGACTTCCCATATCCGCTTTGGATTCCGTTACAAAAATACATTTTCTCGGACGCGATAATCGGAGTTGAAGACCCTTTTCGTTACGTCATCGGGATTGCATTTACGAGCGCTGTCCCGATCCCAACTATCATTGGCGTCACTAAAAGTCTCTGTCACAACAGATCGAAGCGAGAGCGAAAGCGCGGGCAACGTATTGCCTTGACACTGCCGTATTTATAGATAACTCTCGTCTGTATTGGCCTATTTCCGGTTAGCTTCTGAAAGGGATGCCTTTGGAAGATAAAACTTGACTTTATTATCGTAATGGTTGACCTTTAAAATGAGAATTAGTCGGAGTTAGCAATGGAAGATAACAAGATCCGCAAGTTTATAAATTTCCTAGGAAATTAAGAAGATGTGTACAACAATGCTATAGGTATAGAAACGAAACATAAAACACAAATTGAAAACCACCGTATTTAAAAAAAATACCTACAATTTATATTTGTTGGGCAATCAATAGTATCTAGTACCTATCTACCTACATTGCATGTGCAAACAGCTCAAACTTGTAAAATAAATTAAACTACTACAAAAACCAACCCGACCCGAAACGGCGAAGCTGCAGGAAGTTCATTAAACAGAAAGTCAAAATCATTGGAAGAAAATATGGAAGAAGGAATGACCTTAGACCTTCCTGGGCCCAAAATAATCATGCCGTCAGTCAGAACGACGAATAATGAACAAAAGTTGCACCGACTTCTTGGCCACATTAATGTCAATCTTTATGACGTATTGTCACAGAATAAGTAATAGTACAGGTACAGAAGGATTACTCCGCAAGACGATTTAAATAAATGCGAGTCTTGCTACGACGCGATACAGTGGAATTCAGCTCGCACAGCACTACGTACCTACAATTTTATTCACCTACAAGTTTTGTCTCTTTCTATCGCGTGCCTCTGAACTCTTCTTACGCTGTTAGGGTTGCTGTCTAGTAGTGTCTAGTAAAAAAATANTAAGTTTGTTACACTAGATGTCGCTAGTTTGTATGGCGATTTGATGTTTGAATAAAAAACGATTGTCGAGCAGATTGTTTTAGCACTTTATAGTCAATTTCACAATCAAACGTTACGTTGATCTTGATAATGTCCGTGTTTGTGATGAAGTAAGTCACGAGTGTTGTTTATTAGGATCACTATTTGTAGAATAACAGTTTTTTGTTAATCGAAAGCACTTTAGTTCTGTTGTCATTTTTATTGTCTCCATCACTTATTTGGTTTGGATAACACTTTCACAGGTAAATCGTAGTTGTACATTAAGATTGCAGTCATTATTTGCACTCCAGAGTCAGAATTTTAATTACAATCGATTTATAATCACGGAGCTAATGTTTACATGACGACTGTCAAATTTTTTTTTTTTTTTTTTTTTTTTTTACTAACGTATAGTAACACTCACATTTCCTCTTGGAAGCGTTGTCTGCTTCGTGCGTGGTCCCGTTGACCTGCGGCTTGGCGCGCGGCGGCGGCTCGAGCCCCAACAAACGACTGATGCGGTCCCTGTCTGGAGCGGGGAAGTGCTTCTCCACTAGTGTCTGGAATACGCCCCTGGAATTAAACGTTCAAATAAGATTTGTCATAATCTATAGCGTATGGAAAAAGGTTTTCGTCTAAGTAAGAATAACGGCCGAACATTTTTAAATCAGATGGGTAATCAAAAAATATAAACGTTTTTTATAACCGTATTTTTTTTGTGAAGACATTGTGCACACAAATTATTTATTTATTTTAATTACTCATTTCCCTATTATTTTCTATTAATAAACTAATTAAAGCCAGAAGGAAGCAATATTCAAAAGAAATGGCTTCAATAAAAATAATTACAAAGTGATTACATTTAATTACATGCAACAGTACTAAAATCGTTAAAAATCACAATTTTATATCGCATTATTAAAATGCAATCGAAATGTATCTAATTCATAACATTACAGACACTACAATACATAAATTACGTAAAACAGACTAACTTTGATAAACGACAACTTTCAAAAGTCGCGCCATCTTAGCCCGCCATCTTTTGAATTTTGGCGCGCATCCGGCCGCGCGCTTCGTAACGCCCGAGCGAAGCGTACCGCGCGCCAGCCGCTCGGCGGTCGCTCACCCCGGCAAAAGGTACGCGGCCCCAGACCCACGCGTCACGCGCTAGCATCGATTCACTCACGCCACGTACGATTTAGGTTACATAAAGACGCATACATTTCACGATTTAGAGTTACGATTTATGTATCAGTGTTATTGTTTGATAGTGACGTTCAACGATGTTTTCGAAAAGAGAACTGAAGCAATATTTGGAGGAGATATCAGAAAATGCAGTGTTGGTGAACTACCAATTTGTCTCGCCCGATAAATTCGCCGTGCAACTGAAGTGCAAGACCAACGGCGTGACGTCTACAAACGAATACAACAAGTACGCGGCCGAATGGATCGCGAAGTTCGCGAAATTCACAGCAACAACTTGGATAGTTCGAAACAGCTATCCGAGGCTAAAAAGATTGTTATTCAGAAAAGTGTTTTGTTGTCACCGGTCGGCGTTCAATAAGAAGAAGGAGTGTTCAGACGACGCGAGAAACCAAGGATGCAGAGCGAAAATAGACTTCAAAGTGAAGATCACCAATCGAAACACGATCAAAAACGATCCTCTTTTGAAGGATGGTTTGAACATGACAATTTCTATCGACTTTACGCACTCGCACAAATTGAGAACGCAAGAGGCATTTAGTAGGTTGAAGAGCACACCGGAAACCGACGAGTTGTTTTACAATTATTTTGATAATGGCTACTCGCCGGTCATGGCCAAATTGTACCACGAGTTGGCGGTTATACATCGCTACGGTGACCACCCTGAGTATTTAATGAACGCGAATATCAACCCTACCATACGCCACATTCACTATTTACACGCAAAAATTAAAAAATCAGGAGAAAGTAATAAGACTTTCGATGAGATCATGAGTGCAAAAAAGGCTACTTTAGAACGAGATGGCGGTTTTTTAAACTATGAGAACCCGAATGTGGTTACTGTGGTCACTGCGACTATGAGACGCGTTATTTTGACGATGAATCTTGAGCACATCCTGATGGATAGTATATTTATATCTAACGAACTTGTGGTGACTTTCCTTTACGCCGTTAGCAATGCGGGTGCTTTACCTATCGCTTGCGTGCTACACACACAGCAGGACGAAGCTAACTACAGTCAAGCATTTTTGACAACAAAACTACTAATCGAAGACCACTTTAACTGTCAATTCGAGCCAAAATTACTGACTATTAAAGACTCTCAAGCAATAAGAGACGCCGCAACATCCATATTTCCAAAGAGTATTATATTATCGTCTCATTGGTCGGTCTGCAGCAATATTTGGCGGAGGATTTGCAGCGATGACAGCAAGATAGATGCGAAGAAACGTCACAGCTTGATGGAGTTGTTTAGCAACTTTATTAGAGGGTCGAGAAGTTTGGCTGAAGCTGAAATCAACTACGAAAAACTTAAGGAGGATGATTATATTAAATCGTCTTTAGTGATAAGCGATTTTGTCGATGATTTGTGGCAAAGACGCGGGCACTGGCTTCACGGAGAAGAATACGTAAGCACGAATCTTGTGGAAGCTTCGACACGTATTATGGGCGAGTTTATACATCAGAAATGTAAATCGTTCAATGCATACGCGATGATTGACGTTCTCTGCAACATCATCGACGGTCAAATCAGTCGTAATCTTCACGCTCACGCGAGAAGCTCCGATATAGTATCAACTTATACCAGATTCCTCGCAAAGACTAAAGAGATTTTGGATTTCGATTCCACTCTAAAAAGGATAGATCCAAACGAGTTTAAATTGGAAAGTGGTAGCAAAACGAGGAAGTTTATAAAGTTTAGAATAGACACCTGGTGTTGCGACTGCGGTGTGGGAAAGAAAGGTCGTTTCTGCGAGCACTTGTGTGCTGTTATCAACGTGGTGGATACAGATCTGATAAGAATTGCTGAACTGACTGACGAGGAGAAGTGTTTGTTGACTGACATTGCTGGGGCAGAGTGCGAGGAGAAAATAATAAAGCCTGAGTGTACTGAAGAGGCGGAAGATATGGACATCGATGACATTAAAAATGACGATTACGAAGATGACGCTGCAGGTGGAATTGATGACGACGTAGATAAATATTCAGCAAGTTCACCAAAGTCGGAGAATGATGATGATTATTATTATTTAGAAATAAAAAATGAAAACTGCGAGAGAAATGATCCTTTGGACGATTTAACTGAAGAAAAGTGTGAGGATATCAGTTTTTCAATTCAAAATAATAAGGAGGTTCCATGCACCAGTAAAATTGATTTGAAAACGAAGTATGAAGAAGCTATGAAGGGTTTGAACAACGAATTTCGGAGATTGAACAATTTTTTCAAAACAAACCCGAATAAAAGTAACATGGAAACTATGGTGCGATTGGCAAAGGAGCTGGCCAAAATCCACCCGGTCGAGAGGGTCAATTTGCGAAATATGAACATCGCGATGAATGCAAATGAGGACGAAAACTGTAGTTGACATTTTGTATTTTTATAATAAAGTGTATTACTAAAATTCATGTCTATTAATTGGGAATATTAAATAATAATAATAATAAATAATAATAAATATCATACAATTAGCCAATAATAATCCAAATCGACTTTTTTAAGCAATCGTATTTCCCAGTCCTGAAAGTCTATATGAGTTCGCGTTTAGATACTTCACTAAAGTAAGTCAATTGGACCCTATTCTGTAACTATATTTCGCAAAAAACAATTTTTTGAACATTATGTTCAGCACTTCTCAGAGTGTCGTTCGTTTCAGTCAAATGACGTCCTTCCCAAGGTTTTCCACAACAACCGGCCCTGCGCTGCTCGCATCCAGGTACTTCCCAAGACCTTTACCAGATCGTCGGTCCACTTATGATTCAGCAGGGAGTTCTGCCAAAATAAAACTAGACACTTGACGGTGGACACTCTCTCACGCCGATCTGGCTCTGCAGTCCGATCACCACGCACTTGGCGCACTTCACTGCCTCGCGCGCCGTCACTACTACTACTAAAGTCTGTTCGCCGAGAGTTGATAAATATTATGAAATGTCTTGCAATAGCGACTGTCGCTTAGTTATCACATTCTGTATGTAGGGCGTCGTTTGTCACAACGCGCACTGAGTACCATGGTACGAGCCACGCAGCTGTCGTCAAGCACCCCGGCCGGCGGGCCGCAATGTGTGAAACGGAATAGATTTATTTTACCTAAGACCGAAATGAATGGTATGACAGTGGGTAGGGCTTTGCCCAATATTGGGATACACTATAAGCCACTTGATAATAAAGAAATACTTTTTATCCAACACATGGACGCCATGTGTTTGATCCGTATCCCCACGTATGCCCTAACTGGAATAATTCCCGTAAATTTAAGAGATAATAATGATAATCTACCAACTTTTTCATTATATCGACAAAAATAATTAGCGGGCTGCAATTTATAATGAGTTTAGAACCTCTGATATTTAATTTTTTTTATCAACTCTCGGCGAACAGACTTTACACACTACTCACNATCACGTGAGCACGAATCTTGTGGAAGCTACGACACGTATTATGGGCGAGTTCATACATCAGAAGTGTAAATCGTTCAATGCATACGCGATGATCGACGTTCTCTGCAACATCGTCGACGGTCAAATCAGTCGTAATCTACACGCTCACGCGAAAAGCTCTGATATAGTATCAACCTATACAAGATTCCTCGCAAAGTCTAAAGAGGTTTTGAATTTCGATTCCACTCTAAAAAGGATAGGTGCAAACGAGTTCAGATTCGAAAGTGGTGGCAAAACTAAGAAGTCTATAAAGTTTAGAATAGACACCTGGTGTTGCGACTGCAGTGTGGGGAGGAAAGGTCGGTTCTGCGAGCACCTGTGTGCTGTGATCAACGTGGTGGATACAGATTTGATAAGAATTACTGAACTGACTGACGAGGAGAAGTGTTTGTTGACTGATATTGCAGGCGCGGAATGCGAGGAGAAAATTATAAAGCCTGAGTGTACTGAAGAGGCGGAAGATATGGACATCGATGACATTAAAGATGACGAATTTGTAAATGATGCTGAAGGTGGAATTGATGATGACGTAGATAAATATTCAGCAGGTTCACCAAAGTCGGAGAATGATGATGATTATTATTATTTAGAAATAAAAAATGAAAACTGCGAGAGAAATGATCCTTTGGACGATTTAACTGAAGAAAAGTGTGAAGAAATCAGTTTTTCAATTCAAAATAATAAAGAGGTTCAATGCACAAGTAAAATGGATTTGAAAACGAAGTATGAAGAAGCTATGAAGGGTTTGAACAACGAATTTCGGAGATTGAACAAGTTTTTCAAAGCAAACCCGAATAAAAGTAACATGGAAACTATGGTGCGATTGGCAAAGGAGCTTGCCAAAATCCGCCCTGTCGAGAGGGTCAATTTGCGAAATATGAACATCGCAATGAATGGGAATGAGGACTGTAGTTGATTTTTTGTATTTTATAATAAAGTGTATTACAAAAATTTCATGTCTTTTAATATTACAAAATTAACCAATAATTCCAAAGCACCACTTTTATAATTGATCTTAAAATTTCAATTAGTATTCAATCAACTGTAAATAATAACCTACCTGTTTAGATGTTGATAAAAAAACTTTTTATTTATTGGATATTTTTACATATTGGAGTTAGCAAAATAGAGACGTCATCTATTGTGTAATTTTTTCGTAAAAAATTATAGGTCGCTCAGAGAAAGTTGAGGCAAACACGTACTCACACTGATGTAATATTTGAATACAGAACACAAACAACACACTTTACATTAAAGTTCAAATATCGAATACACTATTTAACTTGCTCTTAATAAATGTCTGAAAGAGAGACAGAAAACATTTGTCAGTGCGACTACGCAAGACGTCAACGCAGATACAAATCTTTGCTCGTGCTGATGGTTTCAACTCTTGTTGCGCGACCTATACCTGTCAAAACAGTATGAGATTTTCAACAAGGTTTGAGCTGTCAACTAGACTCACTTGGCTCGTGCTCTGCAGACCGATGACGTCACCACCGCGCGGTACAGCAGGGAGTGACGTCACAGGGACGCTACTCACTTGGCGGTGGACACGAAGTCCGTGAGCTCGCCGTCGTCGCGCTCGAGCTGGTCCAGGGTGCGCGCCTCGCCCGTGCTCTGCAGACCGATGACGTCACCACCGCGCGGTGCAGCAGGGAGTGACGTCACAGTGACGCTACTCACTTGGCGGTGGACACGAAGTCCGTGAGCTCGCCGTCGTCGCGCTCGAGCTGGTCCAGGGTGCGCGCCTCGCCCGTGCTCTGCAGACCGATGACGTCACCACCGCGCGGTGCAGCAGGGAGTGACGTCACAGTGACGCTACTCACTTGGCGGTGGACACGAAGTCCGTGAGCTCGCCGTCGTCGCGCTCGAGCTGGTCCAGGGTGCGCGCCTCGCCCGTGCTCTGCAGACCGATGACGTCACCACCGCGCGGTGCAGCAGGGAGTGACGTCACAGTGACGCTACTCACTTGGCGGTGGACACGAAGTCCGTGAGCTCGCCGTCGTCGCGCTCGAGCTGGTCCAGGGTGCGCGCCTCGCCCGTGCTCTGCAGACCGATGACGTCACCACCGCGCGGTGCAGCAGGGAGTGACGTCACAGTGACGCTACTCACTTGGCGGTGGACACGAAGTCCGTGAGCTCGCCGTCGTCGCGCTCGAGCTGGTCCAGGGTGCGCGCCTCGCCCGTGCTCTGCAGACCGATGACGTCACCACCGCGCGGTGCAGCAGGGAGTGACGTCACAGTGACGCTACTCACTTGGCGGTGGACACGAAGTCCGTGAGCTCGCCGTCGTCGCGCTCGAGCTGGTCCAGGGTGCGCGCCTCGCCCGTGCTCTGCAGACCGATGACGTCACCACCGCGCGGTGCAGCAGGGAGTGACGTCACAGTGACGCTACTCACTTGGCGGTGGACACGAAGTCCGTGAGCTCGCCGTCGTCGCGCTCGAGCTGGTCCAGGGTGCGCGCCTCGCCCGTGCTCTGCAGACCGATGACGTCACCACCGCGCGGTGCAGCAGGGAGTGACGTCACAGTGACGCTACTCACTTGGCGGTGGACACGAAGTCCGTGAGCTCGCCGTCGTCGCGCTCGAGCTGGTCCAGGGTGCGCGCCTCGCCCGTGCTTTGTAGACCGATGACCACGCATTTGCCGCATTTCACTGCCTCGCGCGCCGTCACTACTGCGTGGTTGACCTACGACAAGCAACATAAAAATGTATAACATGGTCTTTATAATATAAAATAAACAAATAATAAGTCAGAGGTTGCGCAAGCGGCGCAGGACTGGTCTTTGTGGAAATCCTTGGGGGAGGCCTTTGTCCAGCAGTGGACGTCTTTCGGCTGAAACGAACGAACGAACGAAGTCAGAGGTTCCCAAACTCTATCGAGCGAGACTCCTTGGTGCAAGCGAATGCTATTTCTATAGCTGCAAAGCCCAGGATTTAAAGGTTAACCAGTCTGACTCATGTTTGGTATCAAGGAAAAGGTCAGCTCTCAAACTGGGCGACGAAACGCCCTAGCTGGGACGAGGCTATGCAGAAATATTATGCTAACAACGTCATATCTATAGCTTGACTTTAACTGACCAACCGGGCAAAATAGGAGTTCAATGGATCGATCCATGGGTGTCGCGAAACACAAGCCTACATTTTCGTTAAAGTTGATGGTATGCGTCACTGTAGAAGAAACTTCAGGGCAGAATTTGGACACTCTCACGAGGAGCTCTGTATTGATCAGACATGAAACTGAATTTTTATTAACTACGAATGAAACGAAACGCTGGCCGTAAGAGCGTATTACCACAGAATAATAATAAGTACTACCAGGCCCAGTGGCGGCGTAGCATAAGTTGGCAATACGAGCGAACATTAACTCACGCACGCGTATTCTTGTGTATGATGGAAGAAAATAAAGAAAATGGTGTACTAAATACTGTGCAGTATTTAACTGCCTAAATAATAATAAAAACACAGAATGTACTTTTTTAAGTTGCCTCAAGACACTGAGAGGTAAATAAGTAGTTAATATTATTCATGATAATTCATGCTAAATCATGTATTTTCTCCGCCATTTTCCGCAGTTTGGCACCTCACGTCACATCATTTTACCGAAGTCAGCCCTATAGCTTCGACGCAGTGCCGATCACTGACGTTTGTCAACAAAATGGTGCTTGACTTGCGTTTGTGAGGCCTTGTCGAATAGTGTCCTGTAGGTGGGCCATCGTGCGTGTTTTGTTTTCGATGTAAACTCGCGGAGATGAACAGGCCTGGTATTACACTTAAACAATTTGACGGGTTCATCCAGTGTCTAAGTAGCTCAGATGGATGAGCAGTTGCCCGGTAAGCGAAAGGTCGTGGGTTCGATTCCCGCCTTAGGCAGTTTGATTTTTTCAAGTTAAATAAAATTTACAACTACAAATGAAGTTTAAAACGTATCATTTTCAATCTAAATTCTTCACAACTGGATGATAGAGTACACACCTTAGCGGCGATACACAGGTACTTGAAGAAGCGTTGGTGCGAGGACCAGAACTGTCCCCACATGGTCTTCTTCATGCGGGATTCCGCGTCGATCAGCTCCGCCGCCTCTGTGAACCGCTGCATCGCTTCCACCCACTGCAGAAAAACGGTTTGTTAGTCAACAATGAGGGCTATCGTTTTTATACTTAACAGTTGGCACCCCTGGCGATTGACAGGACCTTACTCTACAGTGGCGCCATCTTGATGAGTGCAAATGCGATAGTCCTCCTACCACTTTAGCGCTCACCAGTTGGTGCCACTGTCTTCGCTACTAGCAAGTGACAGGACCTTACTCTACAGTGGCGCTAACTGGTGAGCGCTAAAACGATAGCCCTCATTATAACAGGAACGATTATAATAACACGTAAGAGCGCTCTCACATTAGGGCGTCAGAGCGCGACAGCAGCGCGGCAGCGGCGTTTTTATAATGTGAAGGCATGCATCCCCTGTCACATGGTATGAAATTATCGGCAGCGCGTCTGTCGCACGTTTGTTGCGCTTCTAAGGCCCAGTTTTTTGATTCATCAAAATTCAATCAAATCAAAATTTGAATCAAAAAACTGGGCCTTAGTCGCCTAAATGTGAAAGCGCTCTAATAGTGTCAACCATTTTGGAAAAACTGGAAGATGCTTAGGAACTGCGCACATTATCGGGACGGTATGCTAATTGACATTTAAGGTCGTCGCACATTTATCAACCAGGAAAGGGATCGTAACCGTATCAACTCGAGGCAGTCAGTATTGTATGTATGAAACTCCATAATACAACGCACACTTATCCGCACCGTAACGTAAACGCATAGCCTGGCATTTGACAGCGCACGAAAGGCGATGATAGCTCGCGAAAAGCGATACAGTATTGATCCCTTTCAGAGTTGATGAGTCTACTATGAACTTTAGGTGACGAACAGTAATGTTCCTTATCGTTTTCGCACTACGGTTGTAATTGCAATGTATGGTCATGGTCATGGCCACGAGGACGACAGTAGAGACAGCACTCACCAGCGCGACAGACTTGTCGTAGGTGTCCTTGAAGGACTCCGACAGCGGCACCTCCTCGATCTTGAAGGTGACGCCGTGGAAGGACAGCTGACGCGCGATGTACATGCCCCGGAGTTTCATGTCCATGGCTACGATCTCCATGGCGCCCACGCCCCTGTGGAGAAACGAATCTTTTTAATAAGTGCCTTATCTCAATAGGACACCATAGTGGCGCCACCGGTTGCTCCAATTGGCATTTTGGTATCTTGAATAACAAGAACAACATTTTCGGTTGCTATTAGTAACTTGCTTGCTTGTAACTTGGTCACGCATCTAAGCTATACTAGATGAAGTACCCTCCATATAACTGTCTACATTTTGTTTGTGACCTCACCACAGGTTCTTACCTTGTGGTACTCGTCATGCTATTCGGCTCGAAGGACCAAACAGTTTTGAATGTCTGAAATAACGATAACAAAGTGGACAGTGTACACAAGATGGACCTCGTAAAGGTAGCAAGAAGGCGCTGGATGCAGGCCGCTTAAACTGTTCAGCAGTGGACGTCCTGTGGCTGCAATGTTGATGATGAATGCGCCCACCTCTTCTCCACGGCGTTGATGAAGTCCATGAAGGTGGGGAAGGGCGTGCCGTCGCCCCAGATGCCCAGGCGCACCATGTAGGCCATGTTGCGCGGCTCCGAGGCGCCGGTGGCGGACGCGTACACCACGCGCGCGCCCGGCAGCCGCGTCTGCAGCTCCAGCGCCGTCAGCCCTGTCTTCGTGGCCTTGCCGGAGCCCGCCGGGCACGGGGCTTGGCCTTGTGGCACTCATCGTGATGATGATCCATCCGACCGATTACGGCCATGGCGGCCACTTTGACTCCTAGCTGTCTTGGCAGCGCTGGTGTGCCCGAAGATTGCTTATGTAGCCGATTGAGGGCATCTGAGCACGCCGCCAACATAGTTATCGTGAATGGCGGAAGATGGACGGGTGGGTCTTCAAGTCATTGCGCTTCGCGTCGAGTGTCATCGTGTTATCCGGCTCGAAGGTTCATAAATATCAAGGTTGCCAGTAGATTACTCAAAATTCACAATATGTGTATTTTCCCGTGATCCTCAGTGCGCTGGAATCTGTTTTTTTCACTCGTTGAGCTTTTTGGTCTTTTTGTAGTTTTTAATGCCTGAAATGATGTACATCATACCTCTTCTCCACCGAGCACAGGTCTTGGCTTTGTGGCACTCGTGTTATCCGGCTCGAAGGACCAAACTGCTTCGAATGGCTGAAATAACCACAACAACGTGCCCACCTCTTCTCCACGGCGTTGATGAAGTCCATGAAGGTGGGGAAAGGCGTGCCCTCGCCCCAGATGCCCAGGCGCACCATGTAGGCCATGTTGCGCGGCTCCGAGGCGCCGGTGGCGGACGCGTACACCACGCGCGCGCCCGGCAGCCGCGTCTGCAGCTCCAGCGCCGTCAGCCCTGTCTTCGTGGCCTTGCCGGACCCCACCGGGCGCCGGTCTTGGCCTTATGGCACTCATCGTGTGATCCGGCTCATCATCATCATCATTATCATCATTTCAGCCATAGGACGTCCATTGCTGAACATAGGCCTCCCTCAACGCTTTCCATGTTGATCGATTGGTAGCGGCCTGCGTCCAGCGCTTCCCTGCTACCTTTATGATGTCGTCGGTCTACCTTGTGGGTGGACGCGCCCACACTGCGTTTTCCGGTACGCGGCCTCCATTCTAGAACCTTGCTGCCCCATCGGCCGTGAGTTCTGCGTATTATGTGCCTTACCCATTGCTACTTCAGCTTGCTAATCCGTCGGGTTATCCGGCTCGAAGGTCCATAAATATCAAGGATACCAGTAGATTACACGAAATTCATGATGTGGGTGTTTTCCCATGATCACCAGTGCGACGTGATCTGGCCTTGTGGCACTCGTCGAATACAATCTGACACGCGCGGTACTGTAATTGATGTTATCCGGCTCGAAGGACCAAACTGCTTCGAATGGCTGAAATAACCACAACAATGTGCCCACCTCTTCTCCACGGCGTTGATGAAGTCCATGAAGGTGGGGAAGGGCGTGCCGTCGCCCCAGATGCCCAGGCGCACCATGTAGGCCATGTTGCGCGGCTCCGAGGCGCCGGTGGCGGACGCGTACACCACGCGCGCGCCCGGCAGCCGCGTCTGCAGCTCCAGCGCCGTCAGCCCTGTCTTCGTGGCCTTGCCGGACCCCACCGGGCATGGGTCTTGGTCTTGTGGCACTCATCGTGATGATGATCCATTCGACCGATTTCAGTTATGGCGGCCACTTTGACTCTTAGCTGTCTTGGCGGCGCTGGTGTGCCCGGAGATGGCTTACGTAGCCGATTGAGGGCATCTGAGCACGCCGCCAACGTATTTATAGTGAATGGCGGAAGATAGACGGGCCTTCAAGTCATCGCGCTTCGCGTCGAGTGTCATCATCCGACTCGAAGGTCCATAAATATCAAGATTGCCAGTAGATTACACGACATTCACAATGTTGGTGTTTTCCCATGATCACCAGTGCGATGTGATCGGTTTTTCCACTCGATGAGCTTTTTGGTCTTTTTGTAGTTTTTAATGCCTGAAATGATGTACATACCTCTTCTCTGCAATACAATCTGACACGCATGGTTAAGGTTTGACTGTAATTGATGTGTTATCCGGCTCGAAGGACCAAACTGCTTCGAATGCCTGAAACAACTACAACAACGTGCCCACCTCTTCTCCACGGCGTTGATGAAGTCCATGAAGGTGGGGAAGGGCGTGCCCTCGCCCCAGATGCCCAGGCGCACCATGTAGGCCATGTTGCGCGGCTCCGAGGCGCCGGTGGCGGACGCGTACACCACGCGCGCGCCCGGCAGCCGCGTCTGCAGCTCCAGCGCCGTCAGCCCTGTCTTCGTGGCCTTGCCGGACCCCACCGGGCAGAGGTTCTTGGCCTTGTGGCACTCGTCGAATACGATCTAGTGTGTGGTTAAGGTTTTACTGATAGACGAAATATTGGCATAACAGAAAAACTACAGTCAGAAAGTACCAAAAATTGGAACAAATTGATATCCATAACTTTCAAGTATTTAAGCTGACAACAATGTGTGTTATCCGGCTCAAAGGACCATATTTATGAAACGTAATATAAACGAATTTTCTTAATTTAGGTACTCTTTAGCCCACGAGTTTTAGATAGATCGTTATTTTAACATAAAAATTTGCCCCGCAACTAAAGCCTGGTCCGTGAGCACGTAGAATATCGTCCAATGACCCCAAGCTACCCATCCTTATCGCTCGCACGTAATTATATTGCTGTCGCGACTTTGCGACGGGCGCCCGCAGTGAGTGTGCGAGCCCTCCTTTATACAAGTCACAACATTAAAAAATTATATCAACGACTGACGTCACTAAAGTAAGTTATTTTACAGTGCATTTTAAATTCAATTGACTGAATGACTATTTATGTGAAATCAAATAAACTATTTCAGGAATTAGTTGCAACCATTACTTGGTCTCCTTTCGAATTTGAACCTTACACCAATACCATAAAGTTCAAAATTCAAGTAAATTGTCGTGTAAAAGGATACAAGTCCGTCGAAATCCTCGCCGCACCACTGTAGTAACTGCTTAAGTCGCGTCCGATACTTGTTGCTTGTGGACTGCGTCTCGCCGATGAGAGCGGAGTATGTGCAGAAGACAACGCCCTTTTTGACGTTGCCGTTGACCGCTGATGAGATCTTGGCGTATTTGAACTGAGGGATAGAGGACAAATGTTTAGTGCAGATGCTAATGTGGTATACAGGGTGTCCCAAAAAGAGCATGCCAAACTTGAGGAGATGATAGACTAAGCCAAGGCGCAGACCACCGATTTTTAGTTGGCCGATAGTTGGGCCCGATTCTAATTTGTATGAAGAATCGGCCGATACCAAATCGGTGTAATGTGCGCACTTTCGTCTCTCCATATTGATTAACAGCCCGATCCAACTATCGGTCAACTATAAATCGGTGGTCTGCGCCTAGACTAATAGATGACCATCTATAAAAAATACTTTAGTAAAATTATCACCACTTCAGATACGATTTTTTTAAATGTTTTTTAAAATCCCCAATTTTGAACCTATCTCTTGTTGCTGTGTGTACAAATGACCAGATATTTTTCAGGTAGAACAAGAAAAATATCTGCAATCATTATTATCAAGTTATTTAGTCTATAGTGCAAGAGGATAACCCTCTCTGATATACCAGAAATAAGAAAGGATTTAGCCTACACTCCCCACCCTGAACAGACGGGTTGGGGAGGCCTGATGGTCTCATATTTCTCCCTTAGCCCCATGAAATCAACGGAAAGAGAAATCCACTTGATACAATCATAGCTTAGCTGAAGACGAGTGACATGACATTAAATGTTCTGCAACCAAAATAATGATAATAAATAACTGCTATTTACTGTCCACGTCCACGGAGTGGAAGCCACGTACCGGAAAGACCAACGACCTCATAAAGGTAGCAGGAAGGCGCTGAATGCAGGCCGCCACCAACCGGCCATTGTGGAAATCATTGGGGGATGCCTATGTTCAACAGTGGACGTCCTATGGCTAAAATGATGATGATTTGCTGTCCAAAAGTCTACCATACCTTGTTCAACGGATGGACCTCAATCTTCCCAGCGCCGATGTCCCTCAGATCCCTCTCCGCGTCGTACTTCAGGTCGTTAGACACTGAGACCCAGATGGCGCGCTTGCGGCCCTTCAGGTAGTTCTCGAAGATGATGCCCGCGATCGTGCGGCCTTTGCCCACGCCGGCACCGTCGCCTGTGGGCAACATTATTGTTGAACAAATGATACTAAACTAAAAAAAAGTCTCTGGTACAGCTTCCGTCCTTAAGCTCCAACCCCGACCATCAAAGACAGCCCCGCTCACTATCTCGTCTCACCGTGGATTTAGAGCACCGCACCCGCTTGTCTCGACTCACCGCAGACATAAGCATACTGGCACTTGTTAGCTCATACGCACAGACTGCGCTCATCCTGACGTCATCCACCTCCAGTTCTTCAGGAGGAGTGATGTGACGTCTATCGGTGCGCCACTACAAACTGGTAATAGTCATTTTCCAACAGATGGCGCTGACACATACGATACTAGACATGATATACGCCACCGCGCCTACAAATCTGCAGCGTATTATAACGAGTTCTCTGCCCTAACAAATTATAGAAAACCGAGATGGTAAACGATTGGACCTCGGTCCCTAAGCACAACACCGCTTGAAAGAAAGCATTACATCTTAGTTTCCTTATTGTGGTTTAGCCTCAAATCCACCGACTCCATGGGAGAGGGAGGCTGACTCAGCTATAGGGAGGCTGTCTCAACTAGAAAGGGAGGCTCTCTCGTCTAGAGGGAGGCTGTCTCGTCTACTCCGCGTACACATAATTCCTGAGGCATCAGCAACCCTCACCGATAAGGAACCCGGCCCGGGAGCCGTCGGGCAGCTTGTGCTCGTGCGCCTGCGAGGCGTAGACCACGGCCTCCAGCTGCAGCGCCGACAGCAGCCCGTTGCGGATGGTCTCGTCCGGCAGGCTGAGCTTGTACGTCACGTCCACCGGCTCCACGGAGGAGGGACGCCGTCTCGACTAGAGGGAGGCTGTCTTACCTAGTGAGAGCGGCTGTCTCAGCTAGAAAGGGGAGGCTGTCTCGTCTACTCCGCGTACACATCATTCCTGTGGCATCAGCAATCCTCACCAATAAGGAACCCGGCCCGGGAGCCGTCGGGCAGCTTGTGCTCGTGCGCCTGCGAGGCGTAGACCACGGCCTCCAGCTGCAGCGCCGACAGCAGCCCGTTGCGGATGGTCTCGTCCGGCAGGCTGAGCTTGTACGACACGTCCACCGGCTCCACGGAGGAGGGACGCCGTCTGGACTAGAGGGAAGCCGTCTCGACTAGAAGGAGGCTGTCTCAACTAGAGAGGAGGCTGTCTCAACTAGAGAAGGCTGTCTCAGCTAGAGAGGAGGCTGTCTCAACTAAAGGGGAGGCTGTCTCAATAGAGGGAAAGGCTCTCTCAACTAGAGGGAGNATCGCATGAAAACACGTGTAAATTAAATTATTTAGTGCCAGATGGCCAAGTCAATAATTTATGTAAAACGTTAAAGATTTCCTGGCCTGGACTTGGTATTACATGGATCTCACAACTTTTTACCGTAGAACAACTGAGTTGCGAGACTTGGTTATTTTGACAAGTATTGTTTTTGATGGGATTGGATTGACTGTAAATGTAACATTTACGATATGAATTGCTCAGCAAATGTTCAATGGTTCTACACACTATAGGAGAATAAGATTACGCACCTTAGCGGCAATACATAGGTACTTGAAGAAGCGCTGGTGCGAGGACCAGAACTGTCCCCACATGGTCTTCTTCATGCGGGATTCCGCATCTATCAGCTCCGCCGCCTCTGTGAACCGCTGCATCGCTTCCACCCACTGCGGGAAAACATTTTGTTAGTCTACAATGAGGGCTATCGTTTTTATACTTAACAGTTGGCACCCCTGGCGATTGACAGGACCTTAGTCTACAGTGGCGCCATCTTGATGAGTGCAAATGCGATAGTCCTCCTACCACTTTAGCGCTCACCAGTTGGTGCCACTGTCTTCGCTACTAGCAAGTGACAGGACCTTACTCTACAGTGGCGCTAACTGGTGAGCGCTAAAACGATAGCCCTCATTATAACAAAATTGTCTAAAGATTTATTTATTATTATTATTAGATTTATTGTAACAGGAACGATTATAATAACATGTAAGAGCGCTTTCACATTAGGGCGTCAGAAGCGCGACAGCAGCGTTTTTATAATGTGAAGGCATGCATCCCCTGTCACATGGTATGAAATTATCGGCAGCGCGTCTGTCGCACGTTTGTCGCGCTTCTAAGTCGCCTAAATGTGAAAGTGCTCTAATAATGTCAACCATTTTGGAAAAACTGGAAGATGCTTAGGAACTGCGCACATTATCGGGACGGTATTCCAATTGACATTTAAGGTCGTCGCACATGTATCAACCAAGAAAGGGATCGTAACCGTATCAACTCGAGGCAGTCAGTATTCTATGTATGAAACTGCATACTACGTCTACAACGCACACTTATCCGCACCGTAACGTAAACGCATAGCCTTGCATTTGACAGCGCGCGAAAGGCGATGACAGCTCGAGAAAAGCGATACAGTATTGATCCCTTTCAGAGTTGATGAGTCTACTATGAACTTTAGGTGACGAACAGTAATGTTCCTTATCGTTTTCGCACTACGGTTGGAATTGCAATGTATGGTCATGGTCATGGCCACGAGGACGACAGTAGAGACAGCACTCACCAGCGCGACGGACTTGTCGTAGGTGTCCTTGAAGGACTCCGACAGAGGCACCTCCTCGATCTTGAAGGTGACGCCGTGGAAGGACAGCTGGCGAGCGATGTACATGCCCCGGAGTTTCATGTCCATGGCTACGATCTCCATGGCGCCCACGCCCCTGTGGAGAAACAAATATTTTTAATAAGGACCCTATTATTATCATTAGGTTATGGTGGCGCTACCAGTTGCGCCAATTTGGTATCTTGAATAGCTACATCTTTAATAGCCAGCAACCAATTGGTCACGCATCAAAGCTGACATCAGTGCAGTAGGCCTAGGATGATCGCCGCGATAAGCTGTTATCGCGCCATTTTATCGATTTTGCGCATACATTGTAATGTCGATAGAGTAATATCACGGCGCGTTATACATTTTGTTTGTGGCCTTGCCCGAGCGCACCGAGCACAGTCGTGCCTTGTGGCATTCGTCATGTTATCCGGCTCGAAGGACTATGAGGTTACCAGTACTATTACTCGAAATTCACAATATGGGTATTTTCCCGTGATCCTCAGTGCGTTGGAATCTGTTTTTTCACTCGTTGAGTTTTTTGGTCTTTTTGTAGTTTTTAATGCCTGAAATGATGTACACACTTCTTCTCCACCAGGCACGGGTCTTGGCTTTGTGGCACTCGTGTTATCCGGCTCAAAGGACCAAACTGCTCTGAATGGCTGAAACAACTACAACAACGTGCCCACCTCTTCTCCACGGCGTTGATGAAGTCCATGAAGGTGGGGAAGGGCGTGCCGTCGCCCCAGATGCCCAGGCGCACCATGTAGGCCATGTTGCGCGGCTCCGAGGCGCCGGTGGCGGACGCGTACACCACGCGCGCGCCCGGCAGCCGCGTCTGCAGCTCCAGCGCCGTCAGCCCTGTCTTCGTGGCCTTGCCCGAGCCCACCGGGCAGAGATTCTTGGCCTTGTGGCACTCGTCGAATACAATCTGACACGCGCGGTTAAGGTATTACTGATAGACGAAATATTGGCATAACAGAAAAACTACAGTCAGAAAGTACCAAAAATTGGAACAAATTGATATCCATAACTTTCAAGTATTTAAGGCGATTAGTGTCCTCAATCCGCGTGAAATGGTCATTTTGTAAAGCCTACTCCTCTTTTACTGCTGGACAGAAATAGTTGAAAAAAATATATGTTATACAACAGTTCAAGGACTACATTTGACACGTTTGAATTTTTCCTACGTCTCTTTGTTGTGGATTAAAAAAATAAATACGGGACATCGATTTTTTACTTCAATTCCCTACTCCTCCCAAACGGCTATGTTAATTTTAAAGATTTTTGCACGAATAGATTAAGAATTCTTTAATCTTTAAATGACACGTTGCGTTTTTCAATCGAACATTACTTTCATTCATAAATTTTACTTTTGATAAATTCCGAACGTTTTGCTGTTGAGGGGGCCTTCGCGGGGTGCGGGCGGCAGTCGGCCGCTGGCCTTCAGACGGGGAGGTTGTGTTACTCGCTGCAAACTGACATTAGCGATCAAAATGAATTTTTTCTTTGGCTGAGTTGCACCACCTGACGTGACCTAACTTTGACCGTAGCTTTGGCGATAACCGGTGTTTTTTTGTATGGAGTTTGACAGATATTTGACTTTTGTCAAATTTAAAATAAGATGGTGCAACCCAGCCTTTGTTTGACAATATATTTTATGTCAGAGTTGTTCATAGAGTACGTTCAGTCAGACGATACGATTGAATTAAGGCATGCTTGGACGCTATTATCTACGAGGGAGGCTGTCTCGACTGGAGGGAGGCTGTCTCGACTGGAGGGAGGCTGTCTCGACTGGAGGGAGGCTGTCTCGACTGGAGGGAGGCTGTCTCGACTAGAGGGAGGCTGTCTCGACTAGAGGGAGGCTGCCTCAACTAGAGAAAGAGGCTGTCTCAACTACTCCTTGTACACATCAGGCCTGTAGCATCTGCAATCCTCACCGATAAGGAACCCGGCCCGGGAGCCGTCGGGCAGCTTGTGCTCGTGCGCCTGCGAGGCGTAGACCACGGCCTCCAGCTGCAGCGCCGACAGCAGCCCGTTGCGGATGGTCTCGTCCGGCAGGCTGAGCTTGTACGTCACGTCCACCGGCTCCACGGAGGATAGTGACGCTGTCTCGACTACTGGGTCGGGGTGCTTGCGGCCGAGTTTTACTGTAAGATAGAACACACTTTATTGTACATCGCCGAAGAAAAAAAGAAAAAAGAAACATTTATTACGATGAACATCGCTTAGTTAAGGACAGAGAACGTATACAGAAAAAAAGACAGAAATAGCACATAAATATTACAAGGAAATAAAAAGTGAACTGAGCAGTGCTATCCTGTCGCAACAGCGATGCCCATCGCAATGGGACTCCACTCAGCATACGCCGTGGCCCACGGTGGGGAAGGCCACGACGCTGGTTTTCAGTGGGCCCCATGCCGAGTGGAAGTCACGGACACTAACCGAAGACGATAAAAGCCAAAAAATTTGGAACTAGACAAAGGTATTTTTTTTCTATGTTTACTATGACTTATGTAATAGAGGCGTATCTTACATTTTGGAGGCATATAATCTGCGTATGTTTCAGCGACTCCCATCTCTTCATCGTCGACTTCTTCTTCGTCTCCGGGCATCTAAAAAAGAACAAAATAAAATTAATAGAAAGATATATCTCTATTTTGACCAAAATTTTGTCCCTTGTCAGACACCTTGTTTCTCCAAAGATATGTTTCAAAACACATGTTGTGCTGCAATTACGAAAATTAACCTTAACAGCCAAGCCCCAGAGTTCAACTTACCTTGTCAGGCTGCCACATGCCAGCGGCTTTGGGTTGCCCCAAGGGAATTAGCTGCACAAACTGTCCCAGCATGCCTACCAGCGGCTCGCCCATGCCGGACGCAAATATCTGGTTCACAATACTGAACCTTAACAGCTAGGACACTAAGTACATGTTACCTTGTCAGGCTGCCACATGCCGGCCGCCTTGGGTTGCCCCCAGGGTGGTAGCTGCGCGAACTGACCCAGCATCCCCGCCAGAGGCCCTCCCATGCCGGACGCTAATATCTGGCTCACGATTATGATACTTAACAGCTAGGACACAAAGTACACGTTACCTTGTCAGGCTGCCACATGTCAGCGGCCTTGGGTTGCCTCCATAGGGGTAGCTGTGCGAACTGCCCCAGCATGCCCGAGAAAGCCCCAAGAATCTGGCTCACGATTATGACAATTAACAGCTAAACCTCAGAGTACACGTTACCTTGTCAGGCTGCCACATGCCAGCGGCCTTGGGTTGCCCCCAGGGTGGTAGCTGCGCAAACTGTCCCAGCATGCCTGTTTTGAAAGGCCCGCCCATGCCAGACGCTAATATCTGGTTCACAATACTGATCCTTAACAGTTAGAACACAAAGTACACGTTACCTTATCAGGCTGCCACATGCCAGCGGCCTTGGGTTGCCCCCAGGGTGGTAGCTGTGCAAACTGCCCTAGCATGCCCGCCAGAGGCCCTCCCATGCCGGACGCCAGTATCTGGTTCAGGTTTTGTAGCAGGTACGAGTTCATGCCGGGCATGGTGCCCACCATTTCCACTGAGAACGAGAGATATTGAGTTAAGCCTTGCTGTCCACGGCAGGGTAGCGTACTGTGTACGCGTCTTTGTACGTTTGGTGTACGCCTGTAGAAAATTTCGCTTACGCGACGCTGCCGCTCCGTCTACAGAGTTACATTTCTTTGTAGGCGTACAATGCCGCTTACGCGTCTAGTATGCCACGCCACTGTGGACAGTGACGCTTTAGACATTTAAAGGGGAGAACGAGCAACATTTTTCGCCAATATGACAGCAATATTGTGTCAATATAGCGGCAATCTACGTTGGATAGGGAAAATGCTGATGTTTTGACAAGTTGTGCCAAAACATTGTTGCCCATATACTTCTGTAAAAATGTTGTTCGTTCAGAAGGCTTTTAATTTGTTTAGGTCAATTCTTGAAAGCATTTCGTTTAGGGCCCTATTAGCGCTATCTGTCTCGCTCTCATGTTAAGTGAAAGATATAGCCAGAGCAGAAAATGGTGAAATCCATTAGGATCGATTGCTGTAAAGATAAGAATGCTCTATAATTGGCTTTCTAATGGAATTAATTACATAAGAATTGATTAATAATGAAAATGAAAAAAAAAATGCGTCTAAAACGCAATAGAGCGCATCTACGCAATGTCATTACGCATGTCAGAAGCTTACTAAGCTTACGAATGACAGCACATCAAGCCAAACACTATCTTGTGATAGTTTTTATATTTCAACAAAAATGCAGTCTGATATCCTATGAACTGTACAACTCTGTCAGAGGCCATAAATTTTGTTTTTAGAGAATTTAATAACAGGCGATTTAGAGCGAACTGCTTTCAAGAATTGCATTTATGAAATATACTTTGAAATGGCTCCTCAAATGCGAGTTTATTAAAATTTGATTACGGGGATTTCAGATTTGGATTTTTATGTCTCTCAGCTATATTTTTAACCGGCTTAACTTAACCAAAGCGAGTATCACACCGACTACTTACTGACCGAAATGCAATGATATTTTTTTAAGATTTTTATTTTGACTTTTGAACTGCAAATCGCTGCTTGATTCCATACTTTTACTTTACTTTCTGTACAAGGAATACTTTTATACTGTTATATCAGTCACTTCATAGATAAAAAAAGAAAACCGCAAATGAGAAGCCCTTTAGTTTAGTATACAGATGTAGGAAAAATATTTTATAACGCAGCAAATACACCGAAAGCTTATAGTTCAAACATTTATGCTCCAAGTCTACCATTCTTCAGAAAACAACCAAATAACATGAAAAACTGATAAAAAAGGAAAATAACTATTGTTCAAAATGCATACACAACAGGATACAGATCGGTATCTAACTTTCATAAAGATATTTACATGACAATGTTACGGTGAAGGTTAAAACAGAATTTATAATAAGATTCTATAAAGTACTAAAGAACAAGAAAAAATCATATCAGTAACATTTGAAGTCAAATAATAGGATACAATAAAGATAATCAAAATAGCTCATTAGTAAGAAATTAAAAAGTAATTATATCAAAAATTATAAATAAAACATAACAATCGAGTGCAAACAAGCCTAAATCTACTGTAAATACATCAACATCCCACAAGACAATCAGTCAATACTAAATACTACGACCACAAAACAAAGTGCTCCAATACTACGACCATTATTAAAATAACATAATTTATCAAATCAAAAAACCATTATGTTCTACCAATATAATATCTCCGATAGTCATTTGACGGCTCGCTACAACAACTTCGAACATCAGAGTTTAGGGGCACTCCAGACATGCCACTTTTAGCATCAGAATCGCGCGTTTTAACGACTCTGTCGATGAAGCATCACGATTTCGCCACTTCTTGCGTTCGGACACGGTATCGGAATCGTATGTTTTAGCAACTGTTGCTTCCGAAAAGCGACACAATCGTCACGCTTGGTGTTTTAAGTATGCGGTATAGAATGCGTGGTCACTGCATTCAGTTTTAAAAAGCGGCTAAATCGCCTATCGCAAAGTAGCATGTGTGATATGGCTCTTATTTATTTCCATAATACATTGTATGCCAGTTGGAAATTGTAATTTAAATTACAATTTATAATATAGTGGCTGAGGCTACAACGTGATGCAGTTCGTGGAAACAAGGGTGAGTCATTAGTGGCCAAATACAGACTAGCTTATGTTTCTGCCGCTCAGATTAGTTCGGCTAACGGCTACTGTATAGGCTCAGTTGAACTTACGATCTCTAAACTAAAAAGATAAACGGTTTAAAGTTCCCCACCAGAACACGTAAATCAATTAAATATATCTTGCTTTTATAAATTCTGTAGTAAGTCAGCCTTTAGGGCGCCCGAAACGCAGCGTTCTGGATGTTCACATGCTACGCAATTTCTAAATACGAGCCGTGGAGTCGCCAAATGACTAAATGCCTAATACAAAACAACGTTCAAAATTCGACTCCATCTCAGCCAAGATGGCCTGTGTAATGAGGGCTATCGTTTTTATACTTAAAAATGTTGGCACCACTGCAGTGAGGAAAACTTACTCTGCAGAGGCGCCACCCTAGTGAGTGCAAATGCGACAATCCTCTTACCGTTTGAGTGCTCACTTGTTGGCGACACACCAGAGTGATAACTGTCACTTATTAGTAGCTACAATGACGCCTACTGGTGAGAGCAAATACGGCAGCCCTCATTGGTTTATTTTCAACCAATCAAAAGTCTTGATACGCTCGAGATAGAGTCGAGTCTTAGAGCGCTTTCACATTAGGGCGTTAGTAGCGCGACAGCAGCGCGGCAGCGGCGTTTTTATAATGTGAAGGCATGCATCCGCTGTCACATAGTATGAAACTTTCGTCAGCGCGTCTGTCGCGCGTTTGTCGCGTTGCTAACATAACTGTGAAAGCGCTCTTAGGCTAAGAACTCATGGCGCGATATTTCACCCGCGCCCGCGGCGGTTGCGGGCCCGCAGCTTCTGTAGAATGCAGATACTTATGTAAAAACTAATCTACAAACTCACGACGCGTTTTCGCCCGCAGCGGGCGCGGTTGTAATCGGGTCCCGATCGGCGGGCGACCATTTTGTACCGTGACTTAGCACGCGGTGAGTTCTTAGAATAACTGCGCAAATAACCGCTCCCGTGAGTTTTGAAACAAAACCGCAATTCCACAAACGCCGCGGGCGCGGGTGAAAATCGCGCCGTGAGTTCTTAGCCTTAGCGCCTTTTCACACGTTGCGGTTGCCGGCTATCCGGCGCCGGGTACCCGGTGGTGAAGTGTATGGGCATGGTACGTAGGTTTCACATGTTCCGGCGTAATTAATCCGGCATGCCCATACATTCACGACCGGGTACCCGGCGCCGGATAGCCGGCAACCGGAACGTGTGAAAAGGCACTTAAAGTTCGTTGAGACGGAGCTACGCGTGCAGCGTACTCACTCTGTGCGAGCAGCGAGGCGGCGCTGTAGGCGGAGGAGCCCGCCGCGAAAGCGGGCGCGGGCGCCGGCGCGGCCGCCGCTACAATGCGAGAACACTTCAGTGCTGCAGCTGCTTACTTTACACACGTCTCTTCGACACTAGTTATGTTGGTATTCTAGGTATTAAGATATGTCTAATCTAAGGGCTTCCGATAAAACTCGCGCGGGTGTTAGGTCCGGTTTCCACCAAGGCGGAGAGGAGCGAAGACAGGAGATGTGTTTTGAATAACCGATCAGATTTCGTTATATCTGTCAACGTGAAATTGTGAACTCTGTCAGTTTATAATATAACGCGTTAGATTGTAAACTAACAGTGGGTTAGGTTAGGTTAGATTGTAATTTAACTACGTCAGATTATAATCTGACGGAATTCACAATTTTACGGTGACATATTCACATCTCTCTGCGCTTATGAAATGGATCGGGCGAAGAGATGTGTCGGGCAGGGTGATCCCCCGCTGCCTTCTTCCCGCACCTAGTACACCCGAAGGCGTCATAGGATTCGTAGATTACAATAGACTAATTTCTCCGCTCCGCTTGGTGGAAATAACCTGCGCCAGTTTCGCTGCACATCTTCTCGTCCCTGCTTTGGTGGAAACCGGGCCTCAGGGCCTCCGATAAAACTTGCGAATATCGAAAATTTGTATGAGCGCCACATGCACTTTTTGGACTATATTGTCGTAGTGGTGTCGAAGAAACATGTCTAAATTCCATTAGCACCCAACTTATTGACATAGTTTTTGCATGTAATTTTTAAACAATATACGGTATTAACATGACTGGGCACGAGCACCATTCAACACATGGCTAGGGCCGCCAAAATACAAACGGGTGTTTCTTCTTTCATTTCAAGCTCGCCCGTTTATGATCAATGTACGTATGTTTTATCAGTTATCCACTATTCTTAGGCCCTTCGTATACAAGGCTACGCAAATCTTCGATAGCAACCACCTAAACGTGCGTAGAGACCACAATCATCGTGTGTCGAAGCTAGCGTAGCCTTGTCTACGGAGGACCTTAATTATTCAATTCTGAAAATGGTATTCACAGTCGCCAACGGACGAGAGAACATAAATTTAAACTGTAATATTCGGCTAATAGCAATCTTGAGATTTGTACGTAGGTATAAAGGATAACTTACTGCCGCGCCCCATTCCCATGTTGAGAGGCTTGGTGATCTGGCTGGCGGATATCTTGATAGGCTTGACGTTGGCCGCTTGTCCGAACGCTAGTCCTGACGCCGCTGTTAGTACAAACATATTCTAATTAATTAATGAAAATGTACAGGGGGTATTAAGTGTGCATTTATTTATTTATTTANTATGTGATTATAGCTTAATAGATGACGAAAATTTCTGCGTTATGGTCTTATCCAGAGGTTCTCAAATAGGGGCCTGAAAATGCGGCGAAATGGTTCCAGTAAAGGATGGTACGGCAGTGTTTGCTTCGCGCTCGACTTGGCGGGGGCACTGCCGTGCCCCCAGAACGGTATAAAGTTCCCCACCAGAACACGTAAATCAATTAAATATATCTTGCTTTTATAAATTCTGTAATAAGTCAGCCTTTAGGGCGCCCGAAACGCAGCGTTCTGGATGTTCACATGCTACGCAATTTCTAAATACGAGCCGTGGAGTCGTCAAATGACTAAATGCCTAATACAAAACAACGTTCAAAACTCGACTCCATCTCAGCCAAGATGGCCTGTGTAATGAGGGCTATCGGTTTTATACTTAAAAATGTTGGCACCACTGTAGTGAGGAAACCTTACTCTGCAGAGGCGCCACCCTAGTGAGTGCAAATGCGACAGTCCTCTAAACGTTTGAGTGCTCACAAGTTGGCGACACACCAGAGTGATAACTGTCACTCATTAGTAGCTACAATGGCGCTACTGGTAAGAGAAAATACGGCAGCCCTCATTGGTTTATTTTCAACCAATCAAGTCTTGCTACGCTCGAGATAGAGTCGAGTCTTAGAGCGCTTTCACATTAGGGAGTTAGTAGCGCGACTGCAGCGTTTTTATAATGTGAAGGCATGCATCCGCTGTCACATAGTATGAAATTTTCGGCAGCGCGTCTGTCGCGCGTTTGTCGCGCTGCTAAATGTGAAAGCGCTCTTAGGCTAAGAACTCATGGCGCGATTTTCACCCACGCCCGCGGTGGTTGCGGTCCTGCAGCTTCTGTAGAATGCAGATACTTTGTCCCGCTCGCCAGTTTTCGCCCGCGCGAAAACCATTTTGTACCGTGACTTAGCACGCGGTGAGTTCTTAGATTAACCGCGCAAATAACCGCTCCCGTGAGTTTTGAAATAAAACCGCAATTCCACAACCGCCGCGGGCGCGGGTGAAAATAGCGCCTTTTCACACGTTGCGGTTGCCGGCTATCCGGCGCCGGGTACCCGGTGGTGAAGTGTATGGGCATGGTACGTAGCTTTCACATGTTCCGGCGTAATTAATCCGGCATGCCCATACATTCACGACCGGGTACCCGGCGCCGGATAGCCGGCAACCGGAACGTGTGAAAAGGCACTTAAAGTTCGTTGAGACGGAGCTACGCGTGCAGCGTACTCACTCTGTGCGAGCAGCGAGGCGGCGCTGTAGGCGGAGGAGCCCGCCGCGAAAGCGGGCGCGGGCGCCGGCGCGGCCACCGCTACAATGCGAGAACACTTCAGTGCTGCAGCTGCTTACTTTACACACGTCTCTTCGACACTAGTTATGTTGGTATTTTAGGTATGTCTAATCTAAGGGCTTTCGATAAAACTCGCGCGGGTGTTAGGTCCGGTTTCCACCAAGGCGGAAGGAGTGAAGACAGGAGATGTGTTGTGAATAACCGATCAGATTTCGTTATATCCACATCTCTCTGCGCTTATGAAATGGATCGGGCGAAGAGATGTGTCGGGCAGGGGCGGACTAATTTCTCTATAGACTTTGGCAGTGGCAGTGATCCCCCCCTGCCTTCTTCCCGCACCTAGTACACCCGAAGGTGTCATAGGATTCGTAGATTTCAATAGACTGAAAGCTACGCAAGCTCACATTTCCTCTCGTCTCCGCTCCGCTTGGTGGAAATAACCTGCGCCCGTTTCGCTGCACATCTTCTCGTCCCTGCTTTGGTGGAAACCGGGCCTCAGGGCCTCCGATAAAACTTGCGAATATCGAAAACTTGTATGAGCGCCACATGCACTTTTTGGACTATTGTCGTAGTGGTGTCGAAGAAACATGTCTAAATTCCATTAGCACCCAACTTATTGACATAGTTTTTGCATGTAATTTTTGAACAATATTGGATTAACATGACTGGGCACGAGCACCATTCAACACATGGCTAGGGCCGCCAAAATACAAACGGGTGTTTCTTCTTTCATTTCAAGTTCACCCGTTTATGATCAATGTAAAGCATCGTCCTCCTTTATGATCAACCTTTTACCTTTTGACCGTTATATCTACTATTCTTAGGCCCTTCGTATACAAGGCTACGCAAATCTTCGATAGCACAAAACCTTCTAAGTGTGCTTATGTACGAACCTCTATTATGCATTAAGCTGAGACCACCATCATCGGGTGTCCAAAATTTGAGTAATCTTGAATTCAATTCTGAAAATGGTATTCACAGTCGCCAACGGACGTGAGAACCTAAATTTTAATTTTAATATTCGGCAATAGCAATCTCAACTTTATTTACAGGTAAGTGTGAGGGATAACTTACTGCCGCGCCCCATTCCCATGTTGAGAGGCTTGGTGATCTGGCTGGCGGATATCTTGATAGGCTTGACGTTGGCCGCTTGTCCGAACGCTAGTCCTGACGCCGCTGTTAGACCAAACATATTCTAATTAATTAATGAAAATGTACAGGGGGTATTAAGTGTGCATTGTTTGCCATAAAAAAATATTCTTCATTTGTTTTAAACAAATGATAGAACTAGACTAAGACCTGCCTAAGGAATTTAAAAAAGACCGTTCTTGCGCTGCCCGTATCCAGGCGTTTACGCAACCTTAAACTAGTTCGTAGGTCTACAAGTGGGAGGCTTGTCACACTACCGTCTTACGGTCTGTGGTCGCTACTGGACTAACTTTTCTGCCCCAACAGTTATCAGTTTTACGAATTAATGTCATCATGAATCGATTCAAATAAGACAAAAAATACCCAGAATCCAGAAAGGCCCAGATAAGATCAGGACTCAAACCCAGCAATACTACAGCTTTAGCTAACCAAAAGGGTTCCAAGTTAACACAACTTTTCAAAGTAAAAGGGTTGCAGTTATTGACGAGAACGAGTCTCGTTGGTCCATCATCATCATCATCATTTCAGCCATAGGACGTGCATCCAGCGCCTTCCTGCTACCCAGGTCGTCGGTCCACCTTGTAGGTGGACGTCCCACGCTGCGTTTTTCGGTATGTGGCCTCCACTCCAGAACCTTGCTGCCCCATCGGCCGTCAGTTCTGCGTACTATGTGCCCTGCCTGCCTATTGCCACTTCAGCTTGCAAATCCGTCGGGCTATGTGTTAGTGACTTTAGTTCGTTGGTCCATTATGCCCTAATAAAGAGTTTCTACAGTAAGATATAGGGTGATACTTACCAGCCAACGGATTAGTGGTGGGTTTAACGGTGACCTGCACGGGGGCCGGGGTTCCCTTCACCTTGGCGCCCGTCTGCCCCATCCGGGCCGCCGCTGCCAGGGTCTTACCGCCGCCTGGACCGCAGAAATGGTGAGATTAATACTTCATCATGACATAGCTGACCCTATAACTTCATATAGAAAACCTGCCGGGCTAGGACGCGCCCTGATAAAATCTTATCGACGATTTTAGACGACAAACGTATGGGCTTATCGCGTAAAATCGATAAATGGCGCGATAAACGCTTATCGCGGCGAGCATCCTAGGCCTACTGATCGATAGAATTGTTTATAGAGGGCATTATTCATAGCTATAAGCGACAACAGCCCAATGGTGCCGAAGTAAGATCCGAGGAACGCGGGTTCGAAGTTCGAACTCCTCCGCCGCTCCATTGTGGTGAACCCATTCGTTAACAAAAGCATTTCTAGCTTAAGAACCTGTTCCTTTAAAAAATGCTAATATCTTATTAAAAATTGATAAATCAGTTTGTTTCCTTCTCTAATCTTAGCGTAACTAACCAAAGATGAAACATTTATGCAACTTCTGCACTGAAGCTTCTGTATAACTTTACTTATGGCCATAAGTACTGTTCACTAAGGTTAAAATATGCTTACACTAATGCCCATTCCGCATCACACTGTGAAACGATACACTGANGAAAACCCGCCGGGCTAGAACGCGCCGTGATAAAATCTTATCGACGATTTTAGACGACAAACGTATGGGCTTATCGCGTAAAATCGATAAACGCTTATCGCGGCGAGCATCCTAGGCCTACTGATCGATAGAATTGTTCTTAGAAGGCATTATTCATAGTTATAAGCGACAACAGCCCAATGGTGCCGAAGTAAGATCCGAGGAACGCGGGTTCGAAGTTCGAACTCCTCCGCCGCTCCATTGTGGTGAACCCATTCGTTAACAAAAGCATTTCTAGCTTAAGAACCTGTTCCTTTAAAAAATGCTAATATCTTATTAAAAATTGATAAATCAGGTTGTTTCCTTCTCTAATCTTAGCATAAATAACCAAAGATGAAACATTTATGCAACTTCTGCACTGAAGCTTCTGTATAACTTTACTTATGGCCATAAGTAATGTTCCCTAAGGTTCAAATAGGACGTTTGGCGTTTAGTGAACAGTGCAGAACACGTTTCTATAGACCCTATAGACATCGTACACCTTTATGTGATAGGCGATTCCATTCGAAGTACTGACTCTACTAGCCTTGTATATTAAAGGCCGACTGTATACAGGGTTAAATGCTTACACTAATGCCCATTCTGCATCACCGCAAACAATACACTGATCGATTACCAGCCGTGACAGCCTATCCAGATAAACGAAGATAATACAAAATCTTTCGACTTTCGACAGACTACTGCAAGGTTGTTTCAATTTCAAGTCAATAACAAGAATTATAATATTATTTGCATGAAATATTAAACCATATACTTTTGGTATGCAATTTATTCCGAGTGCAATGTGGTACACGTGATTCTATCAATATAAGTCTGAATTTCAAGTAAGTACGTAAGAAAATTACAATATTCCATTGCGTGAAATATTACATGTTGCAAATATCCTACAAAAAATATTCACGGGACAACGTGACACTGATGTCAACTTGCAAATACTTAGACCTCTCGCCCACGGCAACTTTTCATACTAACAAATTGTTACTAACACGCGTTAGTCGCTTTTGCAACGCGCTACAGTAGTGATGCCAAAGCGCTTCTTCTTCTTGTCGTGTCGACAACAAACCTATACAGTGTCAGCCCAAAACTCCGCTACAAGAGCGGCGTTGTCAGTAGCATTCATGAAATATTCCTGAGTGCAGTTGTTTGGGCACTCAGGGCACGACATCATTTGTGCTTCATCGACTAGGGAACAAAACCGAAACTGGGTAACGCGCTAAAGCTTCGCGACTGTATCGATGCAAACGCGCGACCGTGTCGAACGACATCGGGGAGCACAGGGAGAGAGGGTGGCAACTTCCAGGTACTGTTGTGCCGTTACTGAATTGCATTTTAACGCGACAGAAGCGCGAGTTTGTATCACGACTGAATCGTGTTTATGTGGGCGAGGACACAAAGCTAGGGACCGCATTGCGACTGCTTCGATGCGACCGCGCGACTGAATCGGTACTGCATCGCTACAAAAAGTCGCCGTGGGCGAGGGGCCTTAGATCGTATCGATATGCAGGCAAAAATACATACGTTGAATGGATAATATCTGCAGCAATTGCGTTTCAGGAAGCCTGTCTAAAAACGACAGTATTCCCAGTAAGATAGGCCACTTTTCCTTTGCAAATCCACAAGGACAGCAGGACAGATTAGCATATTACATAGTTGTTCAGACAGGGGTCATTACTGAATAACATTAAGCCCCTTTTGTGAACCAGATGATGTTACCTGAATACAGTCAAAAGAATGGGCAAGAAAGGAATAAAACGTTTCTTAATCCATACTTAGGCTGGGTTGCACCATCTTACTTTAATAACTTTGACAAACGTCAAAAATCTGTCAAAATCCATACAAAAAGCACCGGTTATCGTCAAAGTTACGGTCAAAATTAGGTGGTGCAACTCAGCCTTAGTATAAATGTGAAAGAAAACTAGTTGCTGGACCAATGTTGACGAATCTTAAAGACAGGGCGTAAAGAAAGACATGGTAACACGGACAATGGACATATTAAAGTGACTTTAATAGGGGATAAAGGTCTATATGGAGAAGCAATTATATCTCAAGTAAGCGTTCTGTTAATTCATATTTTAGAATTATTTTTTTGGTCAATAACAGCAAGTAATTAATAAGCTTGAAGAGCGATACAGACTTTCTGGGATTTTCCGATATTTGGACACGAAGCGAAAAAGCTAGTGAAATGGAAGAAGGATAATAATATAATGTTTCATACAGAGGCAGAATGTATAGTTACAAATTTGACCAACAGAATCTTCTTGCTATAGAGCAGTCTTTCCCAAAGTGGGCGATAACGCCCCCTTGTGGGCGCTGCAGGCTTAAAGGAGGGCGGTAAGAGACCCAGAAAAAAAATCGGGACGTTGTGTAGAGGCTTGGGAGGCGTCATCTACTAGGAGGACTCTTAGACATCGACTGAGATCGACTCTTGACTATAAAAATGGGGGGCGCTAAAAATATTTTATTCTCAAAGTGAATAAATTTGGGAAGCGCTGCTTTAGAGTATAGATCGACTTATTGTTTATCACTAATTATTGTAAATAATAATTAGAGGAAAAATAAACAGTGGTGATACTAATCCTGTTTTGAATGAAAGGGACAATGTGTGTGACAAAAGGATTAATCAACTAATAATGTTATTTTCAAAATGCCCGCCTTATCTTAAAAGAATTGCAAACAAACAAGCATGTCTGATTCTCCTTGATACTTTTTGTAGCTAAGAATATTGCAATTTTACAGATGATGTCTGTCACTTGTATTGGAAACCACAGGGTGCACTATCATATCATATAACTAGAGAACATAATTATTTTAAGAAGCTACTTTGACTATTGTATGATAACTATAAACTGTTGTATTTGAAAATTATAAATAACTTGAAAAAATCGAACTGCCTAAGGCGGGAATTGAACCCACCTTAGGCAGTTCAATTTTTTCAAGTTATTTATAATTTTCAAATTAGTTGAGATGCACCTCTTAAAAGCTAAAAATTAAATAACTATTGTATTTATTTAGAGTTTAACCTTGTTCATTTTACCAAGTTTGATTGATATAGCATCAATTTTAATAGGTATTTTATTGAATTGACAAATTTTGTAAGTATTTATCTCACAGAAGCTTTGGAGATCTTAGATTTTGAATTCAATTTCAAGCACACAATGTATGCATGTTTTAATTGGTTGCATTTCAAAATATACCAATCTTAGGACAGAATCTATGACTGCTATTGATTCAATTTTGAGGGCTGGTTTGTAAAATAAGACCTCAGTCCATTACAAGTTTGTGTACTAGTGCTGTATATGGTCTCGCACTTAACTCAGTCCGTGCCTAAGGTAATAGTAATAAGCAGTATAGATTTGTCTAAAGAACATTTATCTTACCTGGAACTTCCAAATTGTCTGGATCCTCATCATCATCGAAGTCAGAGTCGTCGGAGGGCGTGGGCGNACCTCTCGCCCACGGCAACTTTTCATACTAACAAATTGCTACTAACACGCGTTAGTCGCTTTGGCAACGCGCTACAGTAGTGATGCCAACGCGCTTCTTCTTCTTGTCGTGTCGACAACAAACCTATACAGTGTCAGCCCAAAACTCTGCTACAAGGGTGGCGTTGTCAGTAGCATTAATTAAACCTTCCCGAGTGCAGTTGTTTGGGCTCTCAGGGCACGACATCATGTGCTTTATGGACTGGGGAACACGCTAAAGCATCGGGACTGTATCGATGCAAACGCGCGACCGTGTCGATCGACATCGGGGAGCACAGGGAGAGAGGGTGGCAACTCCCAGGTATTTTTTGTGCCGTTACTGAATTGCGTTTGCATCGCGACACAAGCGCGACAGTATTGCGTTTGTATCACGACTGAATCGTGTTTATGTGGGCGAGGACACAAAGCTAGGGACCGCATTGCGACTGCATCGATGCGCGCGACGGAATCGCTACTACATCGCTACAAAAAGTCGCCGTGGGCGAGGGGCCTTAGATCGTATCGATATGCAGGCAAAAGTACATACGTTGAATGGATAATATCTGCAGCAATTGCGTTTCAGGAAGCCTGTCTAAAAACGACAGTATTCCCAGTAAGATAGGCCACTTTTCCTTTGCAAACCCACAAGGACAGCAGGACAGATTAGCATATTACATAGTTGTTCAGACAGGGGTCATTTCTGAATAATATCAAGCCCCTTTTGTGAACCAGGTGATGTTACCTGAATACTGTCAAAAGAATGGGCAAGAAAGAAATAAAACGTTTCATAATCCATACTTAGTATAAAATGTGAAAGAAAACCAGTTGCTGGACCAATATTAATGAATCTTAAAGATAGTAAAGAAAGACATGGTAACATGGACAAGGGACATCTTTAAGTGAGTTTATTAGGGGACTAGCTTTCCGCCCGCGGCTTCGCGTGCGTGGACTACATTATATACATATTTTACGGAACCCTATTTTTTTCCAAAATAAAATTTGGCCTATGTTACTCGTGGATAATGTAGCTTTCAAATGGTGAAAGAATTTTTAAAAACGGTCCAGTAGTTTTTGAGCCTATTCATTACAACCAAAAAAACAAAGTTTTCCTCTTTATAATATTAGTGTAGATAAAGGTCTATATGGAGAAGCAATTATATCTCAAGTAAGGGATCTGTTAATTGATATTTAAGAGTTACTTTTTTGGTCAATAATAACAAGTAAAATTATGAGCGTGAAGAGCGATACAGACTTTCTGGGATTTTTCGAAATTAGCACACGAAACGAAAAAGCTAATAAAATGCAAATAAAATGGAAGAAGGAAAATAAAATAATGTTTCATACAGAGGCAGAATGTAGTTACAAAATAATGAAAGTAGGATTTAGTTAAACCAAAAATATACACCCCTTTTGACTAACAGAATCTTCTTGCTACAGACCTATTGTCTATCACTAATTATTGTAAATAATAATTAGAGAAAAATAAACACTGGTGATACTAATCCAGTTTTGAATGAAGGGGCAATGTGTGTGACAAAAGGATTAATCCTACTAATATTATAAATGCGAAAGTTTGGATGTCTGGATGTTTGTTACTCTTTCACGCAAAAACTACAAACGGATTTTGATGAAAATTTACAGTATTATTGTTTATAACCCAGAATAACATATAGGCTATAATTTACGACGATCTGTGACAAACTAAATAACACGCGGGTGAAGCCGCGGGCAAAAGTTAGTTAACTAATAATGTTATTTTCAAAATGACTCCCTTATCTTAAAAGAATTGTAAACAAGCATTTCTGAAGGTCTGATTCTCCTTGATACTTTTTGTAGCTAAAAATATCAGTGCAATTTTACAGATGACGTCTGTCACGTGTATTGGAAACCACAGGGTGCACTATCATATCATATAATTAGAGAACATAATTATTTTAAGAAGCTACTTTGACTATTGTATGATAACTATAAACTGTTGTATTTGAAAATTATAAATAACTTGAAAAAATCGAACTGCCTAAGGTGGGTTCAATTCCCGCCTTAGGCAGTTATTTATTTATAATTTTCAAATTAGTTTGAGATGCAACTCTTAAAGCTAAAAATTAAATAACTATTGTATTTATTTAGAGTTTAACCTTGTTCATTTTACCAAGTTCGATTGATATAGCATCAATTTTAATTGGTATTTTATTGAATTGTCAATTTTTGTAAGTATTTATCTCACAGAAGCTTTGGAGATCTCAAATTTTGAATTCAATTTCAAGCACACAATGTATGCATGTTTTAATTGGTTGCATTTCAAAATATACCAATCTTAGGACAGAATCTATGACTGCTATTGACTCAAGTTTTGAGGGCTGGTTTGTAAAATAGACCTCAGTCCATTACAAGTTTGTGTACTAGTGCTGTATATGGTCTCGCACTTAACTCAGTCCATACCTGAGGTAATAGTAATAAGCAGTATAGATTTGTCTAAAGAGCATTTATCTTACCTGGAACTTCCAAATTGTCCGGATCCTCATCATCATCGAAGTCAGAGTCGTCTGAAGGCGTGGGCGGATTGTCCTCATCCTCACCGAAGCGAGCGCGTTTAGACTGCCAAGGAAACAAAACATTTTAGCTATGTATTTATTAAAGCAGGGAAGAATCCGGATGCAGGCAGCGCAGGATTGGTTGTTATGGAAATCCTTGGGGGAGACATTTTGTCCAGCAGTGGACGTCATTTGGCTGAAACTAACCTCATTTAGCTGAAACTAACGAACGATGAGTCAGGTTATCGCAATGAGGGTTCTAAGCAGTTTTCCTTCTCCTATCCACTTTAGCTTAATTTTTGGATACCACTTGGTTCTTGCTACATTGGTCTTTTTTTCTATTCTATCATGCGATCAATCAGAAGACTTTGAACAGATTTGTTCTGTGATTATCCAGTGCAGAATTTCCACTGGGACTCACTTTTATTACACACACATTAATTCTGGCTCTATATTGATCCAAGTATGAAAAATATTTGTCAACATAAAATCTCCTTTAATACCGATTTAAAACCTTATGTTGATAGTACGAAGACACATCTGCAATACATTTACAGAATTACTTTTCTCAAATAATACCATGTGTATTTTACATGGTATTTTTCGAGACACTGTATTTCACCAAATAATACCATGTGTATTTCACGTGGTACTTTTTGAGACACTTGAAATCATATTCTTGAAAACATAAACAAGACACAAATTGCATATCTAGGAATAGTTACACAATTCCAATTATTGTCTACATTTACTATTTTGCATACAACTAATATTTTTAGGCTTTTTCAATATTATGTAGCTCATACTGCTGTATCAGCAACATTTTGTTTTGACAATTAAACTAAATTGTCTAGTCATTTTGTTGTGCAAGAAAATGGCAATGAGCTAATAATTATTTTACTATGGTTTGTTATGATGCAGAGAATGAGCAAAAGTTTAACATCAAGACCTGAAAAAGACTTGCTTGTTGTAGGAAAAATCAAAAATGAAAAGTAAATTATGTATTTGAGTACCCAACCAGTAGAAGTTGTTTACTTACTGTATCACAATAAACAAGAAATAAGATGATGACTAATGTAAATGACTCCTACGTTTTTGCTTTTTATTGTATTATTCTAGTTTTATCTTTAACAAGAAAATCAAATCACAATATTTATTTCGATTTCAGCTTAAGTGCTTTTTTTGCTGAATTAAATCATTATGTTTGTCGAAATGGTATTATGCCAAATACTAGTCAATCAAATCAAATGCTGACTTAATAAAATGATCATAAAATAGCCCAATCCATATACATAACCTAAAATTACGCTTGATAATAATGATTCTCCAATGACATTCGTCAATACAATCCTAATGGACTACAATATGGGTCAATTAATTTAATACCATGACAGTAAACAAGATTTAAATGCCATGGATTGGTGGCTGGAATACTCCTAAATATGCCACAATCAGAGATAAAATGATTTATAATTTTACATCAAATTCAAAACCAATGATGGTTTAGTAATTGGTGATTGATCACTTGTACAATGTACATAAGCACATTTCATACAGTAGATACCTACTCAAATAGAATTCATTAATATCACCATAGTTGTTAAACTGGAAATTATTTCAATAATATGTTGACTGTACCAAGAGTGGTATTTTATTTAGCCAATATTTTAATGATGGTAATTATTAAATAGCAGTTCCTAATGACATTATGTTGCAATACAATAATTACTGCTTATGATTGCAACAGTCAAAATCATATTGCTAGATACTAGAATTATTTACATTAACACTGCAGTGTTGTTACACCAAGCTATTGGGTTTTACTGCTTATGTTTCCATCAAACATAAGCAATTGCAGTTAAACTTATATAACTGATAACAGTCTTTTATGCTGCAATTTATAGGCACTGCACCACTCTTTGATAAGTCATGCTGAATGTTGAGTAATGTCTTCAAATGTCCATTTTATTTCAGTCTAATTTGCCAATTATTTCGCAGTTTCCCTGTTATTATCGTCTTAAGAATATTGTATCTTTCTCCCAAGCCTACTGGGAACCCCTAGGATATGCAAACACCCTGCCAAACCCTCCAGTACCGCATTAGATCAATGTGCTAAACATAGGTAAAGTGCAGATATTCAAGACGTATTCTAACACTATGTCTAGAACCTTCCGAGAAAATCAATACAGCCACACCCAACTTGCATAATTAACTCATAATAGGACCAAGAAACTGATAGATTTAGGCTAAAACATAGGGAAAATATCACATGTGAGATCGACACCACCTTATGACACTTTTTTTTTGGTTAGAAAACTTGAAAACAAAGAAAAAAAACGCGAAAAATGGACACTTTTATAAAAATTCTGAAAAAATGTACTCTAAGCTACACTCAGTATCAAAAATAATTTCGGGAAATGGTTTTTCTAAGCAGAAAACACATTTTCCAACAAAGTAAAGTTCGTAAAAAAGTATCAAAACAAAAAACTATCATTACCATTTTTATAGCTGATTCAGCGTTTTGGGATCACTTTGCAAATGTGGTGGGTGATGAGAAATAGCTCACACTAGTTTTACTTCACAAATTTGTTCACAAGCACAATAAATATTACTCGAAATTCTTATTTCGTAATGACAAAAAATCCAGACGTCCGCACGGCGGTCAATGCGTCCGCCATATTAAAAATTTTCAAAGAGAAAAGAATTTAGTCGGATACACACTACTAGACTACACTAGAGACATCATTCATATCGATAAGTTATAAATACAGCCAAATTATTCGTATAATTTTGAAAGAAAGGAAAAATGTTTTGCATAGTTTTAAACTTAGAGAACTAAATTGATCAAGCAATAACCAATAACTATACTTTTGAACTTGCGTCCAAAAGTTTTATCGACACCCTTCCTACAATGCAAGTCAATCTAACACACGGATGTATCCGAGCATGTTGAGATAAAAAAAAAGATTTAAATGAAATACAACTTTCAATTTTATAGCAAATACGACAAGGTTGTAAATTCATTGGATAATCTTTGTTTTTCTTGTTTCACTATTGGCTATAGTTCCAAAATACTGGACTGTCCTGTCGATGACATTGACAGTGGGGCGCCACCGTCTATACCGGATCGCTGGTTCAGATTTTTGCCATGTTGGAAACCATATAGTTGAACGATGGTAGCGCCCCCCTGTCATTGAGTTTGGTGGGACAGTTCAGCGTGGGTCATCTATAAAAAGACTTGGGCCAAAAAATGACAACCATAGACAAGGATAATGTTTTTTAAGCCGCCATATTGTCAACTTTTCGTGTTGGTTGAACGGATTGAGAATTTGCGGATTACGATTTGAAATAATTTAATTTTATCATCCACGTTGAATTAATTTTCTAATTGTATTACCTAAAAATACTTATTTGCGATGGATTCCCTAGTTGGCTATGGCAGTGATGATGAAAATGAAAATGAACGCGGAGGTCGCCATTCTTCGGTAAGTGTCCTTGAGTATTTTTCAATTATTTTGAAAATTTTCACCATCACAGCAGCAAACCTATAACTTGTATACTGCGATACAGCTGCTGATAAAGTTTCGTACCATTACGTAGCCTTCAAATTGAAAATATTCTGTTTTTATTTTAATTAAAGTAGGTAGGTATTCACCATCTGTTGTAAATATTTGTAGTTGTACTGTTTACTGTGGGATAGAATTCGTTGGAAATTAATAAACTATTTTTATGTACTTCTAGAGACTTTTCGGAGGCATGTTAATAATGTTGAAATTAGTATATTCTAATCTAATAACTAGGACACTCATTAACACACCAGTTCTCATCTCTTATTAAAGCAATGGATATTAATCGGTTTTCTCTGCTTGACAATAGACTGATATTGTAGGTCGCGGGGAGCGCGGGGCGCCGCCGCGATGACGACACCAACTATGACGACGTCAACATGGACATGAGCGAGGTAACTACCACTCAACCCCTCTCTCCTACGTAGAAGTAGAAACACAGACCCAAGTATTTAGCATTGCCAAATATATCTATTGTCATTGCATCTGTTCTGTCTATTGCTCTAATTCTCATTTTACTATCAACGTAAAATTAAAGATTAAATAAGAAATCTGAATCAGTTAAAATAACTTGTTGAATTGTCTTCAACGATGATATTAACACTTTTATTATTTTATATGTTACCCATTTGTAACTTGACACAAAACAAAAGTCAAATACCCCCCTCGAGTTCGCTGAGGCTCCGCCGAGACGACCGCTCGACCGCAGCTACGCTAGCATAGCAGCGCGCACATGTGAGTACATAGCTATTACGCAGGCAGACTTATGTTTGGATACGTTTTAATTCTGTTCTATGATAACAGGAGTAAAAAATTAATTAGCTTCATTTATTTGGATATGGTGTTAATGTGTAATAGTTAATTTATTTTCAAATAACTAAATATCATTTAATAGCAGCAAGTTTGTAGGTGGTGGTAGGTTTTAAGAAAGTAAACGAAGAAAGAAAAAGCGGAAATTGGTTTGTATTTCATTTTGAAGTTATGTGGCAAAAGAATGCTACCTCATTTAGTATTTTATAACTTGGAATTTCTAAGTTAGTAATTTAATTGCTTTACTAATTGATAGAAAACAGGTCTGCAAAAGGAAAGGTCTACTGTATTGTGTAATTCTATAAATATTTGACTTATGAATATTATTTTCTGCTTCTTTCTTTCGATTTCCATAATTTCCTTCTTGCAATCATATTAAATTTAGTATTTAGGATCCAAGTTAGTATATTAAATTATCAGAACAAACATATTTCTCAGCTTGGCAGGTGTGCAAGGATCAATTACCAATATTTCTTGCATTTACAAAAACAAGAGTTCCTAATACAAGCAACCAAGTTGCTTGTGAATTGGAATAAAGCTAGGCTTTTTCTATTGTAAGGCCTTAAAATATAAAGGGTCTTTAGCCAACGTCCACAAAATCCTGGCCTAAATACAATGATCTGGATATGATTTCATAGCAACATCACAAGTCATTTCTATTTACTTATTGGTAAAAGTTATACTTTCCGCTGATAGTTTATGTTGAATGGCTGATCGCTTGTCCACAAAATTCTCTGCCAGACTAGGAAACATGCCACAATGAAATCTTATGATATTTTATCGATTTTATACGACAAATCCATGGGCTTATCACCTAGAATCGATAAAATGTCTCGGATAAGACTGCCCGCAGACTACAGAATTTTTGTCGGCCGATAGCTTGATCGGAAGTGCGCACTTTACACCGATTTGGTATCGATAGTCGATAGATTTCTCATACAAATTGGAAGCTGACCCTATCGGCCGACTAAATGTTTATAGTCTGCAGGGTGTCTAAGATATCATGGCGCGCACCCTAGCCGTACAGTTAGCGTCAAATAGTTCGTGACACCCAAAGTAGCCAATAAGTTCGCAACAACTTAATTCCTATTGTTTACTAGCTCACCCGGCGAACTTTGTTTCGCCTTAATGGCAATAAATAAGCAGACTTTTTTTTTATTTCGAACGGGATAAAAAGTATCCTATGTCCTTCTCCTGGCTCTAAACTACCTCCCTGACAATTTTCAGCTAAATCAGTTCAGCCGTTCTTGAGTTATAAGTGGAGTAAATCGTTTCATCCACGAAGACGCTCCCTACTCATTTTTGGTCGAGGGAAGCGTGCGGGGAGTTTTATCCGTCCGAGCAATCCGAGCGTCATAATTGAGTGTGTGCGTGTGCACTCATGGATAATATTTAGCGTATACCGATAACACTCAAACATTAGCGGAAAAATGGTGGGGCGTGTTTTCGTGGATGAAACGATCTATAACAAAGACGAACGTGTTGCGAACTTTTTGGCTACTTTGGGCGTTATGGACTGTTTAATGCTTAATGTACACATGTCGGTGGATGCAAGCGGGCTTCGAGTAAGGTGTGCGTGTTTTCGCAGGACTCGCAGGCGGAGTCGGAGCCCGAGCTGCCGCCGGCGGAGCCCGCGCCCGAGCGCCACTCGCAGGCCCGGGACGACAGGCGTGGCTCAGGTGGGTGACATTTAACATGTTCAGCGCGATAACCGCGCAATTTCTCATTGGCGACGCACTGAGATGGTAACCATGCGGTTAGGAAGAAGCCACACGGTGCGGTGCATATAAAAATCAATGATATGCCAGACGGTGCGTTCCGGCGCCGCACCGCAGGCACACCGCACTTCGATTGAGCGAGACGGTGCCGTTGCGGCGCCGCATACGGCATACCACCATGTGTACAGTGATGCTGCAAAATGTTTGCGGTGCGGCGATACAACGCACCGTGTAGCATCTCCCTTACGGTTTTATGTAGGTATTTTATTTTTTATCCGTGGTTTCGCTCGTGTTAAATATTGGACCTCTGTTTTATTATCCCTACAGAGATGAATGTTGTAAACATCCTTTTATAGCGGATGCCTAAATTAATATTCTAGACTATAAATCCTTCTTTTTCTTTTTTAATACATAATTTGATACATTTTAGAGTAAAAAGGTGCTTTATATGTTCAATTCTCTTTAAATAATGCAATTTAAAGAGAAAACAATAAAGACTGACTGATTATAATAACGTTTTCTTTATTTTTCCCTTAAAATATGAGCCTTGTAAGAAAGTTTCGGTTTCGGTTTCGGTTTCGGCCGAAATAGACACCGTTGCCGAAATTCGTTTTCGGTTTCGGTTTCGGTCGTAAAACTAGTTTCGGTCGGACACTAATACAGTGATGCTGCAAAATGTTTGCGGTGCGGCGATGCAATGCACCGTGTAGCATCTCCCTTACGGTTTTATGTAGGTATTTTATTATCCCTACAGAGATGAATGTTGTAAACATCTTTTTATAACGGATGCCTAGATAGGCACAGATATGTGCCGAATTTCAGCACTATAGGTTCAGCAGTTTGATGATTTGTAACCTTTATGCATAAGTATTTTAATAACTCAGCAAACGAAGCGTTGGAACCCTGCCTGCTTAATTTATTCTTCAAAGAAATTAACAAAACTCATTCTCCCCAGATGACAGCCGCGACCGCGACCGCACCCGCGACCGCGACAGCGACCGCCGCCGCCGCGAGTCGCCGCGGCGGGACGGGCGCGGCGACCGCCGGGACGAGCGGCCCGACAGGTGCGATTTGTCTCCTCAGGCTGACAGTCGTGACCGCAGGCCCGACCGCGACCGCAGGCCTGACCGCAAGGAGCGCGGCGAGTCGCGTAAAGACAAGGAGCGTGAGAGACGCTCGCCGCGTAAAGACAGGTATATTTTGGTTTTATATCTTGATCAAAAGTCTACTGTACAATAGAATAAACAATAGCCGAATGGTGAAGGGGTCGGACTGGCCGACTCAAGATCCGAGGAACGCGGGTTCGAATCCCAACGCCGCTTTACTATTGAGGTGAGCCCACTCGTAACACAAGCTTACCACGAGGGGCTAACTTTGTGCAATACAAATTACTAATAATCTTAAAAAAAATTGTAAATAATTGATTGCCAACAAAAGGTTTGCAGACAAGATTGTTATAGCGGCTGGTACACTAAACTGTGTTTGTTTCGCGGCAGCTTAACACCTCATGTCTACAAAATAGCGCATATGACAACAGCTTTAGTGCTTATCTTTGTGTCGTCGACTGTTCAAAAAATGTTGAGCAAAAGCTTGTGGTAAAGGCTCAAGTTCAAAGCTGACTACACACTGCAGCAGGCGACATAATATTGGTTTCTATGTATTTATACAGGATGTCCCAAAAAAATAGTGTCAAGCTGATTTATTGGCTACCGTTGCTAGCGATACTCTGTGGTGATACGTCTTATAAGGTATAATACATTGATTTGAAACCAATTCGTTACCTGCACTGCTGCGTGTAGTCTGCTTCGAATTTCTACCGTAATTGATATTTTACGCTAATTTACTAATGTGTTCACAAGTCTCAAACATTCATATTGTGTAGATGCGACAAGAACGGCCCTCGCAGTGGCCGGCGCGGGTTGTTAGGCGAGCGGCCGCCGGCGCTGATGGAGCTGCGGCCCTTCGGCGGCGAGCCACCGCCGGTCGAGCGCCGGCCCCACGACGCGAGGGACGCGGCCTCGCCCAGGTAAGCATACTGTACAACGGTATAGGCCATTGGTTCCCAAAGTGGGGGGCGCAAATACCTTTAAAGCAGGGATGTTATGGATATCCGTAACCGTAACCGAAACTTTCGGATATCCGAAATAAAAAAATATCCGAAACCGGTATAATATTATTCCAATATTCGTAACCGTATCCATAACCGAAACTACATATCCGTAACATCCCTATGATGATCTAGGATAGATAGGATACGCAGCCGGTAGAGAAGCCCTCGATTCTAGTGGCTGACTGAGGCCCATTAGTGTTGACGCGCTTCTACTCCGCCGTTTCTTACTGAGAAATAGAAAAAACGCACACCTTACACTGTCAAATACCGGTTATACTGCCAGTCTGAAAAATCTATCTCCATCAAACTGTTACAGCCTCCGCTAATACCCGCGCGGGCGTTTGCACGCGGTTCAGTATCGAAATATTAGAAGAGTAGCGCACGCGGTTGCCCGTGCATTTCCTTACATTAATCCGCGCTTCGTCCACCCGCACGCGTTTTAGCAGAGGCCCTTAGAAGAACAAACGTAATGCTATAATTTTACAAACTTTCAGCTGAGTGAATTTAAAAATTCTAATTTGTCTTCAGGTTCGTGGACCGCGACCGCCGCGACAGAGACCGCGAGCGAGACAGAGACAGGCACGGCCGCCGCTCCGAGGAGTCGCGGTAAGTTCATAGTTCTTCTTATTATTATAGTACTTATTATAATTGAATTTTGTTGTCTGCAATAGGATGAAAACTAATTATTTTCTAATGCAAGATAATTTATTGTGTGTTTATTTGTTCCGTACGCATTCCTATTCATCTTATGGTGAGTATTTATTTCTGCCACAACTACATATTTATTTCAATTTGAAATACAAGAAAAAAGAACAATAATTGATTTCTTTCTTATATGGTGGGAAACAAGTAAAAATTGAGAGCGACTATATTCCAATAAAATTAATGGGTCCGACTGACCTCGAGATCCGAGGAACGCGGGTTCGAAACCCACCCCTGTTGGACTATTGTGGTGAACACGCAAGCATTGTAGGGTTAACGGAACTATTTTTTAAAAGATTACACAGACTAACTGCAAGGCGTTTATGTTGTTCCCAGGTCCCACAGGCATCCTGACAGACGCGAGCGGTCCCGGTCTAGAGAGCGCTCCCGCGGCGCGGCTTTTCCGCCACCATCTACCTCCAGGTAATGCATTCGTAGACTTCTCTAAGAGAAATGAAGTTCTCTTCTCATGACAATGAATTTTGCATCATCGCAAACCTTTAAGATGTATTGAAATAGTCCCAGGTTACGTTAATCTTTGGGACAATATACCAAACCATTATCCAGCATAGAGCATGGTTGTAGGGGCTGTGTGTCTTGTGTGCCTCTACAGTGTTGATGTTAGTTGTAATTGTAGTTTTATCTACGTCACGGGATGTGGTAATTAAAACTGTGTCCGATTCCGTAGAGAGCGTTTATTGCACTGAATTGTAAGTAAGTTATAAAAATGAAGTAAAATGAACAGAAAGTAGGTCGCGCGCGCAGGCGCTATGTCAGCAGATTTACTGAACAACTTATATGCTATGTACTTGCTCGTACATCCTGCCATCTCAAGAAAGAAATAATACAAACATTAGACTTAAGTAATTTAGTTTAATACGAAGATCACTGTCCTAATATCAATTATACTATGGTAGCCATGAAATTAATTTTATTGTATGTAATACAGTATTACTTTATTTTTAGCAGTGGGGAGAGGCGAGGTTCCCCGCCGTCTGGCGATTACCGCCCGTCATCGTACAAAGTCAACAAGAAATTAGAAGTTATGGAAAAAATGGGTAAGTTATTTTCAAATGCATGTCTCTTTAATGTTGTGTGCCGTTGGTTTGCTATCCTTATTATAGTTTCGTCATATCACCGTGTGCCAATAAGTATGAGGCGTGAGGAAGCATTATAATGGCGCCACTGGGGCGGAACAACTAGTTTTCATACAATTTCTAGAAGCGCAACTCATGTCGCGTTTGCTACGGGACGGTAGTGATACTGCGACTGCGCTTCTAGAAATTATTTTTTTAGACCATGGGTCTCCAAACTTTGAAGTCTTGGGGCCATAATAATTCTTTCGGCATGTTTGCCCACCTATGCAAACATTTAAATTACTATTGATTGTGTATTGTGACACGTAACGACATCGAGTGTCGAGTAGTGTTACTATGTACTGTTCTAGGTATTTTCTATTGCAGCTACCCACTAACAGGTGGCATATTTGGGTCTTAAGCTGTCGCGGGCCGGATTGATGGCGGGCCGTAGTTAGGAGACCCCTGTTTTAGACTATACTAAAGCCTGGTCCGTGAGCACGTAGAATTTTGTCCAATGACCCCAAGCTACCCATCCTTATCGCTCGCGCGATTATGTTGCTGTCGCGCTCGCACACTCACTGCGGGCGCCCGTCGCACAGTCGCGACAGCAATATAATTACGCGCGAGCAATAAGGATGGGTAGCTTAGGGTCATTGGACAAAATTCTACGTGCTCGCAGACCAGAGTATAGTTCTTCACCATCCACGCATCAACACAATAAGTCTCTGTTCTCCTCAGGGCTCCAGATCAAGACGCCGGACGGGTCGATGGCGACGGCGCAGCAGCTACGAGCGGCCGCGGGCGACGCGCCGGCCTCCTCGCTGCCCTCCTACTACAACCCGGGCGCCGCCAACACCTCCAAGATCCTCGACCAGGTCAGTGGATAAGGCTATTGTGAAGGGTATAATCAGGTATAGGTTTCATCCACGAAGACGCACCCCACCACTCCCCGGTCGAGGGAAGCGCGGGGAACCTGATCCGTCCAATCCCGAGCGTCATTATTGTAGTGTGCGCGCGCACTCACGGACAACTATTCAATGAGGGTTTTCGCGAATGAAAGATCCGCTAGATGGCGGGACGTGGATGTGGGGTCTGACCTGCTGTGTGATTGGTGGATTTTGACATATCTGTCAATGTCATGTCAAAAATAACCAATCATGCAGCATTTGAACCTCGCGTCTAAGTATTGCCATTTGGCGGATTTTTCATTCGCGAAAACCCTCATTGCAACGCTGCGAATGACAACAATGACGCTCGGATTGGTCGGATCAAACTCCCCGCACCCCGACCAAAAAGTGGTGGGGCGCGTCCTCGTGGATGTACCGAGAAAGGGAAGGGACGACTGCTAGAGTTTAACTGGCTTGACTTTAGAGAATAGTCCCCAAAACCTAGGATGCGCACCATGATAAACTTTTATTAAATATCTATATGACGCCATTATTTCGTTTTATCGATTTTAGACCCTAAACCGAAACTTTTGTCGTCTAATATCGACGATAAGATTATATCGTGACGCGAATCCTAGGCTTTGAAGAATAGTTCTCCTGCTGGCTTATAATGTGCACCACGGTATAATTTATTTTCGATTTCTGATGACTAATGTATAAGTTTATCATCTAAAGTCGATGAAATGCTTAGATAATACACTCGACATCAAATAAATCGCACCTCCCGCGATAAGCATTTTCAAACGTATGCTTCCCCACTTCCCACCGATATTGGCACCATTTAAAAGCCTAGTTCTTACCTTCATTTCATTAAAGGAAAGGTTTTTACCCCAAAAATGTGTCTTTAGAAGGATCCAGAGTCACTGCTTCAAAAAATAGGTAGTTACGCTAGAGTCAACTTTTATGGCTATAAAACTGTTAAGTTGGGATTTATCGCTATCCATCTGTTAAAGAGGACACGTGAGATCATTATTTGGTTTTATAACCATAAAAATTGGTCTAATTGATCCCATAGGTGGGCCCAAAGTGAGGTATTTTTTCAAGTCACATTTATGGTATATGTTAATCATTTATTAAGAAATTGAATGTGTTTTTCTTTAAGGACATTTATTGGGCTTTCAAATAACACCAATATTGTTGGGGAACCATGATTATGTCAGAAGAAAATTGTTAAAGTTCGCGTCGCGGAAGGTGCGGTTTATTTGATGTTGAGTATATTATGCCGTGACGCGCATCTTAGGCAGGGTACTTACCTGCCATGTAGCACGTAACGTAGCATGTAACGTAACCAACCTTCAAGTGAGTACGGCTCGTCCACGGTCACCGCGTATCTGGCTGCCAGCTCCTGTATCCTACTGCGAGCCGCCTTTGTGCTCGCAGTGATACCGCCAGTCGGCGGGTCGCTGCGATCTTCCTGCGAACCACGCGCGAGCAGCTCGCAGCGGGCTCGTGCCTATGTACTCACTTGGTACAGTATCTGATACATTACATGCTACACGGCTAGATGAGTGCCCTGCTTTATGCTTTTCTATATCGCAAAGTGCCCCGTTGACGATGGACTTGTATGTCCGCAGGTGCAGAAGCGCAAGCTGTTATGGGGCGCCAAAGCGAAGGCCGAGGCGGCGGCGCCGGCGGGCCAGTGGACGGGCGCGCGCTTCGCCCAGGACAGCGACGGGCGCCAGGCCTCCAAGTTCATGCGGCTTATGGGCATACGCGACCCCGGTGAGTAGTCTACCTGTGACACTTTTTGATCGAATCTATTGTAACTGCTTACAAAAAAGGCCTTTCAACTATCTTTCGACATTTCAACTCGCACATTGTACTACTTGTCTAGAGCATCATAACATAAACCTAAAAATTGTGTCGTATCTGGAAGAAGATTCTGAATTTCTGACGCTCAAGTATAACAATTTTTGTATGGATTGATGATTCTAAAAACTGACTTGTTTTGGTTTACATANTATCTCAGTTTACGCAGCAACACCAAATATAAAGCCTTAATTTATGTTAGTGTGAGGGTGGCGCGTACACATATTACACGATAGGCACTGATATGTGCCGAATTTCAGCACTATAGGTTCAGCAGTTTGATGAGTCTGTAACCTTTATGCATAAGTATTTTAATAACTCAGCAAACGAAGCGTTGAAACCCTGCCTGCTCAATTTATTCTTCAAAGAAATTAACAAATCTCCTTCCCCCAGATGACAGCCGCGACCGCGACCGCACCCGCGACCGCGACAGCGACCGCCGCCGCCGCGAGTCGCCGCGGCGGGACGGGCGCGGCGACCGCCGGGACGAGCGGCCCGACAGGTGCGATTTGTCTCCTCAGGCTGACAGTCGTGACCGCAGGCCCGACCGCGACCGCAGGCCTGACCGCAAGGAGCGGGCCGAGTCGCGTAAAGACAAGGAGCGTGAGAGACGCTCGCCGCGTAAAGACAGGTATGTTTGGTTTTATATCTTGATCAAAAGTCTACTGTACATCAGAATAAACAATAGCCGAACGGTGAAGGGGTCGGACTGGCCGACTCAAGATCCGAGGAACGCGGGTTCGAATCCCAACGCCGCTTTACTATTGAGGTGAGCCCACTCGTAACACAAGCTTACCACGAGGGGCTAACTTTGTGCAATACAAATTACTAATAATCTTAAAAAAAATTGTAAATAATTGATTGCCAACAAAAGGTTTGCAGACAAGATTGTTATAGCGGCTGGTGCACTAAACTGTTTGTACCGCGGTAGTTTAACACCTCATGTTTACAAAATAGCGCATATGACAACAGCTTTAGTGCTTATCTTTGTGTCGTCGACTGTACAAAAAATATAGAGAAAAAGTTTGTGGCAAAGGCTCAAGTTCAAAGCTGACTACACACTGCAGCAAGCGACATAATATTGGTTTCTATGTATTTATACAGGGTGTCCCAAAAAATACTGTCCAAGCTGAAGCCCAGAGCTAGAACATCACTAGGGCTACCCCAATCACCGCGACTTTTGACGAGTTATAATATTTTTTTACAATATTCAGGATTTTTTTAATTTTTATGTTATGGATGTAAATACTTCTAAATCAGCTAGGCCTAGTATTCATCTAATAATAATAAAAAAATCAGGCATGTACTTTAACTATTCGCGTCACAGTAACCAAAAGAGTACCTAAGCATATTTAAAACAATCATAACAAAAACTATCAAAAATCGCGGAACATATTATGGGGGTGATTCGGGTAGCGCTAGTGATGATCTACCTCTGGGCTTTGGCTTGACACTACTTTTTGGGACACCCTGTATATTGGCTTCCGTTGCTAGCAATACGTCTTATAAACTATAATACATTGAAACCAATACGTTACCTGCACTGCTGCGTGTAGTCGCATCTAATTTGTACCGTAATTGATATTTTACGCTAATTTACGAATGTGTTCACAAGTCTTATGCCTGTTTTCACCATCAATCTTTAATTTTTGAGTGACCCCTATGCAAACGAAAGTCCTGATATGTGTCTCCTTATGGGTCACTTAAAAATTAGGGATTGATGGTGAAAACGGGCATTAAACACGCATATTGTGTAGATGCGACAAGAACGGCCCTCGCAGCGGGCGGCGGGGCCTGCTAGGCGAGAGACCGCCGGCGCTGATGGAGCTGCGGCCCTTCGGCGGCGAGCCACCGCCGGTCGAGCGCCGGCCCCACGACGCGAGGGACGCAGCCTCGCCCAGGTAAGATCCCGCGACTTTTCATTTATTTTACGGTTAGGTTAGAGTTCGTTTAAGGCGAATGACGGAGCACCGGGGTCTTTTAGTGGGTATGCCTTGTCCTTCTGACTTGGTGAGCCTCACATAACCTACCCTGTCCCCGTAGGGTAGGTAGGTAATTCAATGCATTTTTCGCCGGAAAAAAAAAAGGTTAAGAGTTCGTTCGTTTTAGCCGAAAGACGTTCACTGCTGGACAAAGGATTCCCCTCCATCGGCCTCCTCCAAGGATTTCCACAAAGACCGGTCCTGCGCCGCTCGCATCCAGGCACCTCCCGCGACCTTCACCAGATCGTCGGTCCACCTAGTGAGAGACCTGCCCACACTACGTCTTCCGGCTCGTGGTCGCCACTCAAGAACTTTCCTGCCCCAGCGGCCATCAGCTCTACGAGCTATGTGCCCTGCCCACTACCACTTGATTTGGATCATAAGAGTTATAAGCCCGGGAAACTTCCCTCTCTGTCCCTCTACTGTTTCCTTCTGAGACCTTACTGTCATTAATGTGTCGTTAAAGCTGGCAATCTATTCCTAGGCTGAGGGATCTACCTCTCCCAAAGTTAGAACTTCAAATACGACGTATCTTCCTTAGGTATACGATGGTAAATAAATGAGGGCTATCGTTTTTATACTTAACAGTTGGCACCCCTGGCGATTGACAGGACCTTACTCTACAGTGGCGCCATCTTGATGAGTGCAAATGCGATAGTCCTCCTACCACTTTCGCGCTCACGAGCTGGTACCACTGTCTTCGCTACTAGCAAGTGACAGGACCTTACTCTACAGTGGCGCTAACTGGTGAGCGCTAAAACGATAGCCCTCATTGAGGCAAAACAAGACGAGGTAGGACTGTGGGAGTTGATGTTCGTTTCTTGTCGCCCTTTACGACATCCACGGAAATGGTTGTGATTCTATTCTATTCTGCCCTTTCAGCTCGGAATGACAACTTCTCAAAACGACAACCGGGTCGCAAAATGTCCACTTCTCGGAATGACAACTTCTTAAAATGTCAACTTCGCTAAAAGACAACTTCTCATAATGTCTATTTCTCACAATGACAAATTCGTATTTGGTCAACTTCGCATAATGTCAACTACTTGTTGATATTTTATATTCATTATTTCTAGAGTTCTAGTTCTTCTAGAGTTGTCATTATGCGAAGTTGTTGACCAAATGCGAATTTGTCATTGTGAGAAATAGACAATATGAGAAGTTGTCTTTTAGCGAAGTTGATATTTTAAGAAGTTGTCATTTCGAGAAGTGGACATTTTGCGACCCGGTTGTCACTGAAACGTATTCTGCCAGAACCACAAGGCCAACAATTTAACTTATTGTAATGTGTGACTTGTCTCTAGGTTCGTTGACCGCGACCGCCGCGACAGGGACCGCGAGCGCGACAGAGACAGGCACGGCCGCCGCTCCGAGGAGTCTCGGTATGTTCATAGTTTATTTATTTATTTATTTAATCTTCAATGCCAAATAAATTGGAACATAAGGCGAACTTAAGTTTACACCCTTATTTACTATGGTACATAGTATAATTGAATTTTTTTATCTGCAATAGATTGAAAACTAATTATTTTCTAATAAAAGATAATTTATAGTATGTTTCTTTTTTCTGTACGCATTCCTATTCATCTTATGGTGAGTATTTATTTCTATGTGACACAACTACATATTTATTTCAATTTGAAATACAAGAAAAAAGAACAATAATTGATTTCTTACTTATATGGTGGGAAACAAGTAAAAATTGTGAACGACTATATTCCAATAAAATTAATGGGTCCGACTGACCTCGAGATCCGAGGAACGCGGGTTCGAAACCCACCCCTGCTGGACTATTGTGGTGAACACGCAAGCATTGTAGGGTTAACGGAACTATTTTTTAAAAGATTACACAGACTAACTGCAAGGCGTTTATCTTGTTCCCAGGTCCCACAGGCATCCTGACAGACGCGAGCGGTCCCGGTCTAGAGAGCGCTCCCGCGGCGCGGCTTTCCCACCACCATCTACTTCTAGGTAATTCATTCATTTAAATGAATAAACACTTGTTTAATGGCATGAAATGAGGGCTATAGATTTAGTGCTCACACCGTCGCCATAGAGTAAAGTCGTTCCTTGCTAGTGGCTAAGACAGAAGCGGTAGAAGGACTATAGCATTTGCACTCACTAGGATGGCCCTACAAGGCCCTGTCAAACGCCAGTGATGCCAACTGTTGACTAAATAAAAAACGATGGCCGTCATTCTGCATCATCATAGACTTTTTGTAAATTTGTATTTATGTCTGGTTTTAACATTTATTTATTTAATTTTAGTGGAGAGAGACGGGGATCCCCACCATCTGGCGATTACCGCCCATCATCGTACAAAGTCAACAAGAAATTAGAAGTTATGGAAAAAATGGGTAAGTTAATTTTTATTTACTGTTTCGAAACTGCTACTGATACAATAATACGTTCTTTCGTAATATTCTAAAACTTCTTTGTACACTTTGTGATCGCGTGGTATGATCAAAATATTGTGTATGTTGTTGTGTACAATTAACTCGCCATCCCTATACTAGACTAGAAACGCCGTAGGCCGCGTAACAATGCTTACTATAAAAATGTTCTGTGGTGAACACCACGTCTGAACAGACGTCGATAGGAACTGCTGTAGGACGCCGCGTATAGTGTTCATAGGGGGAGGAGGCCTATGTTCAGCAGTGGACATCCTATCTATACTAATATTATAGATAGGATGTCCACTGTCCGAAAGTAACTCTGCCTGTCTGTTTTGCTTTCACGCCTAAACCACTGAACCGATTTTTATGAAATTTGGCATAGAGATAGTTTAAAACTGTAAACCTTTGAAAAAGAGGCTGACAATTGTGTCTGAGTTTCTTGCGCTGCTTCTTCTCAGCACTGGCCCATTTATTGTCCTGAAGCAGTGATAGGGTTGATACTGGGACGTGTAAAAGTGCTTTTTTAAAGCCTATTTACACTAATAAATGAGTTTTGAGTCCCGGGAAAGGACATAAGATAGTTTTTACCCCGGTTTTTGAAACAGGGACGCGCGCGATAAGGTTTTTCTGTGACAGACAAAATTCCACGCGGGCGAAGCCGCGGGCGGAAAGCGAGTTCCTGATATGATGATGATTTTCTCCTCAGGGCTCCAGATCAAGACGCCGGACGGGTCGATGGCGACTGCGCAGCAGCTACGAGCGGCCGCGGGCGACGCGCCGGCCTCCTCGCTGCCCTCCTACTACAACCCGGGCGCCGCCAACACCTCCAAGATCCTCGACCAGGTCAGTGGATAAGGCTATCGTAAAGGGTGTAATCACAGACCCAGCTAGACAAAGTTACTAGAAAGAAAGAAAGATACATTTATTACAATGGACATCACACAAATACAGGCAATTACATAGACATGACAGTGGCACATAATAATGGAAGAAGAAAAAATAAAAACAAGAGTAAACTGAGCAGTTCCACCCATTCACCAACAAGATGCCCACTGCAACGGGACCCCACTCAGCATATGCCGTGGCCCACGGTGACGAAGGCCACGGCGCTGGTTTTCAGTGTGCCCCATGCCGAGTGAGGATCACGGACCATTGGTAAAATAAATAAAATAGTAAGCTGCATAAAATTGTCTAGATAAACATACATAAATAGTAATATTAGTGCACAGATAAATACAAATCGAATGATTGATTGCGCGCGATTAAACAATTCAGTTCATCACCTACTACTACACCGAGAGGAAGGGACGGCTGCTAGAGTTTTACTGGCTTGACTTTACAGAATAGTCTCCCCAGTAGGTCTCGGATGGGCGCCACGACAAACTTTTATCCAAGCAATTTATCGAATAAAATCGTCGATAAAATGTTATCACTTTTGTTTGGCTTTAGATAATTCTTCCTATTTCTCCTGCTAGCCTAGGATGCTCGCCATTATTTCGTTTTATCGATTTTAGACCCTAAACCCATACTTTTGTCGTCTAATATCGACGATAAGATTATATCGTGACGCGAATCCTAGGCTTTGAAGAATAGTTCTCCTGCTGACTTATAATGTGCACCACGGTATAATTTATTTTCGATTTCTGATGACTAATGTATAAGTTTATCATCTAAAATCGATGAAATGCTTAGATAAATTGTGCCGTGACGCGCATCTTAGACAGAGTACTCACCTGCCATATAGCACGTAACGTAACCAACCTTCAAGTGAGTACGGCTCGTCCACGGTCACCGCGTATCTAGCTGCGAGCTCCTGAATCCTACTGCGAGCCGCCTTTGTGCTCGCAGTGATACCGCCAGTCGGCGGGTCGCTGCGATCTCCCTGCGAACCACGCGCGAGCAGCGAGCAGCGGGCTCGTGCCTATGTACTCACTTGATACAGTATCTGTTACATTACATGCTACACGGCTAGATGAGTACCCTGCTTCATGATTTTTTATATCGCAAAGTGCCCCGTTGACGATGGACTTGTTTGTCCGCAGGTGCAGAAGCGCAAGCTGTTATGGGGCGCCAAAGCGAAGGCCGAGGCGGCGGCGCCGGCGGGCCAGTGGACGGGCGCACGCTTCGCCCAGGACAGCGACGGGCGCCAGGCCTCCAAGTTTATGCGGCTTATGGGCATACGCGACCCCGGTGAGTAGTCTACTTGTAGGTCTAGACAAGTGGCACTTTACGATCGAATCGAATCCGATGTAACTCCATACAAACAAAAGGCCTTTCAACCATCTTTCGACATTTCAACTCGCACATTGTACCGCTTGTCTAGGGCATAACATAAATCTATAAAAATGCTCTCGTATCTGAAAGATTCTGACGCTATAACAGTAACTTTTTGTATGGATTGATTCTAAAAACTGACTTGTTTTGGTTTACATAATGTAGTTTCGGTAAGTTGTGAAACGCATGAGCTGTCTTGTGGATGGAGCAAGAGAGACGACAAGAGGCCATCTTTGATAGATCAAATAAATATTTGTATTTGAATCGTTAGTGATGTGCGGCGACCAACCGGTTTCCGTGGCGGTTCGGTCCAACTAGGGTAGGCATTTTTTTAAATATTTCGTTATTTATTTTATTTTTTTCATTTATACAGAGGCAGTCAAAGCAGAGAAGCCACCTCCATCAGCGGACCCCATCAAGAAGCAAGAGGAGCTGTTCCAAGCCATGCAAGCTCAGTACGAGGTTGCCCGAGCCACTACGCACACCATGCGAGGCGTGGGTCTCGGCTTCTCGCGGTCCCAGTACTAGCGAACTGCAAATGTGTGACGCACAAGACAGTTGTGTTCTGAATATTAGAAAAAAAAAACTATTTATATTTATAAAGAGTGAACTATCAAATCATAGTTAAAAGGGTCACACTGGTCTCTTAAAACTTTATTATGGCCTCCACTAAAACTCGCGTGAGCCACGGGCATGTGTGAAAGTTTTAGCGTGGGTCCTTACCAGGGTTCGAGGATATATATCAAGGGATATATATCTTGATATATATCGGATATATATCCGATATATATCAAGCCGGTTTTAATGATATATATCAACTTTTAAAATTTGTTACTGTATTTGTACTTTTTGACATAAGATTTTTATTTTTTTAGTTCATTTTGCCGTATTTCAAAGAAATTTTATGTTTTTGCTTTATTTCTCTGATTTTAAGTTTTAAAAACATTAAAAACATGTTTATGTAACACTTATGCAATAATATTCATGAATAATACAATAAAATAATAGTATGGCTTTCATACAAAATTGATATATATCAAAGTTGATATATATCCGATATATATCATAAATATCCGATATTTTGATATTTATAATAAATATCGGATATTTTCGAACCCTGGTCCTTACCACCCTAAGGTATTTTTAAGACCTGGAATTTATACTATCAACTAAAGTACAATGTACTCATATTTTTGTTTATCAGAGATAAGATTTTTTGTCTGTTCTATGAATATTAATGGTGTAATTCCTAGTTCCTTTTTTTTGTAAATATGATGTTCCTCGTTTTTAAGAGGCTTGTGCAACCCAATCTCATATAAATAACGCTTAACTTTAACTTGTAAGAATGCTAGGGTATGAATAGAAATTATTGTCCACTTATGACCCTTTAGTTAGTTGCCTAAGCACTAGCTAAACCTATGTCCTACCTATGTGTGTATGACCATGTACAGTGTGTAATATTGAGGTTATATTATGTTAACTACGTCGTTCGACACAAATCGTGTTAGAAATTAGTGTTAAAGGCTACTGTGTGATATATTAACTTGTTAATGCTATATTATTTATAAAGAAAAATACAATCATAGTCATTGAAGGACTAGTTGTTAGTTTGAAGGAATATGTAGTCATTCAATGAATGTATTGGTTTTATAGTTATAAGATAGCTATGATAATAAAATAATTAAATATCTTTCATGTTTTTATTTTACAACTTCCCGTATTATAAAACGATACATAAAATTTTAGGAAGCTGCAGTCTCGAGATTGCTGCTGTGCCCACCTCTGTGCCCAGAATGGCCCCTATTCCACATTACCGACATATCCCGACTGGTAGGGATACTAGGACTTTTTTTTCCACTTATAGCTACCGGTAGGGATATAATAATATGGAGTTTTTGCTATGCTCACTGCTCACCAAAGAATATATTTACTCTGACGAGCTGCTCACCCTAGAATTGTCTAGTGCCCACCCCAGAAAAGTCTCAAGATTAGTTTCCAGGTCTGGATGAAATTTTGTTGGGTAGGTTGTCCATGAAACAATGATTACTCTTGAGGTCATAGAGGAATTAACGCTTGGCGTCAATGACCAAGCCAAGAGAAACCACCCAAAAACTGGTGACGAGTTTTGATGACCATGACCATTAACTTACGCTAACTGGCAGTTACTTATCAGCGTTTATTGCATAACGGTATATCTGCAACGTTATCGTTACTTCATTCCNTTGTAAGAAATTGCAACAAAATAGTGACATTGTATGTGTAAACAAACAATACCATCCATTTAAGCCTCCAGACATCAGTGTGGAGTAGAATCAGTGCAATAAGAAAATATCGCAATATTTTGTTGCAATTTCTTACAAAACTTGCGCGCAAAAAGCAAATCTAGTATGTAAATCATCAAACTTCTAATGCTCGTAACTCAATTCAGACTGAGTTTAGAGGTATACATGTCATAGTAAGTTTGGTTTATTACACTATTTTGTAATCAAAAAACAAAGTTTGGTCGATGGCCGCGCGAAAAAAAAAAGACGCCACCTTCCATACAAAATCTGGCATTGCCATTAAATATCTTTCATGTTTTTATTTTACTACTTCCCGTATTATAAAACGATACATACAATTTTAGGAAGCTGCAGTCTCAAGATTGCTGCTGTGCCCACCTCTGTGCCCAGAATGGCCCCTATTCCACATATCCCTACCGGCTACCGACATATCCCCACTGGTAGGGATACTAGGACTTTTTTCCACTTATAGCTACCGGTAGGGATATAATAATATGGAGTCTTTTGCTATGCTCACTGCTCACCCTAGAATGGTCTAGTGCCCACCCCAGAAAAGTCTCAAGATTAGTTACCAGCCAGGACTGGATGAAATTTTGTTGGGTAGGTTGTCCATGAAACAATGATTACTCTTGACGTCATAGAGGAATTAACGCTTGGCGTCGATGACAAAGCCCAAAAGAAACCACCCAAAAACTGGTGACGAGTTTTGATGACCATGACCATTAACTCACGCTGACTGGCAGTTACTTAACAGCGTTTATTGCATAACGGTATATCTGCAACGTTATCGTTACTTCGTTACTTCATTCCNTTCATTCCAAGTAACAGCTGTCAGGCACATCACTAAAATCTGAAAAAAGTTTTGCGGGATTCACCGAAACATTGTTTTGTGATAACAAAAATTAAATTAATGCTGGGTACCGAGTAAAAATGATAAACGATCGATAAAATATTGATTAGAGGGTAGACAGTGCGTGCTTTGTGTGTTCTATCGTAACGCGAAATGGCGTTCGTTCTCAGATAAAGCGGAAACTTCGGGCCTTACGCACAGTGCTTGTCTAAAGTTACAATATTTCATTGAAAGCAGATAGTTAAAGTTCTCAGTGAAAAATGGATGAATCCGAGACGAAGACTTGCACAAATTGGTAAGTTTCGTGTGCGAATTGTCTTGTAATGTTGTGTCAATAAATTCCTATTTTTATCGGCACACGTTAGTAGTTTATTTTTAGATAATGTAGAGCATTTGAGTTACAGCTGTTGTAGTTTGTTGAGCGGTTGTTTACCTCTCGTGGCCGATTGTTTGAAAAATTCGATATCACTTGGAAAGGCCGAGTTTCAGTTTTGCAATCTGGCTCAATCTACACTTGATTTTGTTATGAAAATTGTTGCTATGTCTACTTCATTCGCCTCGTATTCAACATGATAATTTCACGTAGCGCCTATTGCTCAACGACACGGCACAAGATTGGCACACAGTGTCTACTCTAGACTATTTAATTATAAATTAATCAAAAGCTGTTGTTACATTTTCAACTTTTCATTAAGAACTTGAATTTTAAAGCAATACCTTCTCAAAAATAAAAAAAATTATGAGCCTCTCATGTACCTACTTATTAAATTATATTATTTTAATATAAATATGCCATGGTTATAATTTACTTTCCCAATTTTTATCAGTATGAAAAGTAGAAAGTCTATAGAATAACTTTCAAGCATGTAAACAAATTGCAGTTATCTTATCTTTTAGATTGGATCCAATTACGATAGTCATTGATTGATAAAAAGTAATCATGCCTTACACTATACAGAACAATTTCTATGATTTAATATTTATTGTTACAAAGTAAAGTCTAATGTAATGTGCTACCTAATTTATTTATTTGAAAGGTACAGAAACAGAGAAAAAGCCAATAACAATACTTTTGACACAATATCATTATACCAGGGGTGGCCAACTTGATTAGACATAAGATCTACTGTTTACTAATGAAACCCTGGGCGATTTATCACTTACATACTTCTTGAAATCTTAATAAAACAGCATAGTTTAGTACACAATCATGTAGTATTTTTTGCCTTGCCACGATCGACTGGACTAATATTCGCGATCGACCAGTTGGCCACCCCTGCATTATACAATTTAAATCTGAGCTCCTTTTACAGCCAGGAACAACATTTGAACCTAGTTTTGGCCTATGCGACATAATCTTCAATTTATTATTGCCATGCTTGACATATGCTCTCTTGCAGTAAGCGCGAGATCCCAGCAGTGAACTACACCATCCACACGGTTCACTGTGCACGTAATATCAAGATCTGCCCGGTGTGCAAGGAGCCGGTACCGCAAGCAGAGCTGCAGCAGCATCATGAGAAAATGCACAAATTGTGTAAGGGAATGTGTTTTCAATTTAATTAATTTTCTCAGTACTTAGGCTTTTCCAGGGCGCTTGTACGTATCCCAAATATATCATGCCCTACCCTACCACCTTGCCGTGTGGTGACGGCAGAGTAGAATACATTTGTCACCAACCCCTACTCTTCCCGCGGGTGTCGTAAGAGGCGACTTGGGGACTACACATCATACTACAAATCAAGAGAATGGGCAGCAGCGCTCTCTGAAAAACATCAATCTTTTAAACTGCGATCTCCAACCCGCCTGCCAAGCGTGGAGATTATGGCAAAACCCTCCACTATAGTGGAGGAGGCTCATAGTCCAGCAGTGGACTGTAAAGGGCTGTTGATGATGACCCTACCACCACTTCTGTACCGACATTATTAAGGGGGACTGGCCCTTGACATGTCATGATACTGTTAGGTACGATGCCCATTGACCGGCGCGCGGCGGAGCGCGTCGGAGCGCACTTACACGGCCGTAAAGAAAATTGTATTTTATTAACAGTTCTTAGAGTCGTAATTTCTTACAACTGATTAAGTGACATTTCTGTCATTCATGTTCATTCGGACTGAAATGTCAGTTAATCAGTTGTAAAGCAACTACAACTCTAAGAACTGTTAATAAAATACTATTTTCTTTATTGTATTCAACATGATAATTTCACGTAGAGCCTATTGCTCAACGACACGGCACAAGATTGGCACACAGTGTCTACTCTAGACTATTTAATTATAAATTAATCAAAAGCTGTTGTTACATTTTCAACTTTTCATTAAGAACTTGAATTTTAAAGCAATACCTTCTCAAAAATAAAAAAAATTATGAGCCTCTCATGTACCTACTTTTTATATTATATTATTTTAATATAAATATGCCATGGATTATGGTTTACTTCCCCAATTCATATCAGTATGAAAAGTAGAAAGTCTATTAACTTTCAAGCATGTAAACAAATTGAAATTATCTTATCTTTTAGATTGGATCCAATTACAATAGTCATTGATTGATAAATTAAGCAAGTATGCCTTATTAATTATTAAATACAAAACACTTCCTATGATTTAATATTTTTTTATCTGATTATTTAAATTTCTATAAAGATAAGTCTACAATATGCAAATTTTGTGCTATCCTAATTTATTTATCTATTCGTAAGGCACAGCTACAGAGAAAAAGCCAATAACAATACTTTTGACACAAAAATATTATACAATATTAAGTCTGAGCTCCGATTACAGTCAGGCATAACATTTTGACCTAGTTTTGGCCTATGCGACATAATCTTCAATTTATTATTGCCATGCTTGACATAATATGCTCTCTTGCAGTAAGCGCGAGATCCCAGCAGTGAACTACACCATCCACACGGTTCACTGTGCTCGCAACATCAAGATCTGCCCGGTGTGCAAGGAGCCGGTGCCGCAAGCAGAGCTGCAGCAGCATCATGAGAAAATGCACAAATTGTGTAAGGGAATGTGTTTTCAATTCAATTCATATCAAATTTCAGCACTTAGGCCTTTTCTAGGGCACTTGTACATATTGAACTAGCAAGAGAGAGATTCTTCATGAAGATCTGAGGTGGAATTGTGTAAAGCAATCGTTATCATTTGACAGTTCATAACGTACGATTATTCTGTCAAACGCTTTGCTTTGCACAATTCCACCTCAGTTTGTAATGGTTTTCAATTTCTTATGATTCAATAAGGTTATCCCAAATATAACATGCCCTACCCTGCCACCACTTCTGAATCATCATTATTCGGGGGGGCCTGACCCCTGACGTGACATGATATTAAGATCGTCGTTCTGTCTCCTTCCTAAAGTTGCTGTGCCCTAACTGGGTCCACATTGTATAACTGCCTAAATTGTAAGACCTAATGTGAATGCTAATGTGGTTATTATGCAATAAACGATTGAGTATTGAGTAAGGTGGGGCAGTGCCCTGGGGCCCCCAAGCTCAGGGGTCACCTGAATCCTTACCAGAAAATCTCAATTGAACTGAACCGTGAAAATTTCTCCCATTTTCAAAATAAATAGAGAGAAATTCGAAAGCTGTATCAGAAGTAAGTAAGCTTAAATGTCAATAAACTTGATAAAACCTAACCAGTTTAGATTGCAGTGGGGCCCATTTTTTTTATTTGCCCCAGGGCCCTTGGTTACCTAGCTACGCCACTGATTGTAAGGTGGGCACTAGACCATTCAGAGGTGGGCAGGGCCCACACGGTCCTCCTGCTGTATCTATGGGTCAACATGGTGATGAGTAGAAATAGTGGAAGAAACTCAGTCATCTAGTTTTGAGGTGTTTAATTTCCAGGTGCTAACTTAAACTATTGTCGACAGTGCCCTGCAAGAAGTGTGGCGAAAGCGTCTGCGGAACAGACCTGGAGGACCACATCAGGGATTCCTGTGCGCACACCATCAAGTCTTGCAGGTGAGAACATAATAATTATTATGACGCTAGCTATTTGAAAACTTGCTCAGTAATCAGGGCTAGAATTTAAGAAGCGAATTTTTTTTAAAAGAAGTGTGTCTTCAGTGCCTTTTTTGGATGCGAATGAATGATCGGTATGCGGAATTCGGCACGCGTCCGGATCTGTGGGCACACAATCCAAAATCTTTGTTCTGCGTGCAACCAGCAGCGTCATTTTACACGCAAGATTTTACAGACCAGATCCGCACGCGTATCGAAATCCGCATCACAGGAAAAAAGCACTCAGTGTAGGTTTACGGTAGACATAATATGTATTATTTCTTTTTAGGTTTTGTTATCAACTATTGCTACGGCCGATAGACATATTTGTTTACTTTCTTCTAGATTTTGCGAGCTGGAACTTCCCCGGCGGGAATTACCAGCGCACGAGGGCTACTGCGGGGCTCGCACGGAGCAATGCCCCGACTGCCGCGAGTGGGTCATGATCAAGTACCGCCAGCTGCATAGAGACTCCAACCACGGCTTCCTGCGCCTCGACGACGGTAAGCATTGGCGTATCTAAAGTCCGATCGCCGAGCAAGATACAATGATCCCAAGCTACCCGTCCTTATCGCTCGCGCGTAATTATATTGCTGTCCCGGGACAAACTTGACCTTCACTGGTTGGGTCTTCTTCTTTTCGTGTCGACAACAAACCTACACAGTGTCAGCCCAAAACTGGTTGGGTTTTGATTGGCGGTCAAGCTGTAGATCCTGGCTACACAGGAATTGCAGCGGTGGGAACGAGAGGTGGGAATAGTCCCGTTTGCTGTCGCGCTCGCAAACTCACTGCGGCCGCCCGTCTCACAGTCGCGACAGCAATATAATTACACGCGAGCGATAAGGATGGGTAGCTTGGGGTCATTGTACGAAATTCTATCTGCTCGGCGACCGGACTTTATGGTTAGTTGTCCAGAGGGGCTTGGCCCCTGACTTGCCATGGCACGCGGGGGATGGGTGCGATTAATATCATAGCTCACGAGTGATTATATCAACCATCACCTTCGAATCGGTACCCTAACATCCTGGGGCGGGGCGGGACCCAACGTATACCAGAATAAGTCATTGCCCAATGTGTCCGATGTGTGCACAACGCATCGTGAGCAGATTTTTCGCTCAATGAGCGTTTTCACTCCCTGAACGTAAACATTATTAAATGCAACTGTCACTGACTGATAGCAAACACTGGTTAGCACGCTGATACTCATTATGACGTAGGCATCCGCTAAAAAAGATTTTAAGGGGATAAAATGTGGGTCCAAATTTTATCGAGCGAAGTCGTAATCAAAAACTACTTAGCTACAGCATTGCAATACAATTCCAGACCCAGTGCCCGTCCCTACTGAGCCGGCCAAGCTGCCTCGCGTCCCGAGGCTGAGCCCGCCGGCGGCTACTAATGGAGCCTCCACCAGCGCGGCTGCTAGCGGCACCAATGGAGTCCTCAAGAACATCAACGTGACTCAAGAGAGGCCTAGGACGGAGAACAGGTAAGTTCAACAATCCCAGGCCCAGTGACAGTCCCTGCAGAGCCGACCAAGCTGCCTCGTATCCTGAGGCTGGCACCAACGGAGTACTCAAGAATATCAACGTGACGCAGGAGCGGCCTTGGACGGAGAACAGGTAAGTTCAATACTTCCAGACCCAGTACCCGGCCCTAGCCAACCAAGCTGCCTCAAGTTCCGAGGCCGGCTGCTAACGGCACCAATGGCTTCCTGAGGAACATCAACGTGATGCAGGAGAGGCCTAGGACGGAGAACAGGCAAGTTCAACAATCCCAGGCCCAGTGCCCGTCCCTAACTAACATTTTAGATTTCTGTGGGTATAGCGTAATAAAAGGAGAATGGATAATCAAATCAAAAAATCAAAATCAAAAGTATTTATTCAGTTTAGACCACAAGTGGCACTTATGAACGTCAAAATATAGTAAATAATAAAAAAAAGAAAAGGTAGCCCATAAGGGGCACTTTACATGTCTCCTTATCTTTTGGGCCCTACCAGCGCTTCGAGACAAACATATGGCAAGTGCTGAGAAGAAACGCCGGAACAAACTCAGTCACCACTAATTGCCAGGAATTATCTAACGGTAAGAATAACCAAATTCGAGTACATCAAATATGTGCAGACTGAACTGACCACGCATCCTTGTCATCAATATAGTCTCGAATCTTGTAGTACCCTTTGGACATAAGGGTATTTTTTATATGTATCTTAAATTTGTTTATTGGCAACAACAAGGTTGTGTGGTATTTTGTTAAATATGGTAATACATTTCCCCAAGAATGAATTACCTATCTTATGCAACCTAAAAGATGGAACAGCAAGTTTATTCTTATGTCTCGTGTTAAATGAGTGGACGTCGCTTTTCTTAGTAAATAAATGTAGATGTTTACGGACATACATAATGTTATCAAATATATATTGCGAAGCCACAGTCAATATATTGATTTCTTTAAAAACTTCTCTAAGCGAGTCACGTGGTTTAAGACCGTATATTGCCCGAACAGCTCTTTTCTGTAAAATGAAAATTGATTCTATGTCTGCTGCTGAGCCCCACAGTAAAAGACCATAAGACATAATACTATGAAAATAACTAAAATATACAAGCCTTGCTGTTTCAACATCAGTCAAGTTTCTGATCTTTCTCACCGCAAAGGCAGCTGAACTAAGTCTTCCCGCCAAGGCAGCAATATGGGGGCCCCATTGTAATTTACAGTCTAGGGTAATACCTAGAAAGACAGTAGAGTTTATCAGTTCAATGCGTTCATTATTTACTGTAATATTAGTATTAACTTGTTTGACATTAGGCATAGTGAATTTTAAACATTTGGTTTTTTTTGCGTTTAATAGCAAATTATTAGTTGTAAACCAGTCTAATACTTTGGAAAGAGCATTATTCACGTCGTCAAATATTTCCTGACGCCTGTCAGTTTTAAAAATTAAAGAAGTGTCATCAGCAAATAATACTATCTCACAAAGGTCCTTTGAATAAAAAGGTAGATCATTTATATAAATCAGAAAGAGCAATGGTCCCAGTATTGAGCCTTGGGGCACTCCCATTTTTAGGGGGGCGCCCGAAGAGTTAGTTCCGTGAATATTTACTTTTTGTAATCTGTCTGAGAGGTAAGAGTGTAATAGGCTTAAGGCCTTGCCTGATACGCCATAATGTTCTAGCTTAAACCCCCCCCCTCCCTAGTGTGACGTCACATGTTTTGCAATTTCACATCATAAAATTATTAAAACAGCAGTTCCGAAATTAGTTTTATTTCCATTTAAATTAAGTACTTTTTTTATGAAATCAACATTATATCAAATATTTGAAACAATTTAAATGTTATGTCACGAAACTTAGGACCCCTCCCACCCCTTGTCACACCATGTCACACCATGTCACACTTTGTCAACCCCCTCCCCCCCCTCTTTACGTGTGACGTACTTTATGGATGACCCCTATAGTACTAGGTCTTTTTTAGACACTTGCAAATTGCATTAAATCTTGTCCTGCCATTAGATCGCATCAAAGATAAGCAGACTAATCCAGAAGTTTCTTGTTGCATATGAGTAAATTACGTATTAGATTGTCTTAGTTTTATCTAAAACCAGAGTCAAATATCCTGTTCCTCCAACAGCCGGCCCCGCCCAGGGACCAGTAGCAGCTCGGAGCCCGTAGCGGGTGGGTCGCGTGCCCCCGACGCGAGGCTGCCGCTCAAGAGGACCAACGACCAGCCGCAGATCAACACCAACGTGTCTGACGCTGAGAAGGTCAAGAAGGAGCTGTGAGTAGCCCATAGTTAATAAGATATGTTCCTCCAATAGCCGGCCCCGTACGGGGTCTAGCTTGGGGCCCGTGGAGGGCGGGTCGCGTGCCCCCGACGCGAGGCTGCCGCTCAAGAGGACCAACGACCAGCCGCAGATCAACACCAACGTGTCTGACGCGGAGAAGGTCAAGAAGAAGCTGTGAGTAGCCCACAGCTGATTGATAGATATGTTCCTTCAATAGCCGGCCCCGTACGGGGTCTAGCTTGGAGCCTGAGGCTCAAAAGCTGCCGCTCAAGAAGACCAACGCCCAGCTGCAGATCAACACCAATGTGTCTGACGCTGAGAAGGTCAAGAAGGACCTGTGAGTAGCCAACAGCTTATAGATATGCTCCTTCAATAGCCGGCCCCGTATGGGGTCTAGCTTGGGGCCCGTAGCGGGCGGGTCGCGTGCCCCCGACGCGAGGCTGCCGCTCAAGAGGACCAACGACCAGCCGCAGATCAACACCAACGTGTCTGACGCTGAGAAGGATACGAAAGTCAGGGCTACTCACAGTAGCCCTGACTTTCGTATATTCATCTCTAAGGCTGTTGAAGCAGAAAAGTTCTTGAGTGGTAACCACGGACCGAAAAATGATAAGCTTCAGCCAAACCAAAGCGTTCAGCCTGCGCCCCTGATAGCGCAGTCTGATCGCCACCGCTGTGTGCAGACTTTCCACCGGCCGCCGCAGCCAATCAAAGGACGCGTCTATGTGAACACGTTGCAAAAGTTTGTACATGACATCTGATCGACATCTTGCACGCCATTGCAGACGCAGGCTGAAAGCCTTGGTTTCGCTGAGGCTTTGGCGTAGGCAGACTTCTCACTCAGTGGACCGATATTTTGGTGAAGGTTGCGGAAAGTATCTGCGGGCAGTGCAGTCACTGTGGACACCCTTGTGTGTGCAGGCTGAGGTCTTTGTCCAGCTGTGGACATCTTTCGGTTGAATTGAATGAGATTATGCATTAGCAACACTTCTTTTGTGAATACGCCCTTCAAGCCATGTTTTGTACCCACAGGGGCATGTCCCGGGGCGCCGTGAAGAAGCGTCAAGCGCCGCAGCCACCGGCGCCGGAGCCGCGCCGCGACCGCGCCTACTACAGCGCCATGCGGCGCCAGCAGGACGAGGAGCGCGCGCGCCGCGAGCAGAGCGCCGTCAACGCGGCGCAAGGTGAGGCCTGATGCGGCGCCGGACACAAGCGGCGCCGGACACAAGCGGCGCCGGACACAAGCGGCGCCGGAGCCGCGCCGCGACCGCGCCTACTACAGCGCCATGCGGCGCCAGCAGGACGAGGAGCGCGCGCGCCGCGAGCAGAGCGCCGTCAACGCGGCGCAAGGTGAGGCCTGATGCGGCGCCGGGTACAAGCGGCGCCGGACACAAGCGGCGCCGGTTACAAGCGGCGCCGGGTACAAGCGGCGCCGGGTACAAGCGGCGCCGGACACAAGCGGCGCCGGATACAAGCGGCGCCGGACACAAGCGGCGACCGCGCCTACTACAGCGCCATGCGGCGCCAGCAGGACGAGGAGCGCGCGCGCCGCGAGCAGAGCGCCGTCAACGCGGCGCAAGGTGAGGCCTGATGCGGCGCCGGACACAAGCGGCGCCGGACACAAGCGGCGCCGGGTACAAGCGGCGCCGGATACAAGCGGCGCCGGACACAAGCGGCGCCGGGTACAAGCGGCGCCGGGTACAAGCGGCGCCGGACACAAGCGGCGCCGGGTACAAGCGGCGCCGGGTACAAGCGGCGCCGGACACAAGCGGCGCCGGACACAAGCGGCGCCGGATACAAGCGGCAGGCGCCGCACCAGGGTACTCATCTAAAGCCTGGTCCGTGAGCACGTAGAATTTTGTCCAATGACCCCAAGCTACCCATCCTTATCGCTCGCGCGTAATTATATTGCTGTCGCGACTGTGCGACGGGCACCCGCAGTGACTGTGCGAGCGCGATAGCAACATAATTACGCGCGAGCGATAAGATGGGTAGCTTGGGGTCATTGGACAAATTTCTACGTGCTCACGGACCAAGCTTTAGCCGTGTAGCATGGAATGTATCAGATACTGTATCAAGTGAGTACATAGGCACGAGCCCGCTGCTCGCTGCTCGCGCGTGGTTCGCAGGGAGATCGCAGCGACCCGCCGAGTGGCGGTATCACTGCGAGCACAAAGGCGGCTCGCAGTAGGATCCAGGAGCTCGCAGCCAGATACGCGGTGACCGTGGACGAGCCGTACTCACTTGAAGGTTGGTTACGTTACATGGCAGGTGAGTACCTACCCTACTACAGCGCCATGCGACGCCAACAGGACGAGGAGGGCGCTATCAACGTTGCGCAAGGTATGGATCCATCCACAAAGACGCGCCCCACCATTGTTCCGCTAATGTTTGAGTGTTATCGGTACACGCTAAATCATCCATGAGTGCACACGCACACTACAATAATGACGCTCGGATTGCCGGATCAAACTCCCCGCGTCTGTCGGTATTGTACCTTTACTTGTATATTTTCATGAAGGAATATGAATGACCAACTTTTTGAGAAACTAGACTCGACTAAGTCCCTGCTCTTTTTATTGATTTCAGGGCAAGAATAATTTAATTCTTGTTTTTGTTTTACAGTCCTCTTTATTTACATAGATACTAAGAAGAAAGAAAGAAAAAATATATATTTGACAACTAATAAAAAAAAGTGCAAAAACAATGAAGAGAAAAGAGAAAAAAAATTAATGTTGCCAAAGAGGTCACCCACTCAGTATCATCTTGACAGTTGACATTTTACTGCCAAGTGCCAAGACACTGGTTTTCAGTGGGTACCTTGTACGCAGGGGCAAAAAGAATGTAATACAATAAAATAAACAAAAATTAATTAAAATTCACATTAAAAGAAAAATTACAATAACAATAACTATAAAATTAACAAAAAACAGTACAATTACTTATCTTCTATCTTCTTCTATCTATCTATATAAATAAAAATGAATTGATGTTCGTTAGTCTGATTAAAACTCGAGAACTTCTAGGCCGATTGAGCTGATTTTGGTTTTAAAACGTTTGTCGTAGTCCAGGGTAGGTCTAAACGGTGACCAAATAAAACGCGCGCGATATTGTTTTTCTGTGACAGACAAAATTCCACGCGGGCGAAGCCGCGGGGGAAAAGCTAGTTTCAAATAAACATGTCAAAAATGTCAAAAAGTTAGGCGAGTTACTAGTGTTACTACTATCACAGAATAATAATAAGTACTACGTACAGAAGTTTTACTTCGCGAAGGTATTTAAAAAAATGTATGCTCAATGTCATTAACAATATGGTGTAATTTAGCCTGTCTCAAGAGTCAAGCACCATTTTGTTGACAAACGTCAGTGATCGGCACTGCGCCGAAGCTATAGGGCTGACTTCGGTAAAATGATGTGACGTGAGGTGCCAAACTGCGGAAAATGGCGGAGGAAATACATGATTTAGCATGAATTATCATGAATAATGTTAACTACTTATTTAGCTCTCAGTGTCTTGAGGCAATTTAAAAAAGTACATTCTGTGTTTTTATTATTATTTAGGCAGTTAAATACTGCACAGTATTTAGTACACCATTTTCTTTATTTTCTTCCATCATACACAAGAATACGCGTGCGTGAGTCAATGTTCGCTCATATGTGAGGCCTTGTCGAATAGTATCCTGTAGGTGGGCCATCGTGCGTGTTTTGTTTTCGATGTAAACTCGCGGAGATGAACAGGCCTGCTACTATCGAGATTCCAATCAACGTCTCCATTTCAGGTCTTCCTCCAGTCCTGAGTCCGGCCGCGAAGCTGGAGCGTCTCCGCAGGATGGATGCCCTGGCCGCCGGCATGAGCTCCCAGGAGCCCCGCCAACGCGCTTATCCCTCATTGTGCCCGCGGGACCACAATTTCAGCAACATGACGCCTATGAGCGCCGACGAGTTCCTGCAGAGGTCAGTAGTCGACTGTCTAGTGTCAGAGTAAATACAAATGAGTAGGTCATCTTTATAGAAACGCACCGAGCGCGGTTTGTATGTGAGCGCGCCGCATACGTATTGGCGCGCTCGGGCGTTTCTATGAAGATGACCTACTCATTTGTATTTACTCTGCCAATACGTATGCGGCGCGCACGCACACACTGACAAAATTTAGCGTGGATTAGCGGTGAGGTGCGCTGAATTTTGTCAGTGTGTGCGTGCGCGCCGCTTACGTGTTGGCGCGCTCACATACAAACCGCGCCTGTGCGTTTCTATGAAGATGACCTACTCATTTGTATTTACTCTGGTAGTGTGGACGCCCCGGTCGCCGGCATGAGGACCTTAAATAAGTCAGTAGAGATTAAGTGTCTATGAGTTCATCTAGTGCGTAACTTTTCATTAATAAGGGGGTACTTGTTTTATTTTTTGAATTAAACAGGGTAGCCATTATCACATAATTAAAAGCTGGTTCCTTCACAATAAACATTCTACTTATATCTTTAATCCAGGGTCTCATCGCTCAATCTTGAACCGATACCCGAACCACCGGCGGCGGCTCCAGACTTGATAGCGGAAGGCAACCACTGGCAACCGCGACCACCAGCCAGGCTCAGAGGCAGCGGGGACCGAAGCTGGGGTAGTAACGGGGACCGAAGCTCCGGAAGCAACGGGGACCGAAGCAACGGGGACCGGAGCTCGGGAAGCAACGGGGACCGAAGCACCCGAAGCAACGGGGACCGTAGCATGCGAAGCAATGGGGACCGAAACTTGCGAAGCAATGGGGACCGGAGCTCTCGAAATAACGGGGACTTGGGAAACAATGAGAATGACGCGAGGGTAGGCGACCGTTTCAACGAAATCAAGTTTTCCCTTATGGCGCTGCGACGAGGGCTCAATGAGGTATTTTTTCTCATAATTTATTTATTCATTGGCTCATTGCATCATGTAGTACATTGGTTGTTAAATTGTAGGTGTCTTAGAGCTAAACATGAACCCTGCTTGGGCATTGCAACGTCAATAGTAGGCATTAGTTACATAATATTACAAAAATGTATAAACCAACTGGCATCATTTATACTTTTATTAGCCCCACAATGTTTCCAAAACAATATTTTCATTCAAGCTTCAAACTGTTCTTATTTTTCAATGAAATGTAAAACTTTATTTTTAGTTGTTTTGAAATCATCGAGCAGTCAATCGGGTGGGCGAATTTGTGACGTCATTGGTACTATTTTCATAGGAAATCCGTGGGTGAATCGCGTTTTGACAGCTCATAAAAAGTATGAATCGCTGAAAATACTTGGTACTTTACGGTTGCGGTTTCAATTCCCGTAGGAGACAAATGTTAATATTTCGTATCTAGAGTATTTGTGTAATTATGTGAAATGACATTATGTTTTCTAAACGTACTTTTGCTCTTTCTCAGTAAGTTTTATTTTTATACAATTTCTATATGGCGAATACAACAGTTTTTGTTCATTCGTTTCAGGTGACTGCTCCTTACAATGCCAACGTTTGGAATGAAGAAGAATTGTAAGTTTTTATTTAATCTTTGATCAGCTTTCTGAATTTTTTGAATTTAGTTTGTTACAGTTACATTTCGTGTCATTTTCTCTATTAGCAGTCAACGGCACAACCAACCATCAAAACGGTTTAGGCGCATTACGGCTAATTCTCATTATGGCTACTTCTCACTTGGGCTACTTCTCATTTGGGCTACACTTTTGTCTAGCAGTGATCTTTCGGTTGAGAATCAATGACGATTATAATTATTGTGACAAGTGATGACAAACCGGGGCGAGCAGTGGTGTTGTAGGAACAATATGTGGCGTTGAAAGAAAGAACGAAGAAATGTTGTATGTTACAACCGCCTCTGTGGTCTAGTGGTAAGACCACCTGCTTCAGACACAGAGGTCCCGGGTTCGATTCCCAGTGGGGGCAGATTTTTCTGTTCGGTTTGGTTGGCAGTAGGGCTTGTTCTAAGTCCGCCTGGCTAGCTACCACCATCTTACCTATGTCTGTCGCCATAACAACAATGTTAACAGCATTATTGTGTTCCGGCAGTAAGAGGTAAGATAGCCAGTTCCTCCGTGGTTGAGGATTCCGGGTGAAGCTCGTTTTCGCCTTCAGCCTGATCATCACTTACCATCAGGTGAGATACAGGCCAAGAGCTTCCTCGTTGTGGATAAAAAAAATGTGTTGCAGGAACAACCGGCGGCGCTCGTCTTCCTCGAGCGCGGACTCGAACTCCAACTCCAACGAGGAGGCGGTCCGCCTGCCCTGCGAGTTCTGCGCGCGTCCTGTACCGCTCGAAGACTTGGTCGTCCATCAGGTGCGTGGATGTACTGGATACGGTCTGGCCGCTTGTAAACATTCGTTTTTTGACCGGACTACGGCCCGATTTTTTCGCCGGATTTAGCGGTGGTGTATGGTTTATAATGAACGTGTGCACATGCATCTGACATAGTTCGGGCGGGAAAATTGACAGCAAATAAAGGATATCCGTTTTTTGAAGGTCCGTCGTCCAGTGAAAAAAACGGATATCCACAAATGGCCTCTGCGGTCCTAAGTAAACGCAGTCCGCATCATGCATAAACAACATTACGATTTGCGGTCCGGGTAATAGGATAGAATAAAAAATATTTGTATCAATACGATTTGTCAACGGATGATTGTCCACGGGCTGATCCCATCAATACAAAATGTATAGAGGCCGACAATGTTGTTCATATATGATGCGGGCTGCGTTTACTTTGACCTACCTACAAAACGCATCCAGTGTCAAATACTTTATATTGTATACAGGGTGGAAACGATAAGTGATCTCACTCGATTATTTCTAAACTATACAAGATATCCAAAAACTGGTTACTGATCCTGAAAGTGCTTTACGAGCTCTATCCAACGGTACCAATAATAGGTTACCAAATAAACTGGATCTATCCGAAAATTCAATGTTTCCGGCTTCCATACATTTAGTAAAATCACATAATATTAGAAACTATACTAATAATAGGTTACAAAATAAACTGAATCTATCCGAAAATTCTATGTTTTNGGGTGGATGTGATTGGTTGTACAGCGCCATCTTGTCCTGAACTTAATCTATAGTCTGGTGCAGACTATAGATTTAGTCCGTTTCGTCCAATGACCCCAAGCTACCCATCCTTATCGCCCGCGCATATTTATATTGCTGTCGTGACTATGCGACGGGCGCCCGCAGTGAGTGTGTGAGCGCGACAGCAATATAATTACGCGCGAGCGATAAAGATGGGTAGTTTGGGGTCATTGGACAAAATTCTAAGTGCTCACGGACCAGACTATAGCTCTAAACTTCATGTCATGAGTCTCGAAGAGCATGTAAACAACGAGCAGACGGTCCGCCTGCCCTGCGAGTTCTGCGCGCGTCCTGTACCGCTCGAAGACTTGGTCGTGCATCAGGTGCGTGGATGTACTGGATACGGTCTGGCCGCTTGTAAACATTCGTTTTTTGACCGGACTACGGCCCGATTTTTTCGCCGGATTTAGCGGTGGTGTATGGTTTATAATGAACGTGTGCACATGCATCTGACATAGTTCGGGCGGGAAAATTGACAGCAAATAAAGGATATCCGTTTTTTGAAGGTCCGTCGTCCAGTGAAAAAAACGGATATCCACAAATGGCCTCTGCGGTCCTAAGTAAACGCAGTCCGCATCATGCATAAACAACATTACGATTTGCGGTCCGGGTAATAGGATAGAATAAAAAATATTTGTATCAATACGATTTGTCAACGGATGATTGTCCACGGGCTGATCCCATCAATACAAAATGTATAGAGGCCGACAATGTTGTTCATATATGATGCGGGCTGCGTTTACTTTGACCTACCTACAGAACGCATCCAGTGTCAAATACTTTATATTGTATACAGGGTGGAAACGATAAGTGATCTCACTCGATTATTTCTAAACTATACAAGATATCCAAAAACTGGTTACTGATCCTGAAAGTGCTTTACGAGCTCTATCCAACGGTACCAATAATAGGTTACCAAATAAACTGGATCTATCCGAAAATTCAATGTTTCCGGCTTCCATACATTTAGTAAAATCACATAATATTAGAAACTATACTAATAATAGGTTACAAAATAAACTGAATCTATCCGAAAATTCTATGTTTTCAGCTTCCATACATTTAGTACTGCCACAGTCATGGCACTCATGCCTTGATAATATTATAGCAAGTAAAGCCTAACCAATGTTTTTACTGAATAATTTTAAATAAGAATGCAATTTGGAGTTCAATTTATGTTTTTATCTATACTTATAATAAATCTGTAGAGAGGTCAATTCTGTACATGAAATATATTTTCAAAATAACTATCAGGGGTGATTAGTGATCGATACTGATGCCAAAAATGCAATCAATAAAATTTTTGTCTGTCTGTCTGTCTGTCTGTCTGTCTGTCTGTCTGTCTGTCTGTCTGTCTGTCTGTATGTTCCTTATAGAAACAAAAACTACTTGACGGATTTTAACGAAACTTGGTACAATTATTCTTCATACTCCTGGGCAGGTTATAGGATACTTAGGAATTCCCACGGGAACGGGCATTAGCGGGAAAATCCTTTTGTATGAAAAATCTAAACCGCTTAAGTTAGACGCTTGAAATTCAGCAAGCAGGTACCTTAGTAAACTTAAAGCTTAGTTATAACAGGATATTGCAAAATTCCCACGGGAACGGGAGTTAGCGGGAAAAAACATTTGTATGAAAAAATCTAAACCGCGTAAGGTAGATGAAGGGGGTAAAACGGGATCCACGCGTACGAAGTCGCGGGCGGCCGCTAGTTATAAATAACTTGATAAGATGAACTAATTTTTATTCCTAAACAAATAAGTTTTACTTTCCTTTCAGCATTTAACTTCAGGGCATATAAATTCAAGGCTTCACTTTAACAGTTAAGCACCCTTCGCACTTACTTTAAATTTTTAAGCAAGACCGTAAACAGCGTCTCACGCCAACCACTTTTTGTACAAGTGTTGACATTTTTATTATTCTAGTACGTCGGCACATCAAGGTAACCGAGGCACCTATGTAGTCGTATTAAGTAGGTACCTACTTTTTTGCATGTAATGCATGGTACTGTATTTATTTTGGTTCTACAAAAAAGCTTTAAAACCAGTTATGAACATAACGGAAAATATTTACTACAAACGTTACTAACAAATATTATAAATATGTTTTAAGAATATTGCTGTTTATTTCCTTTATAAATAAAATAAAATAAAGAAATAAAAAGGAATAATAAGTTTTTATCTACTAATCATACGAATAGATACACCCGTCGATATTACAAAATTACCGTAGTCTGATAGCGCGGAATTTACCCATTTTGGTATTTTTTGTAAAGTTAAATGTAGGTATAGATCGTTTCATCCACGAAGACGCGCCCCACCATTCTTCTGCTAACGTTTGATCCATAAGTGCACACGCACACTACAATAATGACGCTCGGATTGCTCGGATCAAACTCCCCGCACCCCGCGCTTCCCTCGACCAAAAATTGGTGGGGAGCGTCTTCGTGGATGAAACGATCTGTAACAAACAACACAAGTGACATGATAAATAGTCCTCCAGCTTAAAAAAACACGTCATCCCGTGCGAGTGCTGCACCGAGTCGCTGCCCGTGTACCTCATCAGCGAGCACCAGGTCAGTGGCACAGGGCCATGCAGCGAGACAGCACCCGACGACCTGACGTCATCCCGTGCGAGTGCTGCACCGAGTCGCTGCCCGTGTACCTCATCAGCGAGCACCAGGTCAGTGGCACAGGGCCATGCAGCGAGACAGCACCCGACGACCTGACGTCATCCCGTGCGAGTGCTGCACCGAGTCGCTGCCCGTGTACCTCATCAGCGAGCACCAGGTCAGTGGCNGAAGTCGCGGGCACAGCTAGTTGATATTATAAATGCGAAAGTTTGTAACTTGTAAGGATGTATTTTATGTATGTTCGTTACAAACTGAATTTTACGAGGGCGACGAAGTCGTGGGCAAAAACTAGTACCTATAGGCAAAAACTAGTATAGCCCTATTTCCAAAAACGATGGATTTTCAGTCGATGGATTTTTTCTAATATTTTTAACTTTTTTGAGCAACTTAGAAAAATGTACTGTTACTTCCCGATTTCTTTTCGCGTACCACATAGCTACATAGCATAGTTGAGTTGAGTTGGAAACTCAGCCTTATGTTGATAACCTATTGAGGGTCAACTAGTAGAACTGAACAAATATTCCAAAATTCACACGAAATGTAATCGTCTAATTTATAAGCTTTTTCTGTATGTATTTATAATGATTACTCATACTAATTAATAAAGCGGGTTCGCGTTTTATATTTTTTCTAGAATTAAAAAAGTCGGTCTGTTTATACACTTATGGTAATCAAAAACAAACTATATTTCAAAGAAATAAGATCGTATTTGCTATTGCTACTTAATTTTAATTTGCGTGTGTATCCCAAAGCCTTTGACCTATTAATTTATTCAATAAACTTGTATCTTTAATTAATTTGCTTCATTACTATTGATAGGGTCTGTATAAATATTGATATGGGCCTACAAATAGTTTCCCGGGCATTGTGAAATACTGGGGAACTATGGTCTGATGGTGGAATATTTGTCGGCACCTTACCTACACCTACAGCAACTAGGGCACCCTTGTTACGATGGAACCTTATAGTTGTGATTTCGCGACAAAAATTAAGATCTTCTGAACCGATTTTGATAAAATCTTAACTGATTGCTTAGCTGAAGTAAATATAAATAGGAAATTCACTATCAAACTCAGGCATACATACTCATAGCTTCGCAGAAGGAGACATGCTTGTAAAAATTCATACTACTTAGGCCCCTCAGATTATAGATATGATCTGATTTAGGCCCGATTCGACCAAACTTTTATCCGAGAATAATTCCTGGTATAACTGGCATATTGACTGACAGTTTCAGTATGAGAAATATGTCAAATATGACGATTTATTCTGAGATTAATATTTACTCTTGTTTGGTCGAATCCACCCTTAAGTACGTATCGAAAAGTCGGTTAAAAATGTGTGGAATTTCAGAAGTAGGGAATCTAGAAATTGCATTCACCTAGTTCTTGGTCAAACTGACAACCATACTTCTCAGAGGTGTGCGTGCCAGTAGTCACTAGTTCACTACTCGTCACCTACAGCTTACATAACCCATGTAAATATTGGCAGGCCCTGACCCGATGGTGTATTAACATTACATTAACCGACGATGTGTAATCGTTTTTCCGACAATTCGTAGCAGTTTTTAACGGTTAGTTAAATAATAGTTTTTCTGTTGACAAAAAAATAAAGATCTTGGAAAATTTAGTCAACTAAAAAGGTATCATTGTAGGTACACATTAATCAGAGTAATAAATTAACTTTATGAATGAACAGAGCGTATTGAGTAGCGTCCTGCGTTCCCACATCATTGCCCAATACAATTAACAATAGGNGAGCCACGTGAGCCGCTGCGTGAGCGCAACCCTCGTCGCGAGCCACCCGCCTCCCTGCCGCCGCATCCCGACGACTTACCCGTCATCCCGTGCGAGTTCTGCACCGAGTCGCTGCCCGTGTACCTCATCAGCGAGCACCAGGTCAGTGGCACAGGGCCATGCAGCGAGACAGCACCCGACGACCTGACGTCATCCCGTGCGAGTGCTGCACCGAGTCGCTGCCCGTGTACCTCATCAGCGAGCACCAGGTCAGTGGCNTTATTGAATAAAAACAATTAACACTTCCAATATTGTGTGGTTGGCATACATTTAGTATGGAGCCTGAAAACATTGAATTTTCGGATAGATCCAGTTAATTCTGTAACCTATTACTGATACCGTTTGAAAGAGCTCGTGAAGCATCTTCAGGATCCATAACCAGTTTTTCGATATCTTGTATAGTTTAGAAATAATCGAGTGAGATCACTTATCGTTTCCACCCTGTATAGGACGGACAACGAAAGTTGAGGCGAACAGATATACTGATCTAATATTTTCAAATTTAAAACACATAAATCAATCGGAATACGTTGATGTCAGCGCGACAATCGTACAGACACAAATCTTGTTTACCTCAACTCTTGCTGCGTAGATATGTAGTTTAAAAAGTGTCGATATACATTTTTAAGCGCGCATTTATGTACTTGTTTAATTTTTTGACAGCTCCAACATGTCAAATGACTGGTGGTTTCAAATATCCTTACTATTTTCCAGACGGGCTGCCGCCCCGACTTAGCTCAGCTCAAACCCCGCTCACAAGGACGCGACCCGCGTTCACCCCGCTCACCCCGCGACTCCCGTGAGCCACGTGAGCCACGTGAGCCACGTGAGCCGCTGCGTGAGCGCAACCCTCGTCGCGAGCCACCCGCCTCCCTGCCGCCGCATCCCGACGACTTACCCGTCATCCCGTGCGAGTTCTGCACCGAGTCGCTGCCCGTGTACCTCATCAGCGAGCACCAGGTCAGTGGCACAGGGCCATGCAGCGAGACAGGACAATGCAGTGAGAGACAGGGTAACCCACACCGCCACCTAGTGAGCAACAAGGCAGATAAGGAAGTAACAGCAGTTAATTGACCAACATGGCAGTTAAGGAAGCAACAGGGCAGTTCAGTGAGCAACAGGGCAGTTCAGTGAGCAACAGGGCAGTTCAGTGAGCAACAGGGCAGTTCAGTGAGCAACAGGGCAGTTCAGTGAGCAACAGGGCAGTTCAGTAGGCAACAGGGCAAATTCAGTAGGCAACAGGGCAGTTCAGTGAGTAACAGGGCATTTCAGTAAGCAACAGGGCAGTTCAGTGAGTAACAGGTCAATTCAGTGAGCAACAGGGCAGTTCAGTGAGCAACAGGACAATTCAGTGAGTAATAGGGCAGTACAGCGAGAATTTTTTAGCTCGGCGAGCTTAGTGCCAGATCAATTTAGCGAGTATTATGTCAGTTCAGTGAAGAAATTATACCAAAACACTATACCAGAAAGCTGCCCTCAGTGACTTCTCTAATTGCTGGATGTGCCGGTATGCACAATACTAAATCTCTTCATATCTTATCTTGATCACGTTCACAGTGTCAGCACATTTATCACGTATAGTGCTGATGCTGTGATGTCATTTACCTTTAATCTATATCGTATAAATAGTCACGCAGTTCGCATTAATAAACAGACTAATAAGAGAGACCAATACCAACTGTTGTATCATTCATACGGTCTCCCAACATGGCACACTAGACAAAGGCCTTCTTCAAGCAAACGGTCCTATGCACGTACTCTCGTGACCTTCGCCAAATCATCAGTCCACCTAGTGGGCAGATCCCCACACTACGTCTTCCAACCCGTGGTCGCCACTCGGGTAATTTTCTGCCTTCAGCCCACATTAAATTAGCAAAGTAAAATAAACGTTATCTTTTACAGGAACGATGCCAGCGAGAGGGTCCCCTCCTGTACCCGGATTGAACCCGCTTCGAACGTAGACTACCACTACAGACCACCACTACACCGACGGTCTTCTACTACTCTGCTCTCTACGACCACTGACTGCGTACGTAGTTTTTAATATATTCTGTAGTTTACTAAAGCCTGGTCCGTGAGCACGTAGAATTTTGTCCAATGACCCCAAGCTACCCATCCTTATCGCTCGCGCGTAATTATATTGCTGTCGCGACTGTGCGACGGGCGCCCGCAGTGAGTGTGCGAGCGCGACAGCAACATAATTACGCGCGAGGCTCTCACGCAGGCTTTACTAAAACTAGGTTAGTCAGTGCCTGAGGTAAGGGAGCGGCAGGTTAAAGGGTGACATTGACATATTATGACATGACAGAGTGAGAGCATACATATTTGAAGTCTCGCTGACGTATGACGTTACAAAAACACCCTCCCGCGCCGCTCACATACCTCAGACAATGATTAAGACCTATAATTAAATACTATCTATTCTCTATGGTCTCATATTCAAAGCTAGGGTTGTCACCGGTCACTTTTATCAACTTGCGATTGTATAGGCAAAAAAAGTTGAGGCGAACATGCTCACACTAATGTAACATTTTAATACAGAAACAACACATTCAAGTTCAAATATCGAATACACTAGCTACCACGCTTTCGTTAAATATCTCCAAGCCAGACAGAAAGTACTTGTCCAGTCCGATTTATGCAAGACGACAGACAAATCTTTGCTTGTGTTGATGGCCTCAACTCTCAATAGATACAATACTTTCTATTATCTATGGTTTCATATTCAAAGCGAGGGTTGTCACATTTATCATGAATATAAACCATAATGGCGACTGCTCTGTTGTCTGCGATTGTGCCAGGGCCATAGACTAATGACAAGTTTGTGAAAATTCGCTACACTTCAGAGGTTGACAACTGACAACTCTATTTCTGACCAAAGATTATGTATTTACTGGTATAGTCTGGTCTGTGAGCACGTAGAATTTTGTCCAATGACCGGGCTTTAGTATTAGAATAACGTAGGTATACGAACTTGAAACACACATGTGATGTAGGCAGTTTTTGAGTGCATTTTAGAACTGATCTTTTGGAAACTATACAGGGTGGAAACGATAAGTGATCTCACTCGATTATTTCTAAACTATACAAGATATCGAAAGACTGGTTACTGATCCTGAAAGCGCTTCACGAGCTCTTTCAAATGATACCAATAACAGGTTACAAAATAAACGGAAACTATCTGAAAATTTAATGTTTCCAGCTTCCATACTAAATGTATGCTAACCTAACTACACAATATTAGAATTTAGAAGTATATTTTTTTTTAAATTAAATAATAAACTTAAAATAAAGTCATAAATTGCATTCTTATTTAAAATTACTTATAAAGAACATTATTTTTAGGCTTTACTTGCTATAATATTATCCAGAGATGAGTGCCATGACAGTCATAGTACTAAATGTATGGAAGATGGAAACATTGATTTTTTGGATAGATCCAGTTTATTCTGTAACTTAATATTGATACCGTTAGATAGAGCTCGTGAAGCACTTTTAAGATCAGTAACCAGTTTTACGATATCTTGTGTAGTTTTTAATATTATGAGGCTGTACCAAATGTATGGAAGTCGGAAACATTGAATTTTCGGATAGGTCCAGTTTATTCTGTAATCTATTATTGGTACCATTTGATAGAGCTCATTAAGCACTTTCAGGATCAGTAACTAGTTTTTTGATATCTTGTATACTTTAGAAATAATCGAGTGAGATCACTTATCGTTTCCACCCTGTATACGAAATTAGGTACTAAACTCTTATACCTTTGACAATACTAACTGTATAGCTAAAATTAACATCGTCTATAAAATATATCATTTAAAATCAGGTACGTCGGTGATTCATGCATTTTATAGTGACAAAGATATTTATTATTTGGGCTCAATTTCTTTATTTATTTACATTAAATCTTGCAAGTGAGCTTACAGATCCATCCAAAGCACTCATATTGCCAATAAAAAACCTTCTGTTCTTCTCGCTCCCATTCTAGCATTCCACGGTGAGTGAGAGAGACATGTTTCGAAATGGTTTTCATAAAATGGCTTAGACTTTTCGGCTTAATAAGATCATCATATGATACCCATTTTATGTAGCCATATTGGCGGCTCCTTAAATATAATATGTAGATCCGCATTATGTAATAAAACGTTATAAATAAAATCAGTCCAGTTTTATCGTGACTTTAAACAGAAATATTGAACCAAAGCATTTTCTATGTGCATTCGATAAAATATGTAAAGACATTGCACTTAGCTAAACTACCTACATACATAGCATATATTTTAATATCAAAAGTTATTTCCTAAACGCTTGAAGAAAAAATTGATTGCAGGCGTGCGCGTACGTTGAAATTCAGGTGTCCTTGTAGCATTCAGCAAATTAAGTCTTAATGCTATGCTTATAAGATGCATTATTCATTGACTCGGACCAAGCCGCGTGATTTTATTAATATTTCACAAATCAATGAAATATGCGTTGGGAAATACCCTTAAATGTTTTAGGCTTTTAATTTGTCGATGTTAAACGTTGATAGTATAACTAATTTATTAGTTCCTATAGAGGGCTACCTACCAATGATTATTGTAAATGTTATATTAAGATGATAAGTACTTTATTGATCGTCGTATTATTTTTTGCACTATCTATAGCTTATTTATATTAATATTTTGATTGATTTTATTTCCAAATCGTTTAAAATTAGGCTAGAATTTTCTATCAAAATATGAGTGCATAAAATGCTCAAATATAAATGTAATTAAAATATAGGCGTATTTAAAATATCATTAATCATTACAATTATATTCGTAGGTAATCAGGGAATTTATGTTTTAAAAATATGAACGATTATTCCGATATGATTAGAATAAGGTAGCTATATACTCACAAATCGAATTCTATCTTGTCTATATTTGTCTCGGTCACTCGCGGCAGCGTCCCAGATCACAGACAGAGATGGTTACAATTCTGGGACGTTGCTCACAGGGTAGCAAAAAATGACTTCGTGAACATAAATGGGTAGCAAGTTAGTAAATAAGTTTCAAATGAAAGTTTATGTATAATGCAGGTAGACACAAACATCACATTAATCTATTTTCGTTTTATTTATCAATATCCATATTCAGATCTAATATAGTCTAATAGTAATATATTATTATCTTCATATTTAGAGTATTCCCAATATCGCTTCCCAAAAAAGTGTCAAGTCGATACATATTAACTGGGAAGAGATATATTTAAATTTAAGATATAGGGATTTTACAGTACGGTATATGTATTTTATATAGTAGTTAATAAAAGTAGAAAGAAGTATTGAAAAAGAAGAGAGTCCTTTCCTAAAGAAGTGAGCTCAATGAAAACAGCAAAACTATGTGAAATTATGATATCTTAAGTATTACATACGCACATTTAAATAGTCTTTTATCTTGTATGTGTATTCATATTGGGACTAGTCAATATTAATCGTCTATTTACACAAACGGCAGACATAGGAATAGTATAACTACATATTTAAACTTTTTGTATTATAATTTTATGGTAAGGGAACGTAAGGAAGTATGGTATTTATGGTAAGTGGACGTGAACTTGATACGAATGATTAAGTATACTTGGTGTTTGACACTATGTAGTTATTGTTAAGCGCACACTGTCTCAAAATAGCATCGTTATGATTAAGTTATGTGTAAAATCGATAAGATTTTTTAACAAAACGTAAGCGTGACAGCTATAAAAATTAAATTATACAGGAAATGTTGAGTAGGTATGTGTGATTAGGAAATCAATCGAATTTATAAGACAAAAATAATTGTCTATCTAGGTATGAAATTAATGTAGAAGGCACTAAATTACTCTTAAAAACAAATATGTACATATTTGTCTGTCGGTCTAATATTACTAAAATTTGAAACGATATTCAGGGTAATATCGCTTCCTAACGATGCCAACCAATATTGTGTAGAAATATTTGTGAATGGTATTGATATAACGTCCTTCTGTAATTAAATGCACCACATGAAGGAGAAATTACCATCACCTGATCGTCACTTACCATCAGGTGAGATACAGGCCAAGAGCTTCCTCGTAGTGGATAAAAAAAAAAAAAAATTAAAATTGTCAATAACGATGCTAAGTTGAGATAATGTGCGATGCCATTAGATTTAGTTTCATATTGTTTATTATATTAAAACTATTGTAAAATTGTTATTAGTTAGTTTAGTGGGTCTAGTTTGGAGTCTTTCTATCGTAGTTTCTTGCAGTACGATAAAATGATTGTGAAATGATAAAAATGTTCCTTTTACAGTATTACTAGTCTATTTTTCTCTTACAAAGAGAGAGACAAATTCAAAAAGAAGCTAAAAATTATGTAAAGCTAAAAACGAAAACATATCGAAGACCGAATACATTTTTCTTCTCAGTTATACAACATTTTATCGTACAGTAAGATGTAGTATTATTTCAAATGTTATTTATATTCGCGTAAAATGACTGCCGTCGTGTTATTATTGATGTTCTATTTTGTGATAAACTAATTTCGATGTTTCTATGTGCCAATTTAATAAAATGTCGTAATCAATTAATTTTGTTTTTATTTTAGAAGATACGAGATGTACAGACGGTCGTCGCGCTAGCTTGGTGGTGGTATTAGCCTAGACGCAGACCACCGACTTTTAGTTGGCCGATAGTTGTGCCCGATTTTAATTTGTATGAAGAATCGTACCAAATCGGTGTAATGTGCGCACTTTCATACATCTCCATACTGATTAACAGCCCGACCCAAACTATCGGCTGACAAGTCTAGTCTGCGAGGACGCTTACTTGTAGTATGAAAACATGCATTGCCAGCCGTGAATATTTTTGTGTAGTTTAATACAGTTATAGTAGTCATAGTACAAGCTACAAGCATTTCCTCAAAAGTTTTTTAATGTATAACTATTGAGGGCACTGGCTCGCAAACAATTATAGGTTTTCGCAAACAAAACAATAGGTGTCATCTTCATTCATCATCATCTCAGAGATAAGACGTCCACTTCTGAACATAGGCCTCCCCCAATTCTTTCCATGTTGCCCGGTTGGTAGCGGCCTGCGTCCAGCGCCCCTCTTCCCCTAATGGAAAATACAATATGTGTATTGTGTATGCTCTTTAAATACAAATAATAATGTAGGCAAGCATCGTGGTTATTCTCAAAATAAACGGGGAAAAGTAACAGGTAAATAATTACACAATGTTCAACAATTCGTTTTAAATAAATATTTATTTACATTATCATAATTATACATGTTGGACGGATGATTATCATATGAATTAATTAGGTACTTTGCTCGCCAATGTAATATATCAGGAATATTGCGTGAATATAGTATCCTATGACTATTATTATTCTTCAATATACCATTACATAAATAAGAACATTGTTTATGAAGTAGATATACCGAATCAAATTCAAAATGGCGAAAGATTTCATCGGTGGGACGGTTCTATGTATATCATAGAAAAAGTATGCTCATATACGAGTAGAATGTGATATTGTGTGTGATAGATTCAGAAACAACTTCCTTTACCATTCAAAAATGCTAAAATACATGCAAGGATTTCATACAAGTCATCTTCTAATTTTTACATTTAAAATTGAAACTGACGAGTTATTTTTCATCACTAGTTATAACCAAGAACATTATAAACGAAGCTTAAGAAGGAAATTAAATTATGGAATGTCGTCAAACGTCGCAGAAAAAATCCGAAACGTGCTTAAATATTGTTTAACAATATTTACTTAGTGCTAATTATAAGTTATTTAAGTACCGGATTCCGAATTTTGTTTGACTTGTTTCTAGTTTGAAAACAAACCTATTTGAATATCTTAGTAAACCTTTAACATGTTTGAAGGTAAAGAGCCTCTCGAAGAACAATATTGTAAGCGCAGTTACGACGTTATTCATAGGCGATCTCAATTATGTGTACTTATTAAATAATTACATAAATAAAAAATATGCCCAAAATTAATTAACAAATCTCTAATCTAAATATTCTAGATAAGGATTTGTGAACTACAAGTTGACCTCACAATAATGAGGACTGCTTATTTTCAGCATTTCATTTTAATAAGTCCATTCATTGTATTCATCCTTAATGTATAGAAAACTTTAGATATTGGTAATCTTTCTGTTATAGTTTTGAACGAATAAGATGATAATCGTTTAATTAAAAAATAATGCTATTTGACTTCAACAGCTTATTAGTTTAACTCCAAGACTCATTCAACCGAGAAAAAATACAATAACTGACTTATGAGTCCAAATGGCGACATCAATTGAAAATCCTAACGTCATATCTTAACAACTAGAAACAACATAAGAAATATTCGTCCGGACACCGGGGCACCGTGATTTGCAGCTTGGGACAGTTCCAGATCTTTTCACACCTGCATCTGGACCTGAACCTCCTTTTGCCTGTCCTCTCCAGGAAATTGTTCAATGGAGACCCCTCGATCTCCTCAGATTTTTTAAAATAGCTCAATTTAGAGATGTACCGAGGCGAGGGAAATTTGGCTTTAGGCTTCACCGGAATGAGCTCTGTGGTTTCCACTTCTGTGTTATCTGTGGCGGCTGTCGTCTCGGTTGGATACTCTTCTCTTTGTCTTTGGTTGTCAAATGAGGTTGGGTACTGCGTGGTGGCTTCATTATCTACATTGATGGCGCCGATGGTGACCGGACTGTCCAGTGATTCTCTACCAATAGTGACTGGTAGGCTCTCTGGTTCTCTGGCCAGACGAGGGTGGGTGTCTTCTGGAGGGGGTAAGGCGTCAGTGACAGCGCTGTCTTGCGGCGCTGATGACACCGCCACCAGGTAGATAGATAGTGCGATAAGTAGTCTGAAAAGGTGGAAAAGGCAAAATATAATCCCTGTATGAACAACTGTAGAAGAGTAGAGGCTGCGTTTTTAAGAAGAATATGCACTAATAGTTAAGATTCGTAAGCCATGTGAGCGATTTCGAATAGGAATATAATTCGTATCCCTTAAAAACGTCGCTTCATATTTTAATTAAGGGACCACTTAGTTATTCCAGGATCATAAAATTGAAACTTATTTTGTAAATAACCAATTAGATTAACATTTTCTACATATACAGGATGTTTGTCTAACCTTCCGCCAAACACCCTGTATTTCAACGTTTTATACCTAGGAACTACTAAGAAAGAAGTAGATACTTTCCTAAGTCTACACGTATGACCGATTTATTTATTTATCCAGGATTGGTCCTGATTTATTTTCCCCTACCTTTTAAAGCACTTTTATGAACATTATGTGAGGTACCTACCTACTTATTATTTAACTATGTTGGCTACTTTTGTATTATCCACGGAAGAGAAAAAAAATCCGTGGTATCAAAATATTTCCTGTAATAAATTATCCCCTAAACTATTAATAAATAACAAATATCCGGCACCTCATTTTGATTGAACAAATATACGAGTGTAGGTACATAATTCTGTCACTAAGTAGGCAGTTATTGCTGCCTGGATATTAATTATAATGTTTCCTTGCGTGTTGAAGTTGAGTAAAGTAAATACAAAATCATTAATTTGTTTTTTCACCAGAAAAAAAAGAATGATTTGCGATAACGTATTTGCCATAGAGGTATTTGCAGTTGGTAAAGCGACTAAAGGACGTAGCACACTTATCAACCCAGAAAGGGATCGTAACCGTATCAACTCGAGGCGGTCAGTATTCTTTGTATGAAACTCCATACTGCAACGCACACTTATCCGTACCGTAACGTAAACGCCTCGCCTCGCAGTTCACAGCGCACGAAAGGCGATCGGATCCCTTTCCGATATATGAAAACAATAATTATATTGTTACTAGCTTGTATGGAACCCTCGGTGGGCGCGTCCGACTCGCACTTGACCGGTTTTTTGTGTAGTAATTAATCTGGGTTTTCCCAAATACCTCAATTGTTAATTTACACACGTGTACCTACGCATTGGGACTTCATTAATATGTTTTTTTCCTTAGATTAATGCCCGTTTTCACCATCAATCCCTAATTTTTAAGTGACACCTATGAAAACAAAATTCCTTTTGTGTTACCATAGCGGTCACTCAAAAATTTAGGATTGATGGTGAAAACGGGCATAATCCTTCTATCCTACTAATATTATATTATAAATTATTTATTATGAACATTATGAATAAATTTCTTATTCTTATTCTTATTCAATGGCAATAAGTGGTGACTGAGTTTGTTCCGGCGTTTCTTCTCAGCACTTGCCATATGTTTGTCTCGAAGCGCTGGTAGGGCCCAAAAGATAAGGAGACATGTAAAGTGCCCCATAAGGGCTACCTTTTTCTTTTTTTATTATTTTCTATTGACGTTCATAAGTGCCACTTGTGGTCTAAACTGAATAAATATTTTTGATTTTGATTTTTTTGATTTTTTGAATGTGAAAGTTTGTAACTATGTATGTTCGTTACAAACTGAATTTTACGAGGGCGACAAAGTCGTGGGCAAAAACTAGTATAGCCCTATTTCCAAAAACGATGGATTTTTTTCTAATATTTTTAACTTTTTTGAGCAACTTAGAAAAATTTACTGTTACTTCCCGATTTTTTTTTCGCGTACCACATAGCTAGGTACATAGCATAGTTTTAGTGGAAACTCAGCCTAATGTTGATAACCTTTGAGGGTCAACTAGTAGAAACAAATATTCCAAAATTCACATCTAATTTATAAGCTTTTACTGTATGTACCCATTTATAATGATTACTCATACTAATTAATAAAGCAGGTTCGCTTATTTGGTTGTTTTATATATTTTCTAGAATTCAAAAAAATCGGTCTGTTTATACACTTAAGGTAGGTAATCAAAAACAAATTTTAAATCAAAGAAATAAGATCGTATTTGCTATTGCTACTAATTTTAATTTGCGTGTGTATCCCAAAGCCTTTGACCTATTAATTTATTCAATAAACTTGTATCTTTAATTAATTTGCTTCATTACTATTGATAGGGTCTGTATAAATATTGATATAGGCCTACAAATAGTTTCCCGGGCGTTGTGAAATACGCAGGGGAACTAAGGTCTGATGGTGGAATATTTGTCGGCACCTTACTTACACCTACAGCAACTAGGGCACCCTTGTTACGATGGAACCTTATAGTTGTGATTTCGCAACAAAAATTAAGATCTTCTGAACCGATTTTGATCTGAAATCTTATCTGATTCCTTAGCTGAAGTAAATATAAATAAATAGGTGGGGTATTGATAAAAAATCACTATCATACTATATCAAACATACATACTTAATCGTAGCTTCGCAGAGGGAAACATGCTTGTACAAATTCATACTACTTAGGCCCGATTCGACCAAACGTTTATCCGGTATAACTGGCACATTGACTGACAGTTTCAGTATGGGAAATATGTCAAATATGACGATTTATTCTGAGATTAATATTTACTCTTGTTTGGTCGAATCCACCCTTAAGTACGTATCGAAAAGTCGGTTAAAAATGTGTGGAATTTCAGAAGTAGGGAATCTAGAAATTGCATTCACCTAGTTCTTGGTCAAACTATGACAACCATACTTCTCAGGGGTGTGCGTGCGTGAGTAGTCACTAGTTCACTACTCGTCACCTACAGCTTACATAATCCATGTAAATATTGGCAGGCCCTGACCCGATGGTGTATTAACATTACATTAACCGACGATGTGTAATCGTTTTTCCGACAATTCGTAGCAGTTTTTAACGGTTAGTTAAATAATAGTTTTTCTGTTGACAAAAAAATAAAGATCTTGGAAAATTTAGTCAACTAAAAAGGTATCATGATACCCAATCTGCTTTTATGGGAATGCTTGTGTCTACAATCCATGAAAAATAATAGAACTAAAACACCTAAGTTTTTCCATCGATATTGGCAGAAATAAATCTTCTCGAAGAGTTTGGTTGCCATAAAAAAGAGGTAATTAATAAAACGGCTAGAGTTGTGTGAAATCAGAGAGCTATAAAACTTCCTACACTGAATTCTTCATTAATTGGTTCAAATTCAGTGGTTATTATGTTCGCGGAATCTTTATCAACAAAATAACAAACACAATTTTAAGTAATCTGTATCTATCAATCTAAACAATTCATACCCATGTAACCGCTTATTACGACATTGATCTGTCTAACTACAATGCCGTTAAGTTCACCGAGTGTTGGCAAAACGCTACATTACTGGAAAAAATTGGGCATTGTCTATTAACAATACTAAAAGTCGACACACAGGGCGAGCAACGGTATTAGAGATCGTACACATCAACACGCTGCGACAACGCATTGTGACACGATGCGTCTTCGTATCACGATGCGACGTCGTATCGTGGGAATCTAAGACGAGCGAGTGACACGACATCACATTTGGTCGTGTCGCTAGTCGCAGTTAATTTATTTATTTATTAGGACGACCAACAAGACAAACTCCCATAAGTATAAGAAAATGAAATAATAACAAAAAATTAAATTAATCTAATAAATCTCGAAATATTAACCGCATTAGACATGTTCTCCTCATGCTGATATCAAAAAGACGATTAAAGAAAATAGAGATACACAGAAGATAGGTACTGGATAGGTACATACATCTATTTCTTTCAGTTAGGATATGAGTCAATTTAAGAAGTACACTCTTCGTAGATTCCCACGATGCGATGTCGCATCGTGTTAATGTGTACGAGCCCTAACTCGCAAATTACTTGCAATTAAGGCGATTAGAGTCCTCAATGACCTTGAGCGTTTGACCTTCACGCTTCGCACAACACCCGCGCACCCCGCACGAAAACTCCGATTTGACACCGATCAAAAATACACGGGCATAGGTAGGTACAGAATAGAAGCTCTTTCTTCATACATTACTGCCTATTATTTTAAACTTGAATTGATGAACCTTGATGTCGATGTCATTCAACCCAGGCGCAAGTGATCGCCCGAAATGTTCTAAACTAGCGCACCGTATAGTAAGGTATTTATATTTAACAAAAATTACAAATCCATGAACATTTTGTATGGGATAATATTTTTTATTTTATTTTATTTAGCTTACAATGTATGTTGTGTGTAAAGTATGTTTGTTCGGGTGGAATTTTGCAAGCTGAATTAGTTAGACCCATTTCCTGACGACAACCGATTGAGTTAAAATTTCGGATACACATGCAATTCGGATGACAATGCAATATTATGATGACATGGAGCTGATCTGATGATAGAGCTGGAAAGCAACAGGGCAGTTCAGTGAGCAACAGGGCAGTTCAGTGAGTAACAGGGCAATTCAGTGATCAACAGGGCAGTTCAGTGAGCTACAAGGCAGTTCAGTGAGTAACAGGGCAATTCAGTGAGCAACAGGGCAGTTCAGTGAGCAACAGGGCATTTCAGTAAGCAACAGGGCAGTTCAGTGAGTAACAAGGCAATTCAGTGAACAACATGGTAATTCAGTGAGTAACAGGGCAATTCAGTAAGTAATAGGGCAGTTCAGTAGGCAACAGGGCAGTTCAGTAAGCAACAGGGCAGTTCAGTAAGCAACAGGGCAGTTCAGTGAACAATCAGTTCAAGACCAAGTCTTTAATTATGCACTAGGACAGTTCAAACTATCTATATTATATAAAGCTCGATTACCACTCACTGACTGACTGACTCACTGATCAGGGGTATTTTTGGGGTATTTAGAGGGGAGAGGGGTAAAATTTTTGGTGTTTGTTTTAAACTAGATTTTTCGACTGCCAGCTTTACTAGATTTTTTGAACCAAAAAACAAAATGGCGGCATTTTTTGAAACATCAACTTTTTTGTTTTTGGTCCTGAATTTTTTCCTTTTTGGTGGTTTGTTGGAGT